GGATATCATGCTTATGTTTTGGTTATCCTGTTTACATTATTACTGACACAATCTTAGAATTATCAAATATATTCACTTTTTCACCTTTGGGGATATATATATATGTATAAATAATTTTATCCACAATTTGTCACAACCTTTTGGTGAGATGGAAAGCCAATTGGCTCTCTTTTGTCAGAGGAAACAATAACACTCATACATACACAGTGCAAAGCAATAAGAACTATTTTCAAAGTATTCTGATGCTTTGTTGAAAGATCAAAAATACATTTGAAACCTTGACAAGGTCCATAACTTTTAACTGCTCTGATGCAGCCATGACGCACGCTTCAGTGCTCAAACACTTGATGTTGGTGGTAATAAATTATGGGTTTTGATTCAAGTTCTCTGATTTAGGGATCATGACTATAGCCTGGCGTGGCAGAAGTTAATGGAATGGGATGCTTATGGGTAAATTTCTTGCATGATTATTTCAGAATTTAGGCCTAGTGAGACTATCACTGAACTATCAATGGATTCCACTAAAGACTTTCATATTTTTATGCCCCTTTTATCAGACTGCAGCACTGTCATTGATTTGTCCATATTTGATGATACATTGGGATGAAGTTATGCAGACTTGTGGACAGTTATAGATGATATGCTGAAGGATAGCAAGCTGGCATTTTTTCTTCATTCCAAGGATAGAATACTTCAGAAAATATGTTTCAAATAGCCACAAATGGAAAAATATATTGATCAAAAACCTATTATTTATAATTTCCTGATTGAAACCATCCTACTGGTGATTGCATACACTTGCCACGCCAAAGTCTCTGGTTCAGTTCCCCTTAGGGGAGAAAATGTATAGGCCATTAATGGTGTCAATTTTGATATTGCTGGAATATTGAGCTGAAAGAGGTGTAAAACCATACATACTCAGTGTGATTCTAGATGACAGTAAAGACTATAATTATTTATATTGATCACAGATATTGACTTAAGTAAATTTTGGAGTGCTTTTTTCGAATATTTATGTAACAGATATTGAAGACAACAAATTGAAATATGGGCCTGCCTGTCTTCTACAGACTGCTGGTGGATATTGGAAACTGTCAGAAAAACGTGGCCCTAATGGACAACCTATACCACCATAATGTGAACAATAATGTGTTTAGATCCCATCTGTTGATCTTGATGTGAAGCATCCATGACCTGCCCATTGTCATTGTGATGAAAATCCATATCTTTGATCTTGGCACCTCAGTCGCTGATTCAGGGAACAAGAGCCCTGCATGACTGCTTGGTGATTCACCAGCTGATCAAGTAAGAGATTGTAGTTGATTTTAGATGGGTCGACAAATACAACATGAATATGGTGGCACTGTCTATGTTATTGATCCAGGCCAAGCAAGCAGTAATACTATGAGGTCGCCAGTCTACGCAGTGATGGGTTATCGCTGAGAATACACTGACCTGACCAACAGCATTGATTCTTCTTGAGGGGTTGATGCACATTTAATACGAGTGAATGCCCGTAAGTCATCAAGGATTTTACCCCCTAAATCCCCCCAGGATGGTGACCTCTTACCCCTGTAGGTTGATGCCCTGACATGAGGGTGTCAATATTGTACTCAGAATCGTGTGTTAGTTTTTTAAGGTTTGGAAAAGTCATGCACTCATGAAACAAATTAATTTGCTTCTTCAGTGTCTACTAGACAAAGAAGACCACATTTCTCATCAGATAATCTTAGATGTATAATTGAGTCAATTGTTGACGGGGCACAGTAGTTAAATGTGTTCAGCAGAGTTATGTCCCTTAACAGTGCAGGATCTACTGCATCTAACCTTATGGGATGTCTACAGTAGAAGATTTATGAAGAGGAAAGTAATTGATGCTGTACGTAAAATCAACTATTGTTGATGCAATTCTATTAATTTCATATAAATTTTCATTTAATCAGTGGGTCATGGTTACCATGGTTACCAGTAAGAATGTATCAACCAAAATGGATGCCCAAGCAAGTAACAGTAGCAGGCAGGCTAGTCCTTCTGCCTACAGCATTGCAGCGGTCAATCTGTCTGTAGTTCACAAGAATTGTAGGCAATCAACTACTGGCTATTACTGTAATTGATTGGGCTGTTGCCAGGAATTTTCTCATCTAAGAGCCCCAAAGTCTCCTTTGAAAAATATTTCCCACTCTTTCATCAAATTAGTGTGATTAGGACTTGTGTGCCTTCTCTATTTGATAACTTTCAGAGTCTGTTATTATGCAGTGCTGTCAATTTTGTGGCATTGAATGACAGGGTTAACTTGAATCAGAGCCAGTAGATTCCTTTTTGTGTACCATGGGATTGGGATGGGGAAGTTAAATGTTGATGTTCCAGGCTACGTCTCGGTTCCTTAGTGGCTGTTTCCCGCACGTTAAGATCAGCATACACTGCACATTTAATTGGAGACCGCCGTTTTGATGATTTGCAGTTGCCATCGTTTTCATTTACCAGTTTCACAAATATATGCTTAACTTTGGAATGTTATGATGACACAGAACTGATCTATCAGTTTATGAAGAGCTGCTCTCTTTCTTTTTTCATTCTGGAAATTAACCACCACCTTTCAAGAACCATTGTCATGTTATTTACCAGGAGACATTTATGGCTACTATTTTCCTTGATTATCATTTTCCACACTCAATATGAATTTGAAGCTAGATGTGTCAGTGCAAAAACTGTGCTTGTTGACATCATCAAGGTGGAGTTTGGCCTTCAGTTCAGAAAATAAACTACCAATTTTGGAACAGACAAAACACTTGTCAAAGACCAAGATGGCTTTGAGGAATGGTCCATATTTCTCTTCATCATAGTTATTGATTAATCAAATTGGCCACAGCAGAGATTCATGGCCTTTGATATGATGGAGTAAGATCAATCATGTAGGTGTCACCAGAAGACCAGCTGTCAACAAACATGATAATCTGAAGTGCTTCTGAACTGTTTTTAGCCTTCATTTCTTAAACTTGGATGTTGACATGTGGCATTTTAATGCATCCCTATAACTGAATATTTGGTCAGATTGTAGCATCCCTGAAAACAGGACTGCATTTCTAAGGTTTGGTAAGAATTTATTTCCTCAAGGCCGGATAGGCATACACTGAACTTTTAATTAGAGTCTACCATTTAATGAACTGCACATGGCATTGTTAAGCTGACATAGCATGAATCTATCAGTTTGTGAAGAGCTGCTCCTTCTAAAGTCATCACCTTTTAAGAACACATGAACTTCATTCACACTTTAAGGGATTTATCTTTATGACAAATTTGGTAAGTTTATGTCAAAAGAAAGGCATTGAACTTGAAAGAATATGAAAGAGGGTGTGGTTTTTTTTAGCATTTTAAAAGTGCTGATCTGACTTCCTTCTTTTTGGTATAAGAGGATTGAGAAGATATTATTTGATAATTTTTTGTACCAATAGAATTATTAAAGAAGGTTTTGAGTTAGTACACTCATTTGATTTGAGGATCTTATTAACACTTGTGCCATCTCACCCTAGCACCCTATTGCTATGGAAGTATAGGAGGCAAGATTGCCTCCATGGTATAGTGGACAGGTCATCTGCTCTGTGAGTGGAAAATTGGTGGTTTGATCTGGCTGCTTCATACCAAAAGGCATTAACAGCTGGTACTTGTTGTTACCCTGCCTGGTGCTTGGCATTAACAAGATGAAAAAAAGACTGCTCAGTGTCAGTGTACTTTGCCTGAGTAGGGTATGCATGTTAAATTGTGGCATGGTATCTCAGTGGACTTGTTCTTCCATGTGCAGATGTGCACACATACACACCCACTCTATGAACTTCAAAATGGAAGTCCTGGGTCTTTTGTTATGACCCTAATTTTAAGAGTTACAATTGATGGGTCTAACTTAAATTTGGGGAATTGATACACTGGTATATGTGTATAAATCTTCCATATGCAAATGTGCACACATACACACCCACTCTATGAACTTCAAAATGGAAGTCCAGGGTCTTTTGTTATGACCCTAATTTTAAGAGTTAACAATTGATGGTTCTGACATAAATTTTGGGGAATTCAAATTTGAAAAGTTAACAGTTAAGGGGGTTCCTAAATTCTAATACTGTCACAGTAAACCGTAAGGACCCCAGAATCATCCTTGAAGTCTAACAATGAATGTGTGTTGTACAGACAGTGAAACATGGTTATGGCCGAACTCCAAGGGAATGGTGAAATTTGTTATGTCTAAAGAAAAACCTTGTCCCCCATTTTGGATCACCCCACGATTCATATGCATTTCATTTATTATCAAATTGAACATGTGCTAAAGTTCAGCTAGCCTTGACAATCTGAAAAAAACCTATAGTGAAGCATTCAATTCAGTACATAGTCATGTTATCAGTTTTATTTCACACACCAGAGAAACTGGTGACATCACCTTCCGTTCATCTCAGCGCCGCTTTTTAAAAACCCAGTTGACTTGCTACGTTAGGTTGTTTGACATTGCTTGTAATTAACATGTGCAGGTGTGAGATGTCTGTTGATAATTGAGGAATAGTTTTAGTGATCAAGATTGAATGTGATTAATGTTAGCAACATATGTGAGGGCTGCAGAGATAAGCTGTGACATTGTTGATACGCTGCAGATTGGTGTGAGTATTGACTCGTCCCTGATAGGAAGGGGACTAATTGAGGTTCACTAATCGGTGTTGTAGTGGTAATTGAATTATTACGTGTATGATGTTTGATTCAATGCTGATGATGACTGACGCTGATTGAGTTTGTTACTCACGTAAGAATATATTGAGTTTTATTATGAGTACATGGACTGAAAAATCAGTTTGCTATAGCTATTAATTTGTTATACAGAATTTGTAACTTGCATTAATTTTGTTCGATAATATAGTAGGTAAACTAGTTGGGACTTTTGAAATACCTTGTTGTAACCGTTTGTACAATAAATCTGCGTTTGTTGTAACCATGTTCTACTTATGTGAATTTCATTTCAGGATCCAAAGCTGCTCTTAGAAATTGAGCAGAAAGGCTCAGGAAACCTTGAGTCTCGCACGGTGACAGTATGCAGTGGCCTGGATCTTGTCAACATCAGCTATACACCTATGATAGCACAGTCACAGGATATAGCAAAGGTACCAGTGTCATGTTATTTACCAGCACAGTTTTCCTTGCCTGTCATTTCCCAAACTCCACTTAGGTCGAATTTGAATCTAGGTGTGTCAAGCGCAGTGTTTGACCTTTAATTTAGACAATAAACTACCAATTTTGAAGCAAACAAAACACTTGTCAAAGAGCATGATTGCTTTGTGGAGTGGCCCATGTTTCTCTTCATCATAGTTATTGATTAAGCACACTGGCCACAGCAGACATCCATGGCATTGAAAGGATGAAGTAAGATCTGTCATGTTGGTGTGACCAGAAGGCCAGCTGTCTACAAATACGATAATCTGAAGTGCTTCTGAACTGTGTTTAGCCATCATATTTTTAACTTGATGTTGATATATGACGTTATGATACATCCCAATAGTTGCATATTTGTTCAAATGTTATTAGCAGCCATAAAACATGACTGCTTTTTTAAGGTTCTATTGGAGTTTGAATGCTGCTGTCTGATTTTTCAAAGGCAAACTACACTGAGATTATTGATGTTAAATGGTTTCTTCCAAATGGCCCCGAGGGTTTTTTGGGGGCAAGTCATGAAAAGGTCAAGGTCATGAGATCTCATGAGCAATCTCACAATGTTTAGGCTATACTTTCTATAATGGTATTGATGCACCTGTCATTAAACTTCTCTATGACTGGACCCTTTTGGTAAAAAGAGTAGTCAAAGGTCAAGGTCAGACTTCAGGTTTTTTGCTCAAAATAAGTCAAAGGTTCAAGTCTTGCAACTTAAAGCCATTAGTTCAAAGTGGAAGTTATCTTTTCAGACTGGAAGTGTATTACCTGTTCATATTTGGGGAAATGGTGGTGAAGGGATTACGGTACTTCCATTATTTCTAGTACTTGCATACATCACGAATTTATTTTGCTTTTATTTCTTGCAGGTGTGGTTCGAGGGACTAAGACAGATAACTCTCAACACAAAGGCCAACAATGTGTGCCCCATGACACAGCTCAAAAAGCAGTGAGTATTCTTGTCACTCACCATGTTAGCAGTATCCTGTGGAGAGATCATATTTTTGGTTGGTCCGAATGTTATTATTTGGACAAATTCTAAGAGGAAAGAGTTGTTTTCCATTTTAAATTTATTGAAGCAGGGGCCAACATCTATGCTGTCCTGTGGTCCTGAAGTTACTAGATCTTTGTAAGGACTGCTAAAAGCCAAATGCGCCAAAGCATCCTTCCTCACCTTAAACTCTAGACCCGTGAATATCAGGGATAGAATAGGTCTTCAGCAACCCATGCTTGCCATAAAAGGCGACTTTGCTTGTTGTAAGAGGCGACTAATGGGATCGGATGGTCAGGCTCGCTGACTTGATTGATGCATGTCATCGATTCCAATAACGTGGATCGATGCTCATGATATTCATCACTGAATTGTCTGGTCCAGACTGGTCGGTTTTTTACAGATCACGGTCATATAGCTGGAATATTGCTGAGTGCATCATTAAACATCAAACAACCAACCAACCTAAACCCTACCTCGCCATCTCGCAATGCCAGTTTAAATAGAGAAATCTATTCAGTAACAGTCACATGATATCAAGTCAGTGAACACTTGCCCAGCTAAGCAGTTCATTGCTTTTTTTGGAAAATGTAAGAATATGATGCACTTGACAAAAAAAGAAGTCTGTCCAATGTTATAAATATGATGCTCTTTGCTATTAAGGATTTTTTAAAATAAATTTGGTTTGCATAACAAATCAGACTTAGATATTATTTCCATCGAAACAAATGGAAAATCCCAGTATATCTGATGGTAACCACTGCTTCAATGGATCTTCTGGTAGAAACACTCTCTTGGTGAGATGGTTCCTATCACCTATTAGCATATTAATAAGATTTTGATTCAGTCTCATTGACTCTTTAGAAAAAGTCCCACTGGCTTTTGTGGTCTGGGGCTTGAGTCTTGCACTCAACAGAACATTGGTAGGGGATATGGGTATTTTATGCTTGTTTTCCTTTGTCTGCCTATGTTTTATCATTAGTTGTGAGATGGAAAAAGAAATTGTTTTCCTTGAACTTGTGACCTTGTTGTTTTCAGCTGGATGAAACTCTGCTTTATGGTGAACCCAAGTGGCAACATCCCAGTGCGCAGGTCAGTTGTTGAGGGATGATCCTTGATTTCTATGTTTCCTTGTTTGATCTTCTAAAGCCGATAGTGAGGTAACCTTATGCTTCACGCATTCACCTGTGACATCAAAGACCAGGTTTTACTCTTTCCATGGTTACAATGTGTTAAACCCATTCTTGTGTGAAGTCCACCATCATAATCATTGCTGGAATGGTGCTAAAAGGGGCCTTTGCTCCATAATCTTCTGCCCATATTTGGACTATGCACAGACATTTTGGAACAGATCTATGTAATTAGTGACCCAATTATAAGGGATTGATGTTTGAACAATTTGTTCACTCACCATCATTTTGTGTGTGGCATTATTTATGATAATTTTATTTTTTTTCCACAGTATAACCCGGACATTTGCTTCAGGCAAAACACAAGAAAAGATGATTATGCAATGTTTGAAAGAGTTGAGTCTACCTTGTGGCAAGGTGAGTAGGATATTGAGTTGCTGTGCACGTGTGCATCCCATTGTTGTTCAGTGAGATCCCACTTTCTGAGAGGTAACTCAAGTCAGATTCAGATGTCCAGATATTCAGTTATACGGATAATTTTTATCATAAAGAGAGGTGTCCAAATGGGTTCCACTGCATCAGCATCTATACATCTGGACTGTGAATCCCAAAATGGTCAAATTAAAATCTTTGGTTTGCCAGGATCATACCTATATTCACTAGTTGGTCAGCATCATACCCATGTTCAATGATTGGCCAGCATCATACCCATGTTCACTGATTGGTCAGCATCATACCCATGTTCACTGGTAGGTCAGCATCATACCCATGTTCACTAGTTGGTCATCATCATACCAATGTTCGCTGGTAGGTCAGCATCATACCCATGTTCACTGGTAGGTCAGCATCATACCCATGTTCAATGGTAGGTCAGCATCATACCCATGTTCACTGGTAGGTCAGCATCATACCCATGTTCAATGGTAGGTCAGCATCATACCCATGTTCAATGGTAGGTTAGCATCATACCCATGTTCACTGGTAGGTCAGCATCATACCCATGTTCACTGGTAGGTCAGCATCATACCCATGTTCAATGGTTGGTCAGCATCGTACCCATGTTCACTGGTAGGTCAGCTTCATACCTATATTCACTAGTTGGTCAGCATCATACCCATGTTCACTGGTAGGTCAGCATCATACCCATGTTCACTGGTAGGTCAGCATCATACCCATGTTCACTGATTGGTCAGCAACATATCCATGTTCACTGGTAGGTCAGCATCATACCTATATTCACTGGTAGGTCAACATCGTACCCTTGTTCACTGGTAGGTCAGCTTCATACCCATGTTCACTAGTTTCACCAATGTAGTAAACTTCCACGATCAGAGACTCCAGTTTCAGAGTTTCAATGTTTTGCAATGTTTCCTTGTTAAACTTACTTTCTGTTCCTGATGGTAATGGCTGATATCATTGGTCAATGCCCAACTTACTACTAAAGGATTACCATATATATGTTAAAACTTTCTAGTGTACAGCACTACTGGTGATTAATATCATAACAATTAAGCAACAGGGGTTTGTGGTTAAATAGTGGTGGCTAATCTTTGAATAAGTGAAATGTTTCAAAGTTTGTCTCTCTTCTTGAACAAATTGTTTTTTCAAACACAACTCGAATACTTGAATAAGATTTGCCATGGCAGTACTCAGTCCTATTGCTCGTCTCAGTTATTTGTGGCACTTCATATAATTTAAAAAAAACTTATTCTGAAATATGTACCGGTATGTAGACTGTGAAAGAGACACTTATGGTTTGTGTAAATGTTGATTTGATACACTCCTATAACTAATAAACCTCAGCTGCTCTGCTCTTCTTTGCTTTGTACGTGTCAAATGACATTAGGACGTTTTAGTGATTTGATCAACTTTTGTTAAGACATTCTTTTATGTCATTGCAAAATTTGAAAAACATCTTTGGACATTTTGAATTACAATCAGTCAGTGTACTAGAAAATGAACCCTATCTGAAATCCTGCTGCTATTTCGCAGCAAGCTGTTTTGGCTAGGGATACCAGTTTTACAAACTTGCTTCATTGATGTTGTCTGTCTTTTCTTTGAACAAGTCATTGCATCTTCCATGTCTTTGTTATTTTCAGCTTGATGAAATTGAGCCGTCTGCATTTACTTTTGACAAATTCTATGAGCTGTACCACAAGATCTGTCCACGGAGTGATATAGAGGAACTCTTCCGAGAACTGTGAGTTGGACATAAAATTAAAAACTCAGTCTGTGCCAAAACCTTGCCTAGCTTGTCTTTCGGAAGTATTTCCAGTAGATTTTAACCTTATCATATGGACTAGTCCAGACCGGAAATGTTTTGCTAGACTCTGGCTTCGGACAAGTGGCTAAAAATGCCAACTGTAAACTACAGCTCTGTGAGAGTAGCTAAAGATTGTCTGTCTCTTTGGAATTAATGAACATTAAATCATAAGGAACAGTTCATCCATGAATTATGAGAAAGCTATCTGTGATTTTGCTGGAGACAAATAACTTTAGGATATTTTCACGATTTGATCAAATTTGATAGGACATTCTTTCATATCATTGACATAGTTGAATTTGTCTGATGAAAAACCAATTTGAAACCGTATTATGTTATATGGTTTACCCAGGGTTAGGTTTTGTTAGGAAATGTAGAAAAGAGTTTGCTTGCTGGTCACAAGTTTTGTTATGTATGACAACATGTTTTAATGCCACAAAGAATGCTTGATTTGTTTCAGAACACAGAATAAACCTTTCCTTACTGTAAATCAACTGATAGATTTTTTCAATGAGGTAAGTCCTTCACTTGACAACTGCCGAATACATGCCGAATACATGTGAAGCAAACAAACTAATTTCTTTTGTTGCCTACTTGTTACCATGGTGATAGTACAACTGTGAAGTAAAAGTCCAGATTAATACAGTCCAGATTAATACAGTGTTATGAAGATATTTCACATCTGTACGCCACCAGTATCTAAATAGTGGTTTCAAATAATGATCACTGCTAGTCTTGTGTTTAGGGATGCATCTAAAGTTAAGATCTTAAGACTCTACAGGTCGAAATTTGCAAAATTCTTCTCCCAGCTATGCTTAGTCTTCATATTGTTAGTATTGACTTGTCTTAATTCCAATCGTGGAATTAAAGGGCTGTTCACAGAAAGTCAGTTCAGATGTAAATATACCAGCAAGTGAGCATTAGTAATTGGAATTAGTCCTATAGTCCTTGCCAAACTGCCGAGTAGTTAAGGTATCATACAGACTAGTATAAATTTGTCATTTATCATTATGAACACTAGTAGACTAAAACAGTTTTTTCTACTGCTGCAAGTGGAGCATTTTGACAAATGTTTGTGTGTGATATTTTTAGGGTAGGAAATTTAAGTGCTTTTAAATATGGTAACCATGCTCCCCACACTGCTGCACTGAGGATAAATATTGCATCATCATTGAAATTGAAGCTGCAAATTCTGTTGAATGAAGACTGGTAGACTCATACACCTGATAAGCTGGGAGATGTGGGAAGTTTTTGTCATGTTTAAAGCAAGAAATAATGTTCAGCTCTATGCTGATCTCACTTGAAGAGAGAATTCTAATCAGCTTTTGTCACGGCGCATTGTCTGGTGCCTGTCCATATCCATGTTTGGATTGTCTGAGACCTGCATCCCATTGGGCTTTCCTACCACAGTAAGCTGGCACACTGTGATATAACTGGAATAATGTTCAAAGCAGTGTTAATACCAACTCAATAACTTACTCAATGTTTGAATTTATTGTACATGAGTAGGGGATGTCCATCTTCCCGAGACCAGGAAGTTAACTGACCATAGAAGTCCAGTTTCCACCCTTCCCGAACTAGGCTGGAAGTTCGTGGCTCGAATGTAGTGCCTCCAGTGGCTATTATGAGTTATGTCCCTTCTATGTCCCTCCTGTTGAACAATCAGATTCCATCTCTCATACCTCTTGCATTTGCTTCAAACAAAATGGCGGCACCCAGTCAAGATCGATAATCAAGATCTGTTTGGTAATAAAACGGATCTTACCTCGCCAAGTCCTTGAGCACATTAATTAAAAACATGAAAACATTTGGAAAGTTTCTGTTGATGCCCAGTTGACGGTAAACATCCTTTGCAAATCCTTCAATCAATTCAAATCTGCACATCAGTTTGAAAGCGGGATGTCGATTTCGTAACTCGATTTTGATTGGACTATGCATGGGCTTGTTAGTCCAGCCAGAACATAACTCCGAAATTCCAGCCTAGTTGGCCAGAGTGGAACCTGGACTTTTATGGTCAGTTAACTTCCTTGCCTTTGGAGGATAAGGGGTGTCTTATGCGGAGACTTCTTTTTCATATTCTTGTTCACCCTTTTACATTTATGATTTAATGTTGCAAATGTTGTAAAAGTTGTCAGGTGAGCTGCAAAGTCTTCTTGGTCTGTTTCTTACTACATCTGTACGCAACACTAATGATAATTCACTTAATTAATTTGTCCTTCCTAGAATCAAAATCACCAGAATCCTTTCATTTCTCATTAAAAGGTAAAGAGACAAGAAACATGTTAAACGGTATGTCAGTTAGGTACAGCAAAAAGGCTGATTTGTGATTATAACTGCAATATGTTTTCTTTAATGTTTGCAGCGTCAGAGAGACCCTCGTCTTAATGAGATCCTGTTCCCATTTTACAATCAGAATCGGGTGATAAACATCATAAAGGCATATGAGCCAAATGAAGATAACGGTGGAAAGGGTAAGCACAAGGAATAACACCATGTGGAAAGTGTGTGGATTTAGGAGATAAACATACTGTGTTTTCAATGTATAGCTAGGTTTCCTGTAGATTTAACTGCACCCAATTGAATTTGGAACCGAACTTGCAGTGACTTTGAAAGTAAAAGCCTTAAAGGGGAAGTGTACACGCAAAAATCACTTTCTTTCTTTTTCTAAACAAAACGCAATTTTAGAATTAGTAAGTATCTGTGTTTGAAAATATACACTCATTTTTTTCACAGTGAAAGTAGGAAGCTCACAATAGTGTTAAAATGATATGCCGTTATGAGGCCTGCGAAATAGGCCTGAGTTATCCCCCTTAGATTATGACGTAATTGGTGCCAATTCAACTGGGTCCCTGTCTATTCTCAACGCAAAAGATATCAAGGACCAGTTTGCGGTAAAACAACATGGTCTACGACACACTCCGGCGCAGTGGTGACTCAGCATAACACAATTCTGGCTGGCATCTGAGACGCTAGAATCACAAAACTGTACCTACACCACGTGAAGCGGCTCTAACAAAGCATGATGACATCATAATGTTTATCAATTGGCACCAATGACGTCATATTGCAAGGGGCATAAGCCATGGTGTTTTTGGTATGGAAATAGAACACTTGGTAAATGTGAAAAATATAAATCGTTTTAATGCAAAAAATATGTTAATTAAATATGATGTTTTTATATTTTTGTCTATGACACTTGTTTGTTAACACTTTTAATGTGGAAAAAGTACAAGAAAAATTGGTTCATTTCCGTGTGAACTTGCCCTTTAAGTAACTGAACATGGGCATCAGTTTGCCAAAATTGCAGGAGAGTATGAATTATGTAGGGAGAAATCTGAGATCATATCAATCACATGTTGTAGTATTCCGATTGGCTAGAATGATACTCACATTATGAACCACTGGTTTGACTTATACAGATCAAAGTAGCCATGAATTTCACTCTGATATACCTGAGATACTACTAACTAGGGTGTCACTCAACATGCTAGTAATTCCGTCATTTGAAATTGTACAACACATGAAACTAAACTTGTCTAGACTAAATTGTGTCGTTTTAAATTGTACAACACTTGAAACTGAATTAAGATAAAATTCTGCTTAAAAATGTACTTTTACCTCTCCAACTGGAGCTATTTCTAGCTGGACATAGTACTTTTATTAAGTTTGCATTGTATTGAGTGTCTTATAGATCTTGTAGGCTGTTTGGACGGGCACACAGGACTGTCTGTTAGTTGATTTTCAATTTGTACATGTGAAGCTCAAATAACATATCCTTCTCATCTGCTGTAAAACTATTCTAACTTCCATCAAAATCATGTGAGCTTGTGTTAAAGGGATGATGTTAAACTTTGTTTATTGTTCACAATTTGTTGTCACAGAGATGATGAGCTTGGACGGATTCTGTCGGTATCTGATGTCGGATGAGAATGCACCTGTGTTCCTGGACAGACTAGATATCTACCTGGAGATGGACCAGCCACTGGCTCACTACTTCATCAACTCATCCCACAACACATACCTGACAGGTAGACAGTTTGGTGGCCGGTCGTCAGTCGAGATGTATCGCCAGGTGCTGCTTGCAGGTTGCAGGTCAGTACCATTTTCATTGTTCAAAATTTGGTATTCAAGTCAGGGGTCATTCTCATGGTTCTAGTGATTAAAACTATAGATGATGGAGTTCTTCAGAATAACAATTACTTTGGCCAAAATCTTTAGTACCAGCATGATTTAATGAATTAAGTATAAATGAAATCCCTAATTCATGAGCAAGACTCTGAAAAGTCTGGTGTATTATGATGCCTATCTTTACTTGTCTTCCTGACGTGTCCAGTAGACTATTTGAAAATCTAGTTTTCAACTTTGCCATTTCAAACCTTCTTTTCTTGCCTCCTTCGTGGCACCCCTCTGTGTAGAACACAAGTTGTATCCATTGTGATGAAAACGTGATATCCAATCAGATCTTTGTTTTTATTTCCAATGGCATCACAAAGACGCCTACAATAGCAGACGACTTGGTCGATCAGTTAACGAAAAATATCACTCTTACAATAACAGACTACACAGTATCAAGTAACACTGCACATTGGGCTAACATGAAATGCTCAGCGGGGGTTGTCTAAAAATAGCACTGTCTCAGTCACTGCAATAAGCGTTCAGTTGTTTCAGTTAAAAAACAATGAAGTTTGCACTCAGATGTATAAAAGTACTTCAGTGAGTTGATTGAAAACTTTGAACCAAGCACAAATTTGACAGGCTGTGGGCATTACAGCAACCACATTTTCAGAACCCAGATGTTGATTTTGTTAAACTTCCGATGAGTGGACTATCAATATTAGCAAATAAAAGCAGACTTGAAATGGAATGGGTGAAAAGTAGACTTTGATATAGGCTAGTGGACACTCTTGTCTCGGGAATATGATGTTTACTATGGATTATGTGTTTACGATTCTCAGAGTGGTGTGGATTATGTTTCTAGGTTTTTCAACACCATATCATGCTGATGGGTTCCATGTGGTAAACATCTGCAGCACTTTCCTCTCACATCAAGCTGACACTCTCTGATATAACTGAAATACTGTTCATAGTAGTGAAAAACCAAACTCATTCACTCACTGACTCATGTGTGTTGGTGTTGTACAGGTGTGTGGAGCTTGACTGTTGGGATGGCCGCAATGAAGACCAGGAGCCAATCATCACTCACGGCAAAGCCATGTGTACTGACATCCTCTTCAAGGTAAAGTCAAGTGACATTTCTACATACAGTGACACATTAGTTTCAACTTCAGAAACAATGTTTCCACATACATTAAACTATGTTTATAACAAACATGCATATGACAAACTGACGGATGTAACAAACTTACTTTTGGTCCAGGCCAATTGTTGTATATAAACTGTGTATATGCTTATAACGACCTACGGTTATAACAAACTATAATTGGGTGGTCAGACTTGTTAACTTGATTGGTTGCATCTCATTGTACTCTGAGAGTCTGGGTCATTGCTCACAATATACCGGTAAATCATTTGATTGTCTGGTCCAGATTTCATTATTTACATTATCACTGTGCAGAATACAACAACATACAAACAAAAATGGTAATTTAAAACTGGCTAACACAATGTGTTTATCACTTAAGTGTTGTATTTCTATCTTGTCTTCAAATTGGTTTTGTCTTCTGTATTGTGACTATAACCATATATTGATGCATTGTTTATTTCCTAATCTTAGGACTTTATATTGTGCCAGTGGGTTTGAAGTTATTTGACCTTACAATTCCTATTACAGGATGTAATTCAAGCAATTAAAGAAACAGCTTTTGTAACATCAGAATATCCAGTCATCCTATCCTTTGAGAACCATTGCAGGTGAGTGGGAATAGTTGGAACAATTTTAGCTATCAAAATACCTGACGTATTGAAGTGGAATCAAAGTCATATGTTCCAGATCAGCATGCTTTGTAGTAACGTTGACTCAAGTTAATTTGATGTAAATATGTATATTTACAACTTATCATATTCTCACACTATGCATTTCATCCTTCTTCTCGATCCTGCTTTGGAAGCTATGCTAAAACAAGTTTCCAGCTTCACAAACACTTCACCCAAACACTTATGGTGGTGAGATCGGAGGCCCCTCCCAAACTGACAGACCAATAACCTACTACACCTGCGCTAGGATCTGACTCATTACACCATCATCTTCATTGGTGGCTTCAGGAGTGGAACGTCTGCGAATGAGTCTTTTTGATGCTGTTCACACCAACCATAACTTACTGCGTGTGGCAGGGTATTGGTCTGCAGATGAACAAAATCTACACATCAACAATTTGAAGTTTAAAGCGGTGGTGTTAGTGATAACACATTGGGAGGAAGTCCTACGAGTACCCTGACTGATGGTTTAATCAGACAACACATCAGTTGTGTTGTACATCAACAAGATGGGATCGACGCAATGCCCATCGCTTCTACGCACGACCATCCAGTTCTTATAACAGTTAGACTTTACATTCAAGTTCGAGCCAGGCACATTCTGGGGATGCTCTATCACTACTAATTCAACCATCCCCGACGGAGTGGCAACTCAATCTGGAGATATTTCAGTGGATTTGCCAGGTCTACCGGAAACCAGTAATCTACTGTTCACAACCAGATACAACAGTCAACGGATGTCACAAAAGATCTCAGACACCAAACGACTTAATCTACTTTTGGTTGCACCCTTCTGGCCAGCCAAAAGCCACTGCAGAGTGATGACATCATCATCTACTTCTACAGACAGACCTACTACCTCAGCCACACCCACTCAAGCCAGCTACATCTGTCAACAAAAAAGGAAATCTTTGCATTTGGCGCATTTCAGAAACCTTTGATTGCCAGAGATTGTTTTAGAAGAATGACTTGATCTATTGCTGAGGCACATCTCAACAGATAGTGGAATACCTTCAGTGCTTGAGGTCATCAAGGACGCTGAAAGGATCTACACTTGCTACTTACTTGGCAGCAATCAACTCTGTGATTGCCATGACCATGGATAAGAAGATTTCCATAGTAGTGGAACTTCAAGCCTTGATTAGATCATCCAGATTAACAGACCAATCATGTTGATTCTGGCCACCAGCTTGGGATCTGAATGTTGTCTTTCATCATTACATGCTCAAGACAGTCCTTCTGTTGGCATTAGCTACTGCAGCATGTGTCAACAAACTCTGTGTCCTTGATGTCAACAAGGTTCAATTCAAGAGCGCCATGGCAATGTCTTCCTAGGCCTACGATGGGACTATATTGCAAAGTGCAAACTCACTGGACAGCTGGACAGTTTATTCACAATCCCTTAGCTCTCCTCTATTTTAGGCACAGACGATCTAGAAAATGTATCACTCTACCCAGTGATTGATAGTTTTATGAAACGAAAAAAGAGATGCCAAGATGCTCCGCCTTAAGTTTTAGAGCATATGTGGGGGGCAGACCTGAAGAACTTCACAGGATGATTTGCTCTTTCTCCTACGCGGGCTGAGTTTTCGATTATTTTCCTTTCTCTTGTTCTGGCGTATTCAATTATTGTGATGCCAAGCTGTTCTGTCTTATGTCTGTCGGATGTATGCGTGAGGGATTTGCTTTCTCTTGGGGTGGATTATAACTTGTGGCCAAACAGGTGTCCCTTAGTTCATTGTTACACAGTTGTTTGTTAGATCGCCGTCCTGCATGAAGACAAGGAATACATGAGTTACCTGACCTCATGTTAAGTAATTCCTAGAAGCGCAGTGGGTTTTTTGAAGCAACACATACACGGTTCTCGTTTTTGACGACCCAAGATGATGTGATGATCTCCACATTGGATCATGGTTTAGTACCTGCTTCCTCGTGTATGACTCATGGTTGAGATCTTTTTCAGGCTTGGGCATCTGTGCCCCACCTACCAAGCGAGGGATAAATGCATAGTGCCAGATCTTGTTTAATAATTTGAATATTTGCAATAAATTCTATAGTAATAATACTTATCCTATCTCACACGCGAAACATCCACCAGGCCATCCCTGCATCACAGTTATACCAGCCTGTATGTTCTGAGAGAGAAAATGAGTAAGCTGGGGATGTAACGTGATCAGGCAGCACGAGATGCATGAGTTGCACAGACCGTTGGTGATGGTAACCAAGGCTACGGCTGGAATGTGTTTGGGTGAGGTGTTTTTTGAAGCTGGAAACTTGTTTTTGGATTGTTTCCACACCAGGATCGAAGAAGAAGGATGAAATGCATAGTGTGAGATCTGATAAGAATTATAATACATGTATATAATTTATTGTAAATTTGTAAGTCTTAATAAACTAAATTCTAGATACTAAAGGGAAATTGAGGAGCTGATCTATTGCAAAACTTGGAAGTGTCTCATTTTAGACAAATTATTTCTTAATTTGTAAAGCATGTTAGCAAGATAGTTGAGAGCTACATATATAGAACAGACTTGTCTGCTGGTAGGTTCTTGTGTTCGCTGTACAACTCTAATTGCTGTTAATCACAAGATTTTTGAGGACACAGTTTAGGTCCCCAATAGGATGTGCTGCATGTGAGAATCAAAGACTATACGTCAAACCGTCAAAGATATGATTCAAGTTCATGGTAGAAGGATTATAAAAAAAATTGCATTGATTTATTCATCTTAATGTGTTAGGGATTTCTTTTCAGCAAACTCCAACAATTCAAAATGGCTAAATACTGTGAGGAGATTCTTGGAGAGTATTTACTGAAAAAGCCCTTGGAGTCAGTCCCAGTAAGTTTATCAATGCAGCTGACAGTGTCTCTAATGCAGAGAAAGTGAGGGATTATAACACTATGCTTCATTGAAGACAGGATTGACTTCCACAGCAGCATAGCATTGAAAGAATTAAAATCAATAAGTTAATCCTGTCTTCTCTGATAATATAGCTTCTAAATGCCAGTTTCTGGAATATGACTACCACGGATGCAAATGGCTCAAGCCTACAATCCCAGTTCGGTTTGTCTAATATTATTGTTATCCTGAGGCTAATACAAGACTTTTTAGGGAATGTTCAAATGTGACTGTCTCTTGCTGGCATTAATACAGTGACACTATTTTATTTGGACATATTGGAGTATATTGTCATGTCAGGTTCACTGCACATGGACGAAAACAATGACGTAACAGTATATAATAAAGCTCACAATAAACAGTATAATTGCTTCTCACCTAATTCCTGTGTCTAATGTGGTCAGTTTGTTTGCAAGGGTTGATCCAGATGTTGTGACAGTAACCAAATGTGACTGATGTGTATGATGGCATCTTGGTTCCTGGTAACTTTGTCAAATCATCTTATAATTACGAGCATAACACTGCTCTACCATGTTGTGAAAATGTCCAGTACAGCAACAGCAGTCGTAGTGGACACACAACACTGCACATTTATGAACAAAGAATTGCAATAACTGAAATAAACAAGTTGTATGCATGGCTCATCCTCTCTTTGCTCTGGGGAAGGATGGCTTGACTGACTTGTTGTCTGTACCACTGCCCTTTCAGATACACCTTATGATATATGTTTCAGCACTATACCCAGGTTTGTAGGTTTCAGCAAAGTGGTACGGCTATGATCTGAGCCACATTAGGCTTTCCTTGTACATTATGCAGATATGCCCCATCACTGAAATATTGTTCGAAGCAGCATGAAGTCCATGTTTAAATGTATATATTATGTATAACTTTTGATAGCCACGATATGGCTGAAATACTGCCAATGTGACTATTACTCTTTACTCACTAACTTACTCCTGCTCCAGCTGGAACCAAGTGTCCCACTGCCTGCACCAAACCAGCTCAAAAAGAAGATCCTCATCAAAAACAAGAGGTTGAAACCTGAAGTGGAGAAACGTAAGCTTCATGGGCACTTGTGTGGGATTTGGGTTCCGGTGACAGATAGGTCATGACTTACTCTTTGTTCTTCAGATATTTGCACTCAATTGGGATTCTAGGATAAAATTGGTCCAAAGTAACCCATGCTTGTTGTAAGAAGCGACTTGGGTCGTCAAACTTGGTGACTTGGCTGATTGCATGTTATATACCCTAATGGTGAGGGAAATTGTCCATTATATCTACCATTATTTACAGGCAGCTGTGATATAACTGTAATATTGCTCACTAAAGAGTCAATGAACTTTGACTCACTCAGATATTTTCTCCGGGGATATGTTCAGAGGTGGAATAGGTCCCCAGAATCATATGGTTGTCGTAAGAGCTGACTGTTGAGGGTCTTGTGGAAATAACATGCCTGACTGATTGTGTATCAGAAGCCTTGATGTCATGAAATGTGACTCATGCTGTCAGTCACTGGGTTGCCTAAGGTAGATGCGAATTTGGACAGGCTGCTGGGATATGGCTGGAATATTTCCATTTCTTACCCAGTAAGAGTGAGTCGACCAACTGACTGTTCTGAAATGGACGTGAAGTTGATATGTTGTATTGTTCAGACAATTTCCCAAGGTTAGCATAGTTATTTTGCCTTGACTTTTCATACCATTTCAATGCATGAAGCATTGTGATGCAACACTTCAATGGTGAACTCTAATGATATTAATATCCTCCTTATATATGATGAATAATAAATGAGGTTTGTCCTTAAAGTCCTTGATCACATAGTGAGAAGCTAGTCTCCTTAATGATGCAGTGTTTATATATATCTGAAATGTCTTATCTCATATTGATAAAATAACTGATGTGATTTCAGGGCAACTAGAATTGTTCCAGAAAGGATATATGGGCATAAATGAAGACATTGAAGCTGAAGACCCCGAGGTTGTTCCTGCCAATGTTGATGGAGAGGAGGGTCCCCTCAACGGTGAGACACACTTCAGGCAACTAACTAGCACAGTACCAGTATCTCTAAAATGGATCTGATGCAAAAAGATTTCCCAAATGTTTCTGATCCCCTAAAGTAAATATGATGTGGTGTGAGATTTACTTGGAAAGTACATGCTCAGTATGTAAAAGTTGTTGTGAATGTTTAGTTTCATTGTAGTTTAAGTAATTTCTTGTTTAGTTGGAATTCGACTCTGAAGGCACCGTCTCCTGTCTTGCCATTACTTGGCATTAATTTTTGGAACATATGGTGTTGGACTTGTTGTGGTGTATGAATGCTTAATGAAGCAGATTTGTGCAACTTTGTGTTGCAAATTAATTAGATAAATATCAATTTGTGTCAGTTTGTTTGCATGATGCATTGAAATGCATAGTTGCATGTGTTTATGATTTTGCCTTTTTGCTTCAGTTGGCATTTTGTTATGTAGTTTTTGAGAACATACTTTAACCATTCCATGAGAAACAGTGACATTATATCTGTTTTGTTCCTTGATCAGTCTGATAAGCAGTGCAAGCAAGTTGTTAATGCATTTGTTAATCTGCGGACTGAAAACTGCTAATGTACACCAATCTAGCAATTAATATATATCCTAATTACACAGAGAGAACATCTTATGTGAAAGGGAACATTATGGATAACAACTTCTTTATTGTATCTACACAACATTCAGGGCTACTTCTTGCCCCCTTCATCAGATGTTAACACAGCACTCAGCAATATTCCAGCAATATGATGGCAGTCTGTAAATAATTGAGTCTGGACCAGACAATGCAGTGATTGATATCATGAGCATTGATCTATGCAATTGGGATACGATACGATTGGGAATGATATGCATCAACCAAGTCAGCTAGCCTGACCACCTGTTCCCGTTAGTTACTTCTTACGACAAGCATAGTCGCCTGTTAAGGCAAGCACTTATTCCAACAAACACCTATTCTAACACGGATCTTCATGGGTCTCTTCATCAGATGAATCATTGGAATTGTCCTGTGTTTTGTCCAATTATCATTGAACCCATACTGGACATGGGAACCAAACAGTGGACAGGCAGTCAAGCCATTTATGGTAGTTAAAGTTTGAGAGAAATTAGGCTTCTTTGTGAAACTGCTGTGTGTGATTTTGTATCGGATTATAGTTTGAAACAGAAACAGATTGTTTTTTGTTATTTTAGAAGTATGTATTGTTAGATATCCAGTTGATATCACTGTTTTCCAGAGGTTTCTTGTAAACAATTGATGGGAGTCTTTCACATAAACATGGAACTGGAAAGTTTATGAAAACTCAGCAACATATTCAAGTTTATACATACACTGCACATAACATACTTGAACACAAATTCTGTAGTTTTTGTACCACTTTGATGTTTACAGTTGTAGCTAGTGCCTAGTGCATCTCATATTTTCCTGTGTTTACTCTTCATTTTGATGCGTGACTGTGTGCATATTTATAGTTCATGTTGTGTACAGAAGAATATTTGGGCATTCATGGGCAACCAAATTATGAACAATGTACGTGGTTTTAGCTATTGTGAGTCATGTGAGTGGGTTATAGTTATTGCCTGGTGTAAATGTTACCCTAGGCTAAGTGATGTGTTGCACTGAGGGATTGAGGCAGAATGGGTCCACCAAAATTATACCTCTTGTTGTAATAGACCATTGGAATCTGCTGAGGCTGAAATGATCTCCTTGAAGATACAGTAAACACTTTTCTTCGTTCTGTACGGATATTGCTAGTCACTCATAGTAGGGTGTATGGTCAGTAGTGGGGTAGGGTATAATGGTAAACAGTGTTGTGTATGGTCAGTAGTGGGATGTGTGGTCAATACTAGAGTGGGGCAGTGGTGGGATGTGTTGTCAGTAGTGGGGTGTAATGTCAGTAGTAGGGTTGGTGGTCAATAGTGAGGCGTGTGGTCAGTAGTGGGATGTGTGGTCAATAGTGGGGTGGGGTGTATGGTCAGTAGTGGGGTGGGTTTATGGTCAGTAGTGGGGTGGGGTTGGTGTATGGTCAATAGTGGGGTGTTCGGTCAGTAGTGGGGTGGGGTGTATGGTCAGTAGTGGGGTGTGTGGTCAGTAGTGGGGTGTATGGTCAGTAGTGGGGTGGGGTGTATGGTCAATAGTGTGGTGTATGGTCAGTACTGGGGTGGGGTGTATGGTCATCAGTGGGGTGGGGTTTATGGTCAATAGTTGGGTAGGGTGTATGGTCAATAGTGGGGTGTGTGGTCAGTAGTGGAGTGGGGTGTATGGTCAGTAATGGGGTGGGTTTATGGTCAGTAGTGGGATGGGGTTGGTGTATGGTCAATAGTGGGGTGGGGTGTATGGTCAATAGTGTGGTAAGCGGTCAGCAGTGGGGTGAGTGGTCAGCAGTGGGGTGGGGTGTGATGTCAGTAGTGGGGTGTGGTCAGTAGCGTGGTGTGTGGTCAATAGTGGGGTGGGGGGGTATGGTCAGTAGTACGGTGGGTTTATGGTCAGTAGTGGGGTGGGGTTGGTGTATGGTCAATAGTGGGGTGGGGTTGGTGTATGGTTAATAGTGGGGTGGGATGTATGGTCAATAGTGGGGTGAGTGGTCAATACTGGGATGGGGTGTATGTTCAATAGTGGGGGGTGTGGTCAGTAGTGGGATGGTGTGTATGGTTAATAGTGGGGTTTATGGTCAGTAGTGGGATGTGGGGTGTATAGTAAACAGTTGGGTGGGGTCAATAGTGGGGTGTTTGGCCATTCTGCAAAGTGATTTTCACATTAATATGATCGTAACGGCCTCATGTCAACATTGACCTGCACCTACTGTAGAGCAAAGATTGAATAGTGCCACAGGGCCCTGCTCTCCTGTCAGCCGTGTGTCAGTTCAGCATGAATTGGTTGTAACAATATCAATGTACTATTTTGCTGAAATCAGTCAGTCGATATCAATATGAAACATGAGTACTTATTTTGACAGGCATAATTTCTGATGATTGTATTAAACTCATTGTGTTAGGATACATCTTGTAGTATGACCAAGTTTATGTTGATGACCTTTTTTAATAACTGGAGTAACATGAAGATATGAACCTTACATAAATAACAGCTTCTATATTGTTTGTAACTATACTACTCAAAAGAAGTTAAGGACCACCCAAATTTTTCATATATGACTAGAGTTTATTTGTCATGACATGACAGAGTAACTGTATAGCCATATGAAAAGAATGTGGATGGTCCTTAACTTCTTTAGAGTAGTATATGTTTCACAGCTTCATTCTTCGCAAGGAGTACTGGTAGCCATGAAACCTTGTTACAAACAGTAAAGAATTTGTTATCCATAGAAAGGTTTGTGTGTTTATGTTCTTCCAACTAACATTGGCTTCAAGAGGAACACGACTGTTTTGTATCTTCAGATGCGGAAAATTCCAGCTCCAGTAGTGAGTCCTCATACCCTACACTTGACGACACACCGGCCCCTGCTCAGGCCAGCACGGGTACAGCTCACGCCCTGCCTGCACGCTGGTGGTGTTGTCTCTGCTCCACAACCAACTATGTTAGCTCATGTGCAGGGATACTCTTCATCCTTGTACATGATGTTGTGATCAAATTTATATGATATGAACTGTTGTTCTGGCTTATTTTCTTGCTTGACTGCCTTTTGGCTTTAGATTTGACAGACTAGATTATTTGGCCATTTCTAGCTTTGTGAATGCAACACTGTTCAGTCAGTGTAGATGAGTTGCATGTAAACATAGGGTACATAATCATAAAAGCTGGAGCCAGTAGTGTTAAAGTAGATGACTAGTCTGTTTGCTGGTTGTGGATGAGGGATGATACACCTTCCTGCCAATCTCACTCCTCTGCTAGCTCAATTCTTCCATGTGCTCCTGTCCACTTGATCGAAATGTTCCCTTTGCTTTTGGGAATCCTTTCAACGAGTCCTGTTATAGTCATCTATTGTCAATCACTCTTTTTGCATTATCTTTACTTTTTAGACATCCATTTTATCCAGGTCCTCTACTGAAGTCATCTGTTATCAGACGACTCTCTCAGTTCTCTGTGGGGAATTGGGAAAAGTAGGCTACCTTCAGCAGCGTTAGAAATTGGAACTAGTCCCATAGTCCTTGCAAAACTGCCCAATAGTTAAGATATCATAAGGACTAGTAGAAATTTGCCCTTTTTAAGGGTTTTGCTATATGTTGTCATTATAAGGACTGGTGGACTGCAACTGTTAGTTTTTATTGCTGTACACACTAGTTGATCAAAAGAGGCGACTAAATTGGACCAGGCTCTGTGGCTGATTGCATGTCATTTTCCCCAATGGCATGGAGCATTATTCCTTTTTTCAGTCACTGGTTTACCTGGGCCAGACTTGATTATTTACGGCTGCCGTGATATGGCTGAAATTTTGTGATTGCTGCCAAAAACAAACTCTCTAGGGTCACATTACTCCAACAATACTGCTGTCACATTACACCAACATTACTTCAACATTTGCTGGAATAAAATCTGTGTCCCAAATGTGCTCTGTGGACTACGTTCCACTTGCACAAATACCCTTAAGCTAAAACTATTGTAACCCCTATCCTTTGTCACAAATTTCCAACAGTTACAGTGCTATGATTGTCTCCTCAGTGAGGCTGTTGTACCACCTAAACTTCAACATAGATTTACGATTGTTCTGGCACTGAGATTGGTGTGCAGACCAGGACCTAGGTCAACGAAGTCCTTGCTTGCTTGCCTGCCACAGATGTCGGGGATGACCTCCTCTTTGCTCTTGTCATCTACACCTGTCGCTTACCCTTAGTGCTTCCTGCTTCTGCTACCCTTGGAATGGCATGCAAACCAATGCTTGCAGCTATGATGTCAAGTTGTAATCTGCTATGGATCTGCATGATAGCAATAACTTGCTGATAAGGCTTCATTGTCCATGGTTTTATACAACCCTTTTATGCAAACATCACCCCTGGCTTGCTAAGTTGCAAATCATCATTGTACTGTCTGCCTGTTGTTGTGTCTCATACTTTCTCTAAGCAATCTGCCCCATAGTAAATGTATGCCATATGTATGTAGATTGTATATAATTTGCCAATATGTTCTTGGTGTTATTGTGTGTGGTGAAAACAAGTAATTTTCCCTTGTTCAATGAAAGTGATTTGAGCACAACGATGTCTATAAGTCTGTCACAGTGTGGAAGTTGTTGTGGGCATAGCCCAGAGATCACTTTGGGGAGTCCTGATCCTCTCTGTGTAAACTTGACTGTGATGTCTGATCACTTGTTGAAAAATAGTTTTTCTTAATGAAGTCCTAAAATTTCTCCCCTTTCTGTATTGTCAACCAACTTTAAAGATCAGTCACTCAAATTCATCTGACAAGAAGACATTTGATATTTTATTCCACAGTTCTGGCAAAATATGGGGATGTTTAATGTAAAAACAATCCTAAGCTTTACCCACCCATTGTGAGTTAAGTTCTAGGCATGTGAAATTGAGACATTGTCCCCATGTAATTAGGGCATTCATAATCTATTCAGATCGACATACATTATACTGTAGGAGTTAGCAGACACCCACAGTAGTGTTTGAATGACTAGGAATGTTAGGACTGCTTGATGCCTGAGCCTAGTCCCCACTGTATGCAATCTTGCCAAAACAGTTGGAATGTCCTGAAGCTGCCTACTGTGTGACATGCTGGCTTGCGTTCGTGGTTTGTGGTGCTGCTTAAGTTGTCACTCTAAATATGTTAAACTACAGATAGTTAGGAACCAACTTCCCGAAGCAAGGGTTGTACACTGACTGTACAAGTCCAGTTTCCACCCTTGGTGAACTACACTGGAATTTCTGGGCTCAATCGTAGTGTAACAAGGGGCTATTATGAGTTATGTCCCTCCTATTGACCAATCAGATTCCACCTCTCATATCAAATGCAGTTGCTTCAAACAAAATGGTGGCGCTCAGTCAAGACAATCTGATCAATAAACAAGATCTATATTGTAATAAAACAGGACTTACTTCATGAAGTGCATCAAATAACGTGAGCACCTTGATTAAAAACATGAAAACATTTAGAAAATATCTGTTGACGCCGCGTACACATACTTTGCAAATCCTTCAGTTGACCAAAATCTCCACGGCACTGGATGCAAATATTAGATCCAGGTAATATCCGGCTGTACCTTGTCCACTTTTAATCAAGCCTTTAACAAAACTGTAGAATTCTTCCCAAACAGCATGCACATCAACTTATCGAAGGCAAAGATACCTTTAGGAGGTAAATACACTGTGGAATCTGCTTAAGTAACATTTCAAGGGACAGAGAAAAATCTTTACTTATCTGTTACATTGTATTTTACTGATCCAGATCTGCAGACAAGTAATGGCATTGTGAATGTGTTGTAATGATTAATTAAACGACTGAATAACAATACATGTGCATTACAGTGAACAAGTTGACATAACAACATAGTACATTAGAGAAGAGAATTGATGGATGTCAACTTCTTTATTATGAAGAACGCAACATTTCGGAGTATATGCTTGCTCCTTCATCAGGTGAATGAATGCCATGAGGCACAGAGCATATATATGTACATGTGAAGACAACAAAATTAATAAGATAACAAAAGGTGGAAAATAACAAAGGGTAGAAACTAACAAGGGAACTTAACAAACAGTGAGTGGCATGGGTTGAGTCCAGTGTTTTGAGTGGGATTTCGATCTGAATTAAGGCGACAACGACATAACCTATAAACTGCTCAATGCTCAAACATTCATATTTCACATCAATATATTTTACTCAGATATATTATGGTCATTGAAAGTGTGTACCACAACATGAAGTGGGCACATTCTGATGCAGATGTGACGTCATATGTAGACTATTAAGTGCCAAACTTCAAGCGCTCTTATATATACACACTCTTAGTAAATATTTATCTTGTTTCTGCCCAAAATGTATTGCCGCACATACCGTCAGATAGCCCGAATGCTGATGACTGCGTTGTTTCAGTCACACATTCATGACCATCAATTCACAACATAGCTTCTGTTCGCCTTCACTGAGATGATGAATCATCATTTTGTTCCCATTTACTTAAATACAGAAAAAGGTCCAGATACTGATTGCATGGTGTTGTTGCATGATTACAGTAGTTTCATGGCCTGGTGTGTTGTGCAGAGAAGTACTCTATGACCCTTTGAATACTTGGTGTACATGAGCTTCAGTACTGTTGTTTCATCTTTGCCAAAAGCATTTCCCATTTCTGGCAACTATTTTCAAGCTTAGTACAATGAAAATATTATCTGTTTATTTTTTCATTTTATGTAGGGTAGTACGACATCAACTAATAAAATATTAGATGCTTTGTAAACTTTGCAGAATATCTATAGAAGTACTTGAACCATTGCGTTGAGATACACATTATGCCACTTCATATTTGGTAGCCCACATGACAGCACACTTTGGTAGTCCCCACATTGTGACAACCAGCTTTATGAACAGCAACATAGTTTGATAACAAAAACAAACAAAATTGAAACCCTGAAACGTCTTATTTTCCCCTACTTCAGCCAGCTGGTATTGATAATGTATTGTGATTCCACATTTTATATAGGGATTTGTAGCTATGACTGTTGGCACATGCACGATCACAGCAAGAGCAGGATACCACACAAGCACTGTGTATTATAGAAGACTGAGCTCAATGCTGGATACTCAGATCTGTGATGTATTTCCAATCTATGGCAGATCTTACTGGTATATGGCATGTCCAAAACTGAAATAAAACTGAAGACAATGTGAAGAGATGTCACCATCTTAACCTTAATATTAATACCCAGAGCATTAACAGGTGCCGCTTAAGCAAGAGTCTGAAGGATGTTTGATGACATCATCTGTGAGACATCTCTAGCGTATATTCAAGGTTTTACATAAACTTGTAACATTGGGAGTTTCTGTTTTCTGAAAGTTATTTCAGTCTCATTTAATTCTGAAAGTTTGTAGATTTGTTTTATTTTAAACAGTTAGTGGAGTAGCGGTGAGTGTTTTTTTAAATTTAAAAAAACAAACTCAGTCTGAATTTAGATTTCTTTAGTGAATTTATTGCGTCAGTTATGACTCGCATAAAAAACATTTGCGAGTATTACAGGATAAGACAAAGGAATTTTATGCGTCATGTGAAACTCGTATATATCTGCCATGAGTTTGACGTCTGCCACTGATAAGAGACAAACCACAGATCTGATTCCTCCATACATATTAAATTTGATCATTGAAATGTGTCCTTCCTGACTGGTTGTTCATAGACTAGGGCATGTTGTGTGTATTTACAGTGTTGTGGTAATAAATGTTTTCACCAGAATTACTGGTAACTTTTCCCAATTGCATTTAAATCATTTATGAAGGTTTGTTAATAGCTTGTTTCATCTTCCTGAGGCAAGGGAGTTAACTGGCTATTAAGGTCCAATTTTCACCCTTGCCGAACTAGGCTGGAATCTCAGGGCTCGATCGTAGCGCCACCAGTGGCTATTACGAGTTATGTCCCTCCTATGTCCCCTGTACTGACCATTCAGATTCCACCTCTCATATCACTTGCATTTGCTTCGAACAAAGTGGCGTCACCTAGTCAAGACTATCTGATCGATAATCAAAATCCATATTGAAGTAAAACAGGTCTTACTTCGCGAAGTGCATCAAAACACGTGAGCACCTTGATTGAAAACATGAACCGATGTGGGAAATATCTGTTGATACACATGTTGGCGGTACACATGCTTTGCAAATACTGCAATCAACCGAAATCTGCGCGGCTGTTTACAAACCTGATGTCGATTTCATGACACAATTTTGATTGGTCTATGCATAGACTCGTTAGTCCAGCCAAAATATAACTCCATAATTCCAGCCAAGTTTGGCAAGGTTGGAACTTGACTTTCATAGTCAGTTAACTTCCTTGCCTCGGGAAGATGAGCTTTTTTATGAATAATGTCAATTTGGCCTTTCCAGTGTAGAGATTGGACTATATAATGCTGTAATGTTTTAATGCATCTCTCTGCTTGATAATGCATTTTAATTATTTCCTGTTTATTAAAAACAAATCTCACATATATAAAAAACAAAGATTGTACTACTTTGATAGACAGAGATTTGAAGTTTCATTGAAGATTGGTCCTGCATCATTTTCTCATCTCCTGGCAATACTAGAAATTATGGAAAAGCTGATTCATTCATTTCATTGTATTGCTTCTGGAACAGACTTATCAAAAAGGAAGTCTTTTGCTCTGATTTGCTAACTCAGTCCATCAAGATATGACTAACACTCCATTGGAACCCTGAACCACCTAATCATAATGAAAGCTGTGTAGGTTGCTGAGCCATTCTGTAAGTCTCATACAGACCCTGATACAAATATATCCAATGTAGCTCATGCAAGTCTATAATGTTTGGCTAGTCTATAATGTTTGGCTAGTCTAGATTACTGCATTGAAAATGAAGAGTGTCTTTGGGCCCTTTTTATTATATTTTTATTAAGACAATTCAACAGCTGTTTTTTTCTGTAAGATATGTTAATTTCAGAGACCAGATGTTTATTTACCATTCTGGTTCCATCATTCCAAGGGGATTTGTCTTATTGACATACTGATGGCCTTGGGCAACTATTTATGTATGAATTTACTCGTGTTAAATGGAGGAAAATTGAAATCATTGCAATGAGAAATTCTTTTGGTGATCAAAAGTTGCATCTGGGTTGTTATTATCCATTCAGAACTGTCTGTTTATGTCTGATTTGGAGATACCAATGTCAGATTTGCTGATTTGATCATTTGCCCGCTCATATTTTGAGGAGTTAAGAGCCTCCTTTCTGATTGGATAATTAGATGTTTAAAGAACGTGAACTCTTTTGGAGAGGTTGTCACATCTTGGTGGAGAGGGGTTTTAGTGTGTGTTATTCCTTGAGGAACTATGTATGTTATGCCTTGGGACTTTGTGTGATCAGTGCCATAATAAAGTCTCTTGGAAAAATACAAAAATAAAAACAAAATTGCTGATTTTATGAGTTTCCGGAAGTGAATTTGAAGAACAAGATTTGTTTTGTTATTTCAAATTTCACTTTAATTTCAACATAACTATCTGATGCTTGTTTCAGGTGTTGAATCCAGGCTGTAACATTGATCCAGGAAAGGACATGGATAAGTCGTACACACTTCACAAAATTTTGACTTGTGTTGCAGATCTGGACCCAACTGTGGTCAACACAGACACAGATGCCCACCCAGAACTCCATCCTGCAGGTGAGGGTGGGGAGAAGCCGGCTGAGGGTGCAGAAGCAGAAAAGAAGCCTGAGCCCCTGCTGAAGACAGATTCGGTGGGGACAAACATGTCTGACACACCCACAGAGCCAGAACCCACGGATGGGAAGAAGGCACCAGTCAGTATGAAGATTCCTTCTAAAAAGGTATTGACAGATGAAAGGAGTTAGCTGATGGAGAAAAATGCCACAGATTAATGGATAATGTGTTTCAGTCTATTTAATATTTGAAGATCATCCTTGAATCCTAGTTTTGCAAGGGTGGAATCTGGACATTTACAGTCAGTTAACTCCCTTGCCTCGGGAAGATGGGTCCCTTAGAATTACGAGGGTTAAAAACCCTGATACACTCGAGTATCAACCTTGATTTGTCAACATTCTTAACTTGCTCGTGGGTTTCTGCCACAGTTGGATATGTCTGCAATCTTCATCACTGAGGGCTTCCCTTCCAAATTAAGCTGAAATGCCATGATACAAAGGAAATGCTATTTAAAATGGTGTTACATTGAACACACTCTCACATGCAGGTATATATGTTGTGCACATTTGGAGAAGTCAAGTATTGCATTGAATCCTGTCATTTTGCCAACAGCCATCAGTCAATGCTGGAACTCAACCAGATGATGTAGATGTAGCAGGGACTCTGACAGCTGATGAAGAGGCAGCATTGATGTCCTCGTACCACTACACAGGCGCCACCACCAACATCCATCCCTACCTCTCGGCCATGGTCAACTACGCCCAGCCTGTCAAGTTTCAAGGCTTTGAGATTGCAGAAGGTAGGTTGGGACTGCAGAGGGGGCAATTAAGGGGCAGTGAGGGCATCTTTCGGGCTTGCAGCACCACAGGTTCTGTTTCTCAAAGCATCCAAGGGCTCCATTCCACAAAGTAATCCTACTGCTATTATTGCTGTATTCTTTTGACAGGGTTCACTCTAGGGATTTTCTGACACTGGCCCTTTATGTGATATTTCAAATATTCCAGCGGTACTCCCAAACTTGCCCATACAGCACAATGTTAAGATGCCCCATTGTCCTTGAAAATGTGGGCCTTCGTTCAGATTTAGGGTCTAAAAGCACAAGGCCCTACCCAAGAATTATCCCTGCTTTCACATTGTGGTAGACATGTCAGGGATGCCACAGGTCATAAAAGTTCAGGAAAATCCAAGGAAATCTGCTTATGATAAGCATAGTGCTAAGACAAACACCCTGAGAAGATTGTCCATGACTAGTCCATAAACATGAATCTGTACTAATGATGTGTAATTGTGTTGTGAGCAATTTGTGAAACAAGCACCTCAAGATGTGATCGTGTCAATTACGTCTGGTGAGTTTGAATGCTTAGGTTATAGCATACACCTTTCTACACTTAATGGAAACAGGAAGCCCTTGTTTATTTGCCTACCAGGATACCCCTGGACTGAGGGTCACATACACAATAGTAGATGACAGAGTTTCAATGCTTTTCCCACATTGCATCATATTCTTTGTATTTGTATAATTAATACATTGCGTATGACATATTACTCAAAATTCATGAAACTGTCTATTCCTTACTCTGGGTTACTTGGAGTTTAGGTAAACATTTCACAAACATACATTTAAAATTCACAAGTTGAAAATTGTTGTTCCCAGTAGGGCTACACAACTTAGTTACTTGGGTCGGTTGGGTCCAGAGAAGGACCTGGGTCCCAACATATTGTACCTAACTTGATGCCTACAGCAGCTACACAGGCTGGTACGCAGGTAGTAAATTTAGACTCTTCCCACCTCTAATTCCAAAGTGTAAATACTGTTATGATGAATGCAATTGTCATTAAATACCAAACTCATACCAAATGACAATCATATTGTTTTACACAAACGTTTTCTGAAATTGTCAAATTGGGGATTAAATTCTCAGTGAACATTATTTTTGGTTCTTTTTTCGACTTGGTAAATGTCACTGACGGTGGCAGTTTTCTAAAGTGAGGTAACCTTATTGCCACGCAAAGTGAACGACAAACTACACCAACATATCACTTTTAACAACAAATAAGGAGTTGAATATTCTTTGAAATGAGGTATATAATTAAAGGGTTGTTTTTCTGTCCAAACATTTCTTTCCTGTCTTAAGACTTGTCAAGAGAACTAGGGCCAAACTCATCATTTCACTTGTCCTCAAAGATTCTAGCTGGTCCTGCTAGACTAATTGGTAACATCTAACGTCTTACTGGTCATTGAAGATACCGTCAATGGGTTTCTAGCCTTTAGCGCAGTTTAGTAATCTCGTCCTAGCAGACTAGCATTCTTTTCGAAAGCTACAATTCAGGTGTACAGGCAAGCCTTGTCGTGAAAATCTGAGCACCGACTATACTCTTAATGTGGTGGATTTAACTTCATATCATTTCTATGTAACCTTTTTCTTCTGTGGTTTGGGGAAAATAACAATGAATCAACACTTACTCCTTAACAAATCTGCTTCTTCACAAACAAAAATAAAAAAACCAACTCACATCTTTATTGTACCTCTATTTTGTGGCAAAATGTTTTCTCGATAGTCATGTTTTGTAACTGCTGACCATTTCTATCTTTGTCCTCAAGATTAGGGTGAATAAATGGGTTCAGATGTGTTTAGTTATCAAGTAGTTCCTTCATGCATGGAAACTGATAATTTTTCACTATTTGAAAATCCTATTTCAGAGAGGAACATACACTATCATATGTCCTCTTTCAACGAAAACACTGGGCTTGGCTACCTAAAGACACAAGCCATTGAGTTAGTAAAGTATCCTTTTCAACATCACATTTCAAAACTTAACATTTTCCCCATTTTATAACTGCATGTTTTTTTCTGAAACATTTTGTCATTGCACAAATATGAGCAGACTTGGATTGATGAGAGATTTGCATGCTTTAGACTAACCTGTTGCGTTAATATGTTTGTTTGCACTCATTGGATGTTTGCATGATATTAACACGACAACTAACTTGCATTGCAGGATTAGGCGGACTTGTATTGTGTGGATGTATGTGTGTGGAGAAGTTATGGCATGCTTAATACAAACATCTGCAAATGTTGGGGACTTGGTCATTTTCCATAGATGATGTTGCTCTTCTCATCTCAAAATGGTTACTTAAACATGCATAACGAAATGTGATTTTTTTTAACTTATCCTATCTCTCACTATGCATTTCGTCCTTTTTCTTTCGATCCTTATGTGGAAACGTCCTTAAACAAAGTTTCCAGCCACTCAAAATCATTTCGACCGGACACTCCTCGCATCACCATAGTCACCACACCAACTAATAGGTCACGCACAGCATCCTGTGCACTGTGACCCAGGTGATTTGTTCACCTGACACCCTTTGCCACATTATTCTTTCTCTTTACCACTGTGTGGAGATGTGCTTTGATAGTAGAGAATACAATTTTGTTTTTGTTTTGTTTTCTGGAAGAGAGCTTTCTGTAATACTTTACCATCCTGTCATGGGAAAAGACCAGAATAAATGCCCAGCTTGCTAGGGCTGTTGCCACTTCTTTTCGTCCTGTGGCCCACATGAACTATCCTGTGATTGTCATGGAGTTTGTAAACCTTGTAACTGATGTTGCCATTGTGCTCACTGATCAGAAGAGGCTTTTACAAATTATGTGGGTTAATGATATCGACAGAAGAATCGGGGGTCCATGGATCGACCTTCTAAGGATCATCAGATGGAGAAGCATCACAAGGATCCACATATGCATGATCGACAATCAACTACTGCCCTTTGGATGATCATCATAAAGTACTCTCATATCAGATGCCATGGTCTTCTCCCTATCTATTTGCGGTTAGAATACATCAAGTCATGAAGGTTGTCACGAAGGAAACTCACCTCCAAGTTTCAGTTGACCGTCTTCGCATTCAGAAGCATCATCTAGGGAAGCAACAGCGCAAGGATTGATGCCGTGCAACATTTCCTCCAAGTGACTCCCCTTGACTACGGGTTGACTGTAACCTCCCGCCGCCAGTCGTACCCATCTGTCAGTCTCCAGTAGGAGGAAGATTTGGACTTTTTGCCGCCAATTGGATCATGCTGGACAACCCCTACGTCACTCACCTCCTCCAAGAAGGGTGCTGGCTGCCTCTCATGGGGACTCCTCCAACCACATCCAAGCCACTCCAGAGGGTGTGTCCCAAACCCTAACCTGCTCACCTCTGCCTTGAGTATGTGATGTCTCCGTATTGGTTTGAAGATCTTTCTTATTCCTTCTCCTTGCCTTAGCATACTTCTTTCCTGCTGGTGTGATTGATAGACTTGACGAGGCGTGAAAAGAGATGCCAAGGTGATCAGCCTTACATCTAAGAGCATATGTGTTGGTTTGTCTTGTGGAATAATTGCCTGGAGACTCCTTCTGAATTGGTTACAAGTCATGGCAGAATAGGTTCCTTACTTCAAAGCAATACAGTCGTTTTTTAAACAATGTCCTATGCGAAAGCACATAACAAATGTCCTGATTTCCTGATGTTGTGTCCTAGCAGCAGCATAAAGGGGTCTTCAAGCCTAAAACAGTGTTCTACCCACTCACGGGTCCATGTCTTTTTGACACTATTGTACAAATTTTTTTTTATCCCCTCATCACAGAGAATGATGTGGCATGGGGTGTCAGATGATCATACCGCCTGGGTCATGATGCACAAGATTGTAGCGCGTGACAAATTTGTTGCGGTGGTGACTATTGTGATGCGAGGATTGTTTGGGCGAAATGAGTTTTTGAGGCTGGAAAACTTTGTTTTAGAACATTTCCACACAAGGATCGAGAGAAGAAGGCAGCAATGCATTTAGTGTAAAAATAAGGTACTCCTTAGAAATAATCTTTATGAAATGAAATAGTTCACATTTCTTGATTATAATTATCTGTTGTTTTTCCTATTTGTAGCATTGATAATTATTGTAGTCTAATGCCAGTGACATTGGTACGTCGGTATACCTAATACTTGTGATATTGGTACATCAGTTTGCCTATTGGTTGTGATATTGGTACATCATTATGCCTAATGCCAATGACATTGGTACGTCAGTATCCCCACATACAAGCATAGTGCTTCCTGCAGGTTTGTCATGAGTTGTATTGTTGTCCGTTGCACTAGAGATTGACAGAAGACCATGTGTTGTGCATGTATTATCACACTGTGATGGACAACATTTGTATGATGACTGTTGTCAAATGTTCTGTTAACTCAAAAATCAGGAAAATTTCCTCTGAGATTAATCATAATTCATGCAGTAGCCTGGTGGTTAAAGCATACAGTCTTGCTGAAAACACGGTTTCCATTCCCACATTGGTAATTAGCTGTGTCAGAAACATTTCTCTTCATATGCTAAAATTGGCATACAACCTGACTTTGCTCCTTCACTTGGTCAGTTGAATAACATATTTCAGATTTTTTTTAAACAAATAATTCATTTAACATCTGCTTTCCTGACTTTTGTGTATATTATGGTTTCCTCTTGATAAGCACATATATGATATTATTTGTTTATGATATTGTAGATCAAATAAGCACTTTGTGAATGTTCAAAGTTGTCCAATTTACAAGATTCTCCGAGTTTCGGTCCTGATTTACAACATGGGAAGTCTAAAACAGTTAAAAGATGATTGATCTCTTTGGGGAATACTATCTGTGAGGATTTCTGTGAGATGTTGAAAAACTCAAACTTGAATGTAAGAACTCCCTGTGATCTCGATCTTGCTTCTTTGGCTGAGAGGGGAAAGGTAGCTACCATGTATGTGTTTATCATGTTGGACAGTGATACTAGCTGTGATTGAATGTTTAAATATTATTCTCTCTTTGTTCAGCCATCGGATGTCATTTCAATATGTCTTCCTTCAATGAGTCGGCTGCACTACAATTGATCAAACATTCTTGTATAGAACTAAATGAGTATCCTTTCCTTGATGTTGTGATAGCTGTGACTGTATTTGCAATGCATATAACCAGGGAAATGTTGAGGTGTGAGATAAACCAAGGTATAACATAATGACTGCAGTATCTTTACATCACAGCTTGCTGGGGAAGTGTTGAGCTGTGAGATAAACCAAGATATACCATAGTGATTGTACTGTCTTTACATGACAGTTAGCTGGGGAAATGTTAAACTGTTTGACAAACCTAGAATAATTTTTTAATATGACGTTTAAAAGATATACAGCTTTTCCATTGGACGAAAGGTTGGTCACATGACTGCAAAATTGTTGTTCTTAAGTGTATGAACAACACAATTTCATGAGACCGTATTCTTGAAATGACGTATATATACTGACCGACTACTTACGCATTCCTTGGGGAACCCCTGGGAATTTCTAGCATAAATACATACAAAAACATTGTTTCTGATCATTTAGACCGTGAATTCTTGAACTTGAGGGTTTGACTGCTCCATCGTTCATACAGTTTGGCCTTCACTCTATATAGGTTCATAATCAAATGTGAAAGTCAATTCTTAATAAAACTTAAATAAGGTAATATGCAGCTGTTCAAGAGTAAACACAATGAGCTGAATCTTTAAACTCGTGGCTTATGAAACAATCCAAATTTGGAGGGGAGGTGGGGTAGCCTAGTGGTTTAAGTGTTTGCTCGTCACATGGAAGACCCGGGTTCGATTCCCCACATGAGTACAATGCATGAAACCCATTTTCTGGTGTTCCCTGCCGTGATATTGCTGGAATATTGGTAAAAGAAGTGTAAAACCATACTCAATCACTACAAGTTTCGGATGTAACTTCTAGTCTAGTCTAATCCTTATACAACAATTTCCCAAATTCTGATTTAGCCAGGTATAGTGGGAAACATATAAATGGGTAGAAGCTGCCTATTTAGAGTAGGACAGTGTAGGGAACATTTCTTTAGTAACACAACAACACTCAAAACAGTGCATTTGCCAATAGAGTCTTGTGATGCACCTGCTAAAAGGCAAGTGAGGTACCAGACACAGAGATAGATAGAGTGTGTGGTTTCTTGTTATTTTTGTCATTTAATTTTTTAAAAGAAAAACAGACTATATTTCACTACTGGCAATGGCTATCCCTAATGAGATAAGTTATGGAGTTGACTATGTTATGTATCATGCAGTGAACAAAACTGGACAAAAAGATATACTTCCAAACCGAATAAGCACATGTTCCTTGTATGTAAAGCACTCCTTGTGGTACCTCATACATTATATGTACATGTCTGCACTCAACACACACATCTGTCCCCCCAGAGACGGGTATATTCCCATATTGTACTGCACGGAGTGTACTTTTACTGTTACTTGCTTAATGCCATTGTATTGTATCCAGTGTGTGTACATCGCGAACGTTTCTAGTCACTAGTCTGCATGAGTCTTCAGCATGAACATATGGAGCATCCATGAGAATGCTGTTACCTTGTCATTTTCACTAATCGTCGTAAATTGTTTTGACATTTTACCGGGTGTGATATGCCCCTGATAAAAGCTGTTTTCATTAATGATATTTGTCATTATGATGAAACAAATCGGTCATGATTAAACTGTCGAATCACACTTGTTTGGAATTGTTTTTTAAAAGGATTATATAGTGGCATCTGTTTTTGAAATCCAGTTAATTTTAATGTCTCTTTTTTTTCTGGGTATAAAGGACAATGAAATGCTTTTTTGAAACTTCATCAAAATGTTGCCACCCCAGTAAGGGTTTATCTTTAAATGAGACTGCAGATTTTTTTATAAGATTAGGACACTGTTAGCGATTTGTGGACAAAAGGCCAAAATGGTAAATGACTCCTGAAGACATGGACCTTAACGAAGCCAGTTACAACAAGCGTCAGATGAGTCGAATCTACCCAAAAGGAGGGCGGGTTGATTCCAGCAACTACATGCCACAGGTAGGCTTATAGCATCATCTCCCCTTGCCTTGCCCGGGGACATTAGTCCCCTTCCAACACATCCACCTTGTACTTCCTGGAGTGGACAGTGTTTGTTCAGCAGAGGTGTGGGTTATGGCCAGAGTAACATCCCTTTACTACCCGAATCTGCTGGTGGTGGGTTTGAATCCAAAGGACTCACCCTGATTATGATTTTAGTATGTTGTTTATGTACCATACCAGCACTATTTAAGTTTTAAGTTGGTGAATTTCTAGCAACCTTGCCATCATGGATGGTAGAAATTTGACCTTCATGATATGACTTGGGGCCCCCCCCAAAAAACCTCTGAATATGCAGAAATATCATATAACTATATACCTTCATGAAATAAACCTAAAATCATCTTACTTGTGGATCTATGTGTATAGTTTGCATAAGTGCATCTTTCCTTAAATATAATCTCTGAACCTATATTTGAATATCATATTCTACATAAGCATGGACAATATCAGTGATACTATTATATTTTTTGTAATGGTGGTTGGTGCTACTGTCCTATGTTCCTCACCTGAAGCTCTGTCACAATGGTCCTTGATCCTATGGTATTATGGCTCAGGCTAACAAACAAATTGCTGTGTATCAGGTAATGTACTCTAGACAAAAATAGGACTCTGAGAGAATTATTTTCAGGTGTTGACAGAAAATGATGGTTATATAAGTTGATAGTTTTGCAAATTCAAAATGTATTGTTAATTTGTGTTGGTCACAAGTGATATAATTAGCTGATCATGTTACCTTAAAATCAATACCAGTAATAGAAACTCTCACTGGTCCCATCAACTTGAAAAAACCTTTTCAATTTCAGGAATCTAATAGTATCAGTACAAATTACTGAAATTGACACAAGTTTGAAAATAAGTGGCAGTGTAATTATGCATGAGTTAGTTCGTAACACTTTATGCAGGATTTGTCATATTTCTGAAATTGTTCATTTTGGAAAACTTTTATTCATGTCAAACGCATGTGTTGCTCTGATCATTGAAACAGCTGTATATTTCTTAACATGTTAACTTTAATTCATTGCAGATTTTCTGGAATGCAGGTTGTCAAATGGTTTCGCTCAACTTCCAGACTTCAGACCTTGCTATGCAGCTCAACCAGGGAAAGTTTGAGTATAATGGCAACTGTGGGTATGTGCATGTATATGCTTATAATCAAAACATGAAGCCGTTTCTAATCTAATTACAACTCTGATGTAGCACCTTCCATTAACCCTTCTGTTCCTATGAATCTTAAAGAATTTGTTATGTTATTTTTGCAGTTATCTCTTGAAGCCGGACTTCATGAGACGACCGGACCGAACATTTGACCCGTTTTCTGAGAGCCCAGTGGATGGTGTGATAGCTGCTCATTGCTCAGTGCAGGTGAACAAAGAAATATTCTCTTCCATTTTGTTGCATGAGTACTAGTTTTTCATTTCAGTTCAGTTCTGCACTGAGGGATTAAAATATGGTGCAGAGGTTTTGCACAGGTTTGACGTTTTGAAAAGAATTTTGATGTCTGTCTTAGAGAGTCCTCTTATTTTCAGAAGATAGGGAAACAGTAGTCCGCTGTTGGGCATGGCCTAGTTTGTTTAGGTTTATGGACATGAATGCAAAAAAAATTGGTTGGCCAAACAAGTGCTGTGAAATCACTTTCAACTTATTTATGACAAATTAAAGCAATGGGACCATAGCAGACTACATGTTCATGTGCAGACGACAGGATGGTGTTTTCTAGGTGAAGTTTAACACAATTTTAGTCAAATGATATGAGGATGTATGTGATAGTCATATGACAAGGGGATTGTACATCTCAGCTGCAAATTAGATGATATGCCACACATTAAAGACCTTCACTAGATAATAGAGCAATATAAAGATACCGTCAGACTCTCAAACTACATCTGGTGTACATTCAGTGAGAGTGCCAACAACAGGATTAATTCTAAGGGAGAGATTGTTGACTGGAGAAGTATGCAGTGGCTTGTTGTTTTGTATAGGTGATCTCTGGCCAGTTTTTGTCTGACAAGAAGATTGGTACTTATGTGGAGGTGGACATGTATGGATTGCCGACAGACACAATTCGCAGAGAATTCCGAACACGGACGGTCCCCAACAATGGTCTCAACCCTGTCTATAATGAGGATTCTTTCGTCTTCAGAAAAGTAAGTAATAGCTCAGGCTAGCAGTGTGTTTTGTAACATTGAGATTTACTGTATATCTTTCTCTTGAAATGTTACACATACTGTTAAAATATTAATTCATTAGACACGGTCTTGTGTGACTTTCTGAAATAATTTGTCATAGTCCTGTGTCTTAATGATAATTCCTGTGTGAATTTGGATCTGTCACTTAACATACCGTTCACTGTTCACACCTTATTGATGTTCTTAAATGATAGTATCTACTTATCCTCATGTATACTGGATATAATAATCCTGAAATCCTGAAATATATCATTGACTTCCCAGAAACTTCTTGTGACTCATCTCATTGTTTTGCGGAGTGGGCCCTGCATTCTGATCACTTGTGACATAACTTATGATGGTTATAATGCAAAGAGTTTTTGAAAATCAGGCCCAGAAGACCCAGTCTCAACTAACAGTGTCAACTAACTAAAACATTTTCTGATATTGCTGCATTTTGTTGTTCCTAGGTAGTATTACCGGAGTTAGCAGTATTACGCATAGCTGTATATGAAGAGACAGGCAAACTGATAGGACAGAGGATCCTGCCCTTGGATGGACTTCAAGCAGGTAGGCTGTCACTGTGCATTGCTACTTGATCACTGGTACATTATCACTGACATACTTTTCACGAGAGTCCCAGTCATCTGAAGAGCCACAGTTTGCTGTACAGAGTTGCATTTGTTAAAAGTTTGAGTCCCAGATTTTCCCTGATTCTGTTTATATGTTTGTTGGCACCATACTCATTGGTTTAACTTCAGTGGTAAGTGTCTAAGACCTGATTCACTTGGGGCTTTTGTCCCACATCATCATCATCATCATCATCATCATCATCAATGTTGTGTCAGATTGATGTGAGGAAGGATGTATACATGTGTTTGCAGGTTATCGACACATCTCCCTACGTACTGAAGGAAACTTCCCTCTCTCACTGCCAACAGTTTTCTGTAGAATCATCCTCAAAACCTATGTCCCAGAAGGATTTGGAGGTTTGTATGAACTTCGTTATTAACATGATTAAGTCTTTTAGAGGTGTATACATTTGCGCAGTGACATCAGCATGATTTCAACAGCTTTTGATGGGACATTCATGTATATCATTACCAAGTTTGGAACATTAAGGATATGACGAATATGACAATCAGTCAGAGGAAAATGAACTATTCTGAAACCTGGGCCATGCATCAAGCATGTGACCTGGATTCTGATTCCTGATACTGCAGCATCATGAAACACATGATTATTTATCTAAACATGCTGATGATAGTTATGTTTTTAGGTATACAAAATTGTTGGTTGATCATGTCATATAACAGGTTTATCTCATCAAGTGTCCTGAAGAAGGTATTTTCATGACAGGCTAGTGTATGACTATGTCATAAATTTTAAACTCAGTTCTCTGTCCTTTACCATCAATCTTCTACACTTTGTATCAGCTGCAGGCCTAGCTATTGAAGATGTGACTGAGGAGATCAACAAAAAGCTAAACCTTTGTTCTCTAAATGTTTTGGGGTTCCATCTACCAGCCAGCGGTATCTATACTCGCTGTCAAAAGAAATGTGAATACCATATATGTTGGTTAATATATGAAGAAGTACTCGTATTCAAGAGATGTTAGATTGGTTCGATGCTCAAATGAACATACTCTTTCGTTGTTAGAACTGACCCTCATGAATGCACCACATGTGATGTCATAGATCCATGACTGGAGCTGCACCGCATGTAAAGTTTTGAAAAGACATGCTGTATAGCGTGATAAGAATAAAGACACTCTGTGGTAACACTTGACTGACTGTTTATTTTGTCATTATTTGGTAGACATTGGAAACATCTTTTCTTAATGTACATACTTCTCTGTATGTTTCTATGGTTCATGTTTCTTTTGGCGGTGAGTATATTATCAGCTGCTAAACTGACAGCTCCACACACACTAACTCAGAAATTATTTCCAGATTTTGTCAATGCTTTGTCTGACCCCATGGCCTATGTTACACTGGCCGAGAAGCGTGAGCAGCAGATGCGAGATATGGGCATTGATGAAAAAGACATCAGTGATGTGCCTGTGGTCCACAAGCCAGAACCTTCTTCCAAACCTGTCAAGACTCCAGCTCCATCCTCAAATGGCCAGATTCAGCCCAACCCTACAACCCCTCAGCCCACTAGTAAGCCAGATAAGAAAGGTGGGTTTGCAGTGTTAGTTTCTATCAAAATTGTTTTTCATTTCTAGCTTTTCTAAATGCATTTTACTAAAATGTTAAACAGAGATGATGTGGTGATGTAGCATTTTACCATTGTGTTTTTGAATTATTAGCAACTGCAAAACTGACTAGGTTAGGTCTTTCTTTGTGCGTAATGAATTGTGTCATGTGTACATGGTCTTTGTAATATATTCAATCTGGCTAAATCCTTTCAGTTGCATGGATCCATGCTCATGATATCAATCACTGGATTGTCTGGTCCAGACTCGATTATTTACAGACCGCTGTCATATAGCTGGAATATTGCTGAGTGCAAACAGTGGAGTATTGCCCCTCATTACTGACTGTATGATCATATGAAGACGTGCATCTCATGTATAATACTCAAAAGAAAGTTAAGGACCACTCGATTCTTTCAAATTACTACAGTTAATCTGTCATGTCAAAACTCCTTTTGGCTAGTTGTGTACATAACAACTGACCCATGAAGATCCGGGTAGAGAATAGGTCTTCAGCATGCTTGCTGTAAAAGGCAACTATCAAGAGGCGACTAACCAGATTTGGTGGTCTGGCTCGCTGACTTAGTTGATGCATGTCATCGTATCCCAATTGCATGGATTGATGCTCATGATCTCAATTACTGGATTGTCTGGTCCAGCCTCGATTATTTACAGACCGTCGTCATATGCTGAGTGCAGCATTAAACAACAAACAAACAAACAAACTAACAAACAAACAAACACAACAACCTCATTACTTTTTCTGGTGGCATTTGTTGGCTTCTTCATGTTCCTTCATTAACTTCTGAATGTCAATCCAAGATGTGTCTTACAAAGTGTTTATCTGCTTGCCAGCCGATGAAGTGCTGTTTGACCCTGTGACCCGTGACCACCTCATGCAGGACAAATCCTTCTTCAAGTTGCTGAAGAAGCAGCAGAAGGACATGGAGATGCTGAAGAAGAAGTTCCAGAAGGAGCGTGTGTTGATGCAGAAACAGCATTGTACAGTGGTGGACAAGCTGGTGGCCAACCACGACAAGGAGAAGCTGGCTGCAGAGAAGAACCTGGAGAAGAAGCTCAAGAAGAAGGGGTTAGTTGTCTTTCTACCACTCCATGGGGTTGTTAGTTGAAACTCTTGATGTGAGGTTTCTCATACTGTACCCTCTAAATACAGGTAGTGAGAATCACAAATAAATGCACAGATTTTTCACCAGAAAACATGAAACTATAAGATATTGTTATTACAAAAGAGGTAAGCTGATATTGTGAGATTGAACCTGTCACTTTCTGGGGGTATTCTCCTTTTCACAGGTCGTTTGAGATTACTGAATTCAAAATGATTCAGTGTGGGGATTTGCATATTTTCAAATGTCTAACATCTGCCTAAACCAGAAGATATATTTTTGTGAGTAGTCAAACTGGGTTGAGAATTTTCTGCAAATCTGTTGAATTCTATTGATTTTATTACCTCATGGGTCACTTCTGTGATACATGCCATTGTAATATGCGCATAAATCATATAGTACCTAGGACCCCCCGACAACTTTCTGTGTGTTTTTTTCAAAAGAACCATTTTTCAGGGAGAGTTCTTTGACTGATCTGAAAATGGCTACTGAAGACAAAGTGCAGAGCCTTGTCACAGACCACAAAGCCAAGGTACTGTTTATCCCGTTTGTTGAATTGTTATGTATGGAAATACAAGAATTCAGGCACTCATGCTCATATAAAATTTCTATGTATGCTATTCACAATGGATATTCACACGATCAAACCAAACTGAGAAAGACATTTTTTATTTACTGATTGCACTGCATCATTTAACTCTCGGGCTTTCACCAACTCACTTACTCACACATGTTAGATTATTATGTCTTCATTTGTTATCACATGAAGTATTTTTACTGTGCTATTTCTGAATGATTACCCAGTCGTAGATAAGAAATATGAATGGAACTGTCGCCAGACTAGCTTCTGGTCTGTACTGAGGTTTCTGTGTAAAATATGCACTATGCATCCAGACAGTGTAGGTGTTGTGTGTGTTGGTCAGGTAAAGGACCTGGTGGTGGACCAGACCAAGGAGTGGTCGGACATGTGTCTGCGACAGGTGGCGGAGGAGCATGAGATGAGGAAGGAGCACATCACCCAGCAGAACGACTTCCTCGTCAAACTTCTGGAAGAAGCACACCATGACCAGCTCAAGGAACTCGAGAGCAAACAGGAAAAGTAGGTCATCTGTAGACTGCTGTGGTGGACATTGTTGTCATCTGCAAATGAGTAATTATAGAAATGGTAGTTTTGCTTTCAGTGGAAAAAATATGAGGTCATTCAGACCTTTCAGTAGTCTAACATCTATTCTTTGAAATGAATATATTTTTCAGAAAAAACAGTGATATATCAAATATAATAAAAAGGAGCCCATAGACTCTCTTCATTTAGTAATATAGACTTGCTAACGGTTATAGACTTGCATGGGCTGTATAACAGACTAATCTTTCAGAGAAACGTGTTTGTAATGGAGATTGGTAAGGGGAAATAATTTTGGCTTGATTTGAATTATCCCCTTATTTAGTCCCCTGGGTCCAGGAGATAGTGTCCGAGTCATATATGGCGAGGGAATGATGATTAATTGTTGCCCTTGTTTCAGGGAGAACAAGGAACTGAAGGCGAACCAAGCCAAGCAGTCAATGGAGTCTTTCAAGATGGTGCAGAATGATAGGTCAATCAAAAATAAAGCAGAACGAGATAGGTGGGTCTTTAATTCTTTACCAGTGTATTATATCAAACATGCACATGATCTTGTTCAATACTTATGTCATTTTGAATACAATTCAGTAAAGGTATTGAGAGTTATTTTCTTTCTGTACGATTGTGTGGATAGATCAATACAGTGGAATATGATTCAGGAAGGTCTTTAAAATACAAACATTTTGCATATTACAAGATTGATTATGACTACTTATATTAACTGATCAATATGCTAAGAAAGATGTTAAGACATTTTGTGTGATACATTTCAGGCGGATACGAGAGCTTAACTCCAACAACATGAAAAAGTTCATTGAGGAGCGAAAACGCCTTGCAATGAAGCACTCACGCCAGGTTGAAGCTCTCAAGAAGATCCATACAGAACAGGTGGAGAAGCTGGTTAAAGACAATGAAAAGGTATGCAACAACTATCATGAAAATTAGGGCTGTGAGACTGTGATTCTTTTGCTGTCTCAGACATTTTTCTTGTACATTCTATCTGAGATAAAAATTTAGTTTTGAAACATGTCTGAAATCAATGTTTCCAGCTTCTAAAGTTAATTCATTCATTCATACCTCATGTCGCCATGGTCACCTCCTAGATCTGGGTCATGTGCGCATTGCATGCCTGTTGACCTACATGTGCCAGTCAACTCATTCTCTTTTAAATCGCCTCAGTGGTGATGTGTTGTTATAGGGAATCCATTTTTGTTTTTTTCCAAGCAAGTGATCTTCGTTTTTTGTCTTTTTGCCTCTATCGGCTTGATGTGCGGTGTACGTTTTTCCTCTTGAATACCTAATGTAGTTTAGGCCAGATCTTCACTTATATCCTTGTTGGGATAGTTGTTTGATCATCATGGATGAGCAGTCCACATGACGACTTTTCTCCATCTGAATCACACTCACAGTGCTCGTATTGTCGCCGATTGTGTAGTTACTCAGAGCGTTGTGATCTCTACTCCAACCTACCAGATGAATGTTTCAAACTATATCTGCATAAATGTTGGCGCGGGTGTCTGATTGTTTGTCCAAGACCACAGATAAATGCACGAAAGAAAAGAACACACCGGTCAAGAAGGCTTGATTGGACCGATCATCCTCACCGGCCAGCCAGGATACCACAAATCCCTGCGGTCCCCTGATTTCGTTGGATGACAAAGGAGTCTCCCTTGCTGACAACATGTCTAACGTCTCCACGAATCCACTTCTAAGAGCCGAACCGACAATCAACAGGCTGAGATTTGGACGTTCACGAGTGTTTACTTTAGACGTGAGTGGGGCTGATCATTTACGTCAGCTCACCTGCTCGTGTGCTCATGCTACGTTGAACCCTACCAAGGATCGTAATCTCATCTCCTCGTCTTCTACGACTAACATGGAGCTTGCTCCTGTTGTACCCTTGGAGGATACACATGCTATTGATACCGCGGCCAACCTTATGGGTTCTCTCCGTTGATCGAGATCCCCTAATAGACAACCTTCGAAGGATCAGTCCTCAAAAGACCACCATACGGAGTCGTCTGAAGACTCATCGCATCAGGGCTCATGAACCTACCATTCTCTAGAGGGCTGACAAGATGGTCAACATTCATCCCAGGGGATTCAACATGTAACATCGATTTTTCCACTGATCAACTAGCATCGACAGTCACCTCACTTTATCCAGAGCGATCATCGACAAATCGGCATTCAGACAGACTCCGACGGACCTCCCACTCTCGACACACCTCGAGACATTGAGATAATTCGGCAGATCACCGACCTTCGAAGGCTCATCGGACCTCCAAACCTTGAACCTCTGAACCTACATCCGAACCTCGTCATACCTCTGATTGAGGTTCGGCCAACGTTACCAAACTGAACTTTGAAGGACAGACCTCTAAGGATGACGCATTTCAGAGGAGGTTCAAAGGGTCTCAGGGGTTTGTCAAACCTCCAAGGATCGGGGACATTCAAAAGACAGATGAGCTGGATATCACTCACCTCTTTATCATGTCTCATGCAGAGACTTTTCGGATTCATCATGTTTGGGTTCGGAGGATGAACGCTACAACAATTCTATTGGTCATTCATCCTACATGACTCAGTCTTACCATCCGGATTTTCGACCACGAAACTATCCTCACCCTTATGACTCAACAACAGGAATATCTTTGGAACCCTACCTCATACAGTGCTACACCCATGAGTGGCAACGTTACCCAGACGACAGGGATTCTTATCCTCCATTCCATGGATACCCTCATGATCCTGCCTTTCTGGATTACCGAACCTCTCGTTCAAGCCATCATCATAATATTTTTCCTCGTCAACATATGGCTATCATTAGTACTAGTAGATGTCCTATGCTAAAGACAGACTCAGTTCTACTTCACCTACTCATCGTTCGGGCTCCAACCCCATGTCGACGCCCTCCTGTTGCATCTGAACCACAGGCTCTACCTCAAGCTATCCCTACGTCGTGGATCCCCAGTGATCTTTCTGCCATTCCAGCACAACAGATTCATTCTTTCTTACAGGCTGTAGGGGCGGTCGGGTAGCCTAGTGGTTAAAGCGTTCGCTCGTCACGCCGAAGACCCGGGTTCGATTCCCGACATGGGTACAATGTGTGAAGCCCATTTCTGGTGTCCCCCGCCGTGATATTGCTGGAATATTGCTAAAAGCGGCGTAAAACCATACTCAGTCAGTCAGTCAGTTACAGGCTGTAACAGCAGCATGTCTTCCACAGCCGACAAACTCTGTAACAACTTTCGTAGCTCTCTCCGCATTGACAGCCGCTACATCCTCCTTAGTGGATTAACCGCCGAACTAGAATCATCAGACCACAATACTTCCACAGCTTTGTCATCCAGGAGATTCGACATAGCTGATCAGATCACTGTGCTAATCTTGATTGCAGATAAACTACAATTGTTGAAAAGTACTTCAGCGGTGGACACCCTATCATCATTCTTTGTACCATTAGCCTCATCGCAAAACATCACGCTTTCTCCGAGACCAGTCCTACAGGATATGGCAACCAATTTAGACAAAGCCATTGGCTCTTTTCGCCGTCTTCATGATCGTCTACAGTCTCCACACTTGACGGATGCAGGCACTCGTGGCTTGGCAATGGTTGCTCCTGAACTAGATGGTGACATTGCAACCTTAGCTCCTAAGAGGCCATTACTCTTGCTCTTCAGCGGACAATAGGGACTATTTACTCACCTCACAAAACCTGTCTTCAAGTTCCTACACATTCGAGGCATCATCTTTAAAACCTACATCGTCAACGAGGATTCGAACACTCTTCTTCGTCACCTCAATTTCTCATAAAGTCTCCAGTTCTTCAGAGCCCCCTTCAACAAGTTTGGCCCGATCTCGGTTTCACGATCCCTTATTTCAAGCACCTTCACTTTAGATATGTGTGTTGAATAGCGGATTGACAATCCTTTTGTAGATAATGCTGATCGTTTTCCTCTTCTGGTTTTAGCCCATCAATTTGTGTGATCAAAAAGTGTGATTGAGGGTTTGATGAAGCAATAAGAGAGATGCCAAGCGGGTCCAACCTAAGGTCCTCAGGAAATAGGGATACCCATCTTGTAGATTCCACGAATGGTTACATCCCTTCTTGAATATGTGTCGTAGTTGTTTGTTTTGACATATGATTATGCTTCTTTTGAACATGTTACACATATTGTACCCGACTTACTGCGTTTCGTCAGACACCATATACTAGTTTCTATTATATGGTCTCTGGTTTCGTTTGTTTGTGTATCAGAATCTTAACGCTCTTTAAAAGTGTTTTCTTATTCCTATCCACAAGCTTTTTTGTCTTATGGCACTTAACTTTGTTACTGTAAGTATTATAGCACTGTTAAGTTCCAGTTTCCTCATAAATATCCTATGGTTGTGATCTATATAGACTAGGGAGTTGCACCCAACCATCCAACTGTGGGATAAAATGCATAGTGTGAGATAGGATAAGTTTAAAGATTTGGAAATTTTAAAATAAATTGTGTATTTATATACTTATCCTATCTCACATGTTATATGCCCTCCTGTTGTCCATCACCGCATCGCAATTCCTTTGTCAATATGCCCTTGAAAGAGAATGAGTTGACTGGGATAGCCACATGATCAGCGCATGTAGGTCAACCAGCATGCAAAGCGCGCAAGTCTCAGATCTGGGAGGTGACCTTGGTGATGTGAGGTATGTACGGATTAATTAACTTTAGAAGCTGGAAACCTTTATTTCAGACATGTTTCCATTCAGAATTGAAAGAAGAAGAGAAATGAGTAGTGTGAGCTAGGATAAGCATGTTAATATACAATTTATTATAAAATTTCCAATTTTCCTTAACAGAAAAAATTGAGGGAAATAAGATGTAGTTTGGGCCACCCAGACACTGAACATCATGAGTCAGTAGAACAAGTTTTTATAGTAATGCATCAGTTAATTGAACTGACATATTAACCAAAATTAACGTGAACAATTGACGTGCATGCTGTTGATTGAAACATATTATAATGTAAAGATATACGCTTGGATGGTTTTGTAGGCTCTAATACTGACTGCACAAACTAGATGGAGTATTGTGGATTAAATCATGTCAATTATGCATGATTCTACATCATGTGAGAGCTACAGGCTGTCAAAACATTTGACAGCCGGCTGCAAGCTTTTTCACACATGCTATCCTTCCCAGTATTGCCTCGATGAATGTATGCAGACCTGTTGATGGCAGACTTTCTGTTTCAGTATCTGGACATAGCAGATATGGCTCATGAAGAAGCGCGACTTGGCACAAAGCCTGAGACAGTTGTGTAGACAACCCAGGGTCAGACAACTGGTGGTCATTGTATCATGTAGATGTATATTTGTACTCATCATCACATCAGATGTATAGAATATGTGAGGAATATTTTCACTTTTTACAAAGATGACGTGAAAATGTTCAAGTAAAATGTTGAGACTAGACTTAGCATTTTTCGCAAAGTTAATAATATGAAATGGACATGATCGTTTTCCTCTCTTCCAGTTTTGGGTTGTTTCTGTGATTTTCGTGTTGAGGAAAGTTAATCTTTCCTAATCAAAGTGAACAAATCTCATCTCTGTGTTCAGCTGTTTTGTGAATCTGGTGAATCGCTTCGACTCATTGTTTTGTACTCAACCCATGGCCACACTCTCCACAACCACTTATCTTCCCTTAGTACCTTTCTGGGGGTCTTGTAGCTGTCATGGTCCAAGCTTTCACTCAGGAACACTGTCTATCCGACTTTACTCTGGACCACTATATTCACAAGGTCATCGTATGGTGAGAAGGCAAGGCCCTTGCCTCTCCTTTGCTCCTTAGGTTTATAAAGATGTAGCTCATCTCGATGATACGGATATAGTTTATCAGTGTCTGTTTACACACTTCATTACCAAATACTTACACTGGATTTCTTTTAGATATTTATTTGCATTGTTTGTGTTTCTTGCCGTTTGATAAGCATTTATGTTATTACAACATGTGTCCTGTGATTATTTTTGAGTTTGTGGTTGTTAATAGTGTATTTATTGAAGAATTTAGTGTATGCTCTTTTTCACCACCACTTTGCAAGGAAACCACTGAATGCTATACAGTTTTGATTAGGTGCTATTACTGTGTTGATCGATTGATAGAACAAACTTATGAAGAGAGACAAAACAATACAGTATTTGATACGTTATTAATAGAAATGCTGTCGCAAATCAAGAAATCTTGGAATGTATTCACCACTGAACACTTACATGTTATATTGTTTATACTCACCAGTCCTGTCTGTGGCAGTCACTATTGACTCTTGCATGATGAACAGTACTTTCAGTCATAATGGACCCATACGATTAGTGATACAACATTGATAGCTTTAAGATTAACTGGCAGTCTTGTTATGACTTGATGTAGGATACAGGTAATAATAACAGTATAACTGTTTATGAAAAGTATGGTCATTTATGAATAGACTAAGTCAAATTATTGTAAACTCTATTGAACTACTGGTAATGTTGCACACAAGGTTTTAGATACTTGATTCTCAAAATGACAGACATTTTATGAATGTTTTTAAGTTTTATGTAAAGCCATGTTACCCCAGAGTCCAATAGAGAAGAGTTATATAGATTTATCAGTTTTCTCCAAGAAACTAATATGTATGTGGTAGGTGTAGAGGCTTCAGATGGGTTTCAACTTGTGCTGTGAGGTAGATGTTGAACATGGTGAATATAATGCAGCAGTTGGAGCTTGAGCTGACACAGTAGGAGGTAGGATTGTTATAGCCGTTAACAGTTGTGATGTCAGAAGCATAGACTAGCTTATAAACAGCGCCATCAATAAACATGGATACAGTTTATGGGTGCTTCATGTGCATAAATGGAGATATGATCTCAAGATTTTAATTGGATATATATAAGCAGCATTTTAAAATGTTATATAGATCTGTTTTTCTTTGACTTTTGTTTAGTTGTGTTTTAGTTTTTCTGTTGTATCTTTTACTCCTGCTGTGGTATTGACAGTCTGTGCCGATAACTTCCCTGATAAAGCGAGTGAGGTTTTTTTTACGTCACTTTGGACAGTATTTCAGTTATATCACATGTGTCAGCATAGGAGGAGGAGGAAAGCCCGAAGTGATGCATATCTTGGATGTTTACCACTTTGGTGAAACCCACGAGTATGGTGCTGACAAATCTAGAAACATAAGTGGGGTGAACCAGGATTCAAACCTCTGATCATACGTTTCTGGCATGCCAAAGGGACATAACTCTGCACAGCAAATTCCGGTGCCATATAAGACACAGTAAACTAGACCAACAGAAGTATTACCAGAGAAGTATTACCAGAATACTTCTATTGGTCTAGTTTACTATGTTAATGATGACCATTATGTTGTTACCTTGAACCATGACATCTATTGAAGGAATTCTGAGAGATGGGTGGGAAGCTGTGCCAGGCTAAGCCGATGGTGTGTTTGAACTCTGGACTCGCCCCGATTATGATCCTTGGTCTGGCAGCACCTTCTTCTTGTGCATGTAGTTTTCACAGAAGTGATGTCTATCCCCTGCATTATTCTGCACATCCAGCAAAAATGCATTGATATGACTGAAATATTGTTTAGTCCTGCATGGCACCAACTCACTCGCTGTATAGAAGACTGAGAAGGTATAAATTGAGCACAGGCTGATAAGCTGCAGGATCTTTGGAGACAACCATAGCTATGACATCAAATAGATACGTCACACATTCAAATCACAAATAATCAAATTTTATTGATGATTTTAGAAATTTATCATGATCATATCATTGATGAAATGCTTCAAATATGTTTGAATGACAATCTTTCTGTATGATAGCGCCCTGCTGTGTTCGTGTCTTGATCAGGGTCGCCTAATTTATTAAATTACAGTAGCTTGTAAGTTTGAAATATTTTATTTCTAAAAACTGTGATTCATTTTCTATGATCTGACAGATATAATTCTCTCTGAAATCTCGCACATCACTTCCAGTTTAAACCAATAGTTGTAATTCCTTGCTAAGTCATAATTCAAACTTACAGTTGTACACACATGTACCTTGTTTAACACAAGTTAAGTCTTATGTTTTGTTTTAGATAAGCAATACTTGTTGTTGAGACATTTATATTACGTTTACTGTTATGTCACAGATTCCTTCTATGATTTTATTGTGCAGTTACCTTCCCTTGATGTACACACGCTTTTTCCACTGTAACTTTGATATTGCTCTTTTTGTACTGCAGAGACAGAAGCTATATTCTCTTCTGTGGACCTCTGTTACAGAGACAAATAATTTGTTAGAAATAACATCAGTTTTTTGCAGAATTTTTCTTTGAAAGTAGCTCTTTTCGATGACCTTGGAACCGAAATTAGGCTAATCAATAACCGTTCTGAATTTGCTCAAATTTGTTGTGTCTTACTTATTTACTTATTTACTAAACTCTTATTGACACTGTCATCATGTCCCCATTCCGTCTGTTGACCAGAATGGGATCAGTTTCCTGTAATGAAGGTAGTGAGATACATGAAATAGAATTAATTTAAAGTGATTTAGGCCCCTTATGAGTTTACTATTTTCATGTCAGTAGCAGAGGTTTGGGATTTTACAAGCTAAATATCTTTGAGGCTTCAAGAATCCTGAGACCACAACTAGTAACCAATTTATCACAACTAGTTGTAGATATTTTCTTTAGTAAAATGATTTTGTGTGGTAGCATCTATAAAGGATGGCTAGTCACACGAATCGGTATAATGCCATAGCGTCTGTATGACTAGACAGTCACATCACACTGTATGACGTCATGAAGTCTTTTCAGGCCAGCCAGTCACAACAAATGAAATGACATCATAACGTCTGTATAGGCTGGCCAGTCATGTCAAACGTTATGACGTCATCAAGTCTGTATAGACCAGCCAGCCACATCAAACGGTATGACATCATGATGTCTGTTTTGATCAGCCAGTCATGTTAAATGGTATGATATAATGTCTGTATAGACCAGCAAGCCTCGTCAAACGGTATGACATCATTAAATCCGTACAGGCCGGCCGGTCACATCACACAGTGTGACATCAAGATGTCTGTTTAGACATGCCAGTCATGTCAAATGGTATATAATTTCTGTATAGACCAGCCAGCCTCGTCAAACGGTATGACATCGTTAAGTCTGGGCAGGCCAGCTGGTCACATCAAACGGTATGGCAGTATAGGTCTCTTATAGATGTACATGTTGGCCTCATTTTGGTTCCTTGGATCCCTGTAATTTCTTCTTTGTTAGTTTGACTGACTTTGCTACTCTGGTTTTAATGCCAATTGTTGTACATTTTTCTGATCATATTTAATACCATATTGGACATTACTAGTTCGCTGGTCAGTCAGAACTCCAGGATTATGTTAAGATATTTCGTAAGTGCCCTGTCTCCCCAGCAATCACCCCAGTAGCAGCTGTTGGAAATATGTGTGCCTGATTGATACATATTCACCAGGAAATTCAAGCTTTGAGGTTGGTTTTTATTTGATCATAGCTGAAGAAACTTGACATGATTATTTGTACACTGGCTTATAATTAAGACTTGAGGAGTGTGTTTATACATTACAAATGATATCCCCGATACTATTACATCCTTGAGTAATTTATTCAGATTTTGAGTTCTGTAATCATGGTAAATTATTAGTTCATATTCTTGTTGATCGGTGTTATATTTGAGCGTTATTGTTTTTGAACATGAGAAGATATACTTAAAGATACTGGTTTACTATTTGTCTGTCTGTAATTATGTTAAGAGAGTGATTTCACAACTGAAGGTATTTGCTTTAATATGTGTTATGTTAGTAGCAGCTACTTGTTGTAAATGTTATGGAATTTATGAACATGATTTCAATTGATTTCATCCATTGAGTAAGTATGAATACGCAGAAAATATAATTATTGATTAACCATTGACTGGAAGCTTGTATCATTTCTGTGTTGTCTTCCAAGACGTAGTTGCATTGTATTTAATCGTGTATGTATATTAGATGGTCTACCATTCTCTTCTTTCATTTACAAATAAACTATTTCATAACCTGCATTGAGCCTTTAGTCCCATGTTCTGATTATTTGCCAGTTTTATTTAGAAATAATAGCAAGATCCTGTTAATCTGGGAGGTGCTTTTTTCAGTGAAATGTGTGGATTATGAAATTTCTCGATTAAAAAATCATGGGTATAGAATAATGTTCCTTTAATTTTGTATTGTTCCCAAAATAATCTTCCTGAATGTGGGTTCCAGATTAACAGGGATTTGCTGTTTGTATGTGTAACCAGAAACCAGATGTTAAGTGCTTGTTATTGATAATGCATTTGTAAATGATAATTTGACGAACAGTGACTTAATTGCTTCATCCATTTTGTTGGAAAACATTTGTAAAGCCTGTGAGCTATGGCCCTGGAACAATGGATCTACACTACTTTTCAGTATATGCATACAGTTTTATCTTCTTGTATGCAGAATCAGGCTGTGCAATATTTGTTGAAACACTCTTGTTTTACTTTTGCAAATTGCATGTTTTATAAAACTTCCTCCTTAGGTGCATCAATTTGATTTCATGGCTGTCCAAGAATGCATATGGAGATGCAGAAGTTATGGCAAGATATACGTCTCATTGCTTGTTGTATGTTCACAGTCTGCTTTTGCAGGCCAGTCAACTATTCATGGTTGTAGGAACTGGATTCCATTTGGGTTCTGACACTGATGTACATAAGAACTTAGGCCTTTTGACATGACCTGGGATTAATAGAGATATTGTATTAAGTTTAATATTTTAAGGCAAATATATGATTTTTTAAACAAGGCCAGCATTGATTATTGAGTGAAATGGTTCAGTAGATGATGTCAGCCATGTACTTTCTTGATACTTTCCATGGTGAGTGAATACTCTCCTGTTAATTTGTTTGAAATGGTAAGAATTTTGATTTGAGAACCAGGAAATATAGGGTCACAAATTGGAATTAGTTTCAAGGGATGTGTGATTTCATCCTTTGTTCTACAACATGTAAACTGACTACCTTACACTATATTGTTACTATCTGCCTTAACTATAGGTCTTCCTTCTACTCATCCAAAGCAGCGTGGCACAGATGGCCAAATTATCTAAGGCACAGCGCTGTGCAGTGTTGCCACACTTCGGTGTTTGAATTCCAGATTTGCCCTGATTATGATACTTGGTTTGTCAGTACCATACCTGTGCTCCTGGTTTTCGCCAAAGAGGTAAACCTTCATCATTTCCAGTTTTCCTCCAACATTAATCGGACACCTGATCTATGTGAAATATTTGTTCATAGCCGTGTTTAATCCAGCTCACACTTTTGCTCATCCCAAACAGGTTTGCTAGCAAAGACTTTAATTTTATTCCACTGTGGTCATTTGGAAGGTGCACAATGTTTAGTTACACCAATTGTGTCATATCCCAGTTCCATAGAAACTACAAATGTGGCTTTCTGAGGTGACCCTGTTCTCCAAAGCATTCATTCAGCTTGAAATATCATTACTGCAACTCACTTATTATAAAAATGTGTAATATGAGATTTTATGGAAATTTTTAGTTCTGTTTAATAAACTGTTTAAATCGTTTCTGGTTGTGTTGTAATGTTTCTTTTCAGCTGGAGTTTATGCAATTGTGTCATTATAAAACATTTTAGGGGAGTTCATTTGACAGGGACCAGGTGGCCCAGTTGTCAAACACGGCACTATTCGCTGTGCAGAGTTGCATCCCTTAGCAATGCCTGAAACCAAGGATGGGGTTCGAATCCAGGTTTCCCTGAATATGTTTCTATGTCTGTCAGTGCCACACCTGTACTAATGAGTTTCACCAAAGTGGTAAACGTTTAAGACCTGCTTCAGTGAGGGCTCTCCTCCCATGCAAACTGACACGCTGTGATATAACTGGAATACTGTTCAAAGCGTGTTGTTAAACCCAATTCACTAACTTTAACAATTCATGGATGTTTATTATTAAGTTAAGCATATGGTATTTGTTCTTGTAGGCTAGAAAGGCATAGTGTACAAAGCTATAACTTTAGGGCGCCCTTACATTTGTTTTCCTCCTCATCTTCAAGGTTTTGACAGAAGGGAGCAGGCAGAAAAAGAAAAAGGTTCCTTATTGCATAATACCTATTCATGGCTTTGGATGGCTTTCAGATATCTGAAAATGTAAACGTATGTCTGGTCAACTATTGAGAACAAGCTGAACCTGAAATTCGAAATTTATATCTACACATTGTCGAAAAAGTGAGGTGAGGTGAGGTGAATTTGGGTTTAACGTCGCGTCCAAGATTATTGCACCTATATAGCGACATGCATGTATGTGTGTGTGTGTGTGTGTGTGTGTGTGTGTGTGGCTGCTTGTACTAGTCTGGACTGATGCTGATTTATAGTGCTAGCTCACTCAGAAACCATGCCGCAGTTTAACATGAATACCCCACTCAGACACAGTATACTGACTCCGAGCTGACCAGGCCTTGTTTTAGCCCCGTAATGCCGAGCGCCAGACAGGGTAACAACGAGTACCATCTTTTAACGTCTTTTGGTATGACGCGGCCGGGATCGAACCCGGGACCTTCCGCTCTACCACTTGACCACGGAGGCGGTCCTTGTGGAAAAGGATGTAAGAGGAAAGCACATGTAGATAAATAGAAACCATCACCATAAAGTCAACATTCTTACCATTGACGTATTTCAAGTCATAAAACATGAAACAAAGGCGAGAATCGGTTCAAAAATCACTTTGATTTTACAACAAATATGTATCTTCTGACGTGCAGTCTCGGGCAAAATAGAACTGGATACTAAATCTATATTGTAAATTTCCGAACAAGGGAAACACTTTCAAAACAGGTTTACATCTAGATAGTTTCTTAAACATTTTTATTATTTATTAAATTAGAACAATCTCTATAGTCTTTAATTAGAATGACAGTATGATGTAGGTTTGCAATCTTCGATGTCAGCAACTTATGTTCATGGTCAAAGGGAGACAATTCAATCGAATTTATTCAATGGGATAAAGTTTGTCAAGCTCCTCACAGCGATAGCCCGTTCGCGGAGCTCTCTATACTATGTTCCCGTGAATGTAACGATCACGCGCTGGGAAGGAGCTTGAAAGTTTGTGGTCAAAGGGAAGTAATTCAGCTTGTGATTCGACCGTGCTACTGTCTGGCTAAAAGCAACAAACTTGCGGCGCGTACGAACAGTGGAACCAGTTCACTTGGTAATTATTTCAAACGGAGTTACGTCCCTTGTACATGCTTCAGGCATGCTCATCACAGCGATATCCCGTCGCTGGGCTCCTTTACTACTAGTGAGTGAGCGAGTATGGTTTTACGCCGCTTTTAGCAATATTCCAGCAATATCACGGCGGGGGACACCAGAAATGGGCTTCACACATTGTACCCATGTCGGTCTATTACTACTATCGCTGCCACCAGTGAAAGTTCCCCACTGTGATAGGTGGCTACAACCATGATTGGAGTTGCGTGATCCCAAATTGCGTGGATCGATACTCATGATGTCGATCACTGGATTGTCTGGTCCAGACTCGATTAATTACAGACCGCCGTCATATAGCTGGAATATTGCTGAGTGTGTGGCGTTAAACAACCAAGCAACCCACTCATACGAAGGAGTACTACAGTGTTCAAGAGGTCATTGTTTATTTGTGGATAGAGTGCGAACGGAGGGGCGGGCTTGTTGTGCAATCAAGCGTGTAATTCTTTAGGTTATTTCCTCCAACCAGAACACAGACCGTGGTTTATTGGTAGAACGTCCGCCCGGGGAGCGGAAGGTCGTGAGTTCGTCCAAAAGTGAGTGAGTATGGTTTTACGCCGCTTTTAGCAATATTCCGGAAATATCACAACGGAGGTCACCAGATCAAACCAAAAGACGTTAACAGATGGTACTTGTTGTTACCCTGGCGTGCGCTCAAAATTAAGGGGTTAAAACAAAGACTTGTCGGCTCGGAGTCGGTATACTGTGTCTGAATGGGTTATTCATGTTAAACTGCGGCATGTTATCTGAGTTGGTTAGCACTATAAAATCGGCATGTTGTCTCAGTTGGTTAGCACTATAAAATCGGCATGTTATCTCAGTTGGTTAGCACTATAAATTCGGCATGCACGTCGCTATATAAGTGCTATAATTTTGGACGCGACGCTGAAAACCATTTCACCTCCTCACCTCAAGATTATTAAAAGTCAACTTATGAGATGTTTGTTATAAGTGTCATGTATCTTTGCAATGTGGGAGAAGTAAGCAAAGCATGATGCTTTGTGGAATAAATGTGTGACCTGAGAACTGATCGTTAAGTAATCTTCGTCATAATCTTGAGTCTTGTATCTGCAACGGGCGGCGAAGAAAATTCATTGTAACCGTAAAAGTTAAACGTCTGTTTGAGCAACTTTAGGCACCCGCTGGTCGGCGCAGGGTGTCTATGTAGTCTTTGGTTGAAGCAGAAAGTTGATATACTGTATCATAGAATCCCTGTTTGAAGGTAGGCAAACTAAGGGTTGTGGTGAAAACAGCCTCAAAATCAAAAGCTGTCAAAATGGCCATAAACCTATAGCCAAAACGGCCACAACGTCCACAGGTAAAAAGCCATAACTGTCAGAGGTAAAAAAGTCATAACTGCCACAGGTAAAAAGTCACAACTGCCACAGGTAAAAAGTCATAACTGCCACAGGTAAAAAGTCATAACTGTCACAGGTAAAAATCCAAAGGGCTACAACAAAATAGTCATAACGGCGATGATAATAATGCTGACTTTATTGCAATTTAGGGGGATATTATATCTCTACAAAGGAGATATGTTTTCAATCATGTATAGCCAATTTGCCAGCAATTTAGAAATGAAATTGAATCAGATAATTTGTAATTGACAATAAGCTTCTCAATATCTTTCCTCTCAAGCAAGAGATTAAGCCACTTACATGTTTGGTGGTTTGTTATTTGTAAAAGTATTATAAAATAAGATATGAATATAAGATTATAGAAGTTGCTACACAATGTTGGCCCAATATCAGCATGCCAACATTCAACCAACATTGCCCTAATATCAGTGTGTTTGCTGTGATGTGAGCAGGATGTGTATGTGCGCAGTGGTGCAGCTTTAAGGCCGTTTTGACTACAGACTGTGGCCGTTTTGACTTTACCTTTTGAGGCCGTTGTGACATGAGCCCGTTTTGACCTGCCCACTAAAACAAGCATGCCAGTCATCATTTGTTGTGACATATACAACAGAGAAGGAATTCAGTGTATGAAATATGTTTATTTCTCGATAAAATCGCCATCCCGTCATATGTTAATAGTCCAACGTGATTTCGAAGCAGGGCTTAAAGACAGTGCTTTCATCGTCACGTGACCAGTGGACAAAGTGCATAAGTTTGGAAAATAGTAACCATGGAAACATTCGTGCAAAGTTTGAATGTCAAGGACATGATGAAGATCTCGCGCTGCTTTACGAGATCAAACAAGCTGGAAATCGTAGGGTATATAATGAATTAGTTCTAGAGATAAGTCTTAAAACGAACACATTGAGCAGATAGGATACGATTCCCTCGTTGGTAGGACAATATAGCGCATTAAATGATGACCGACATACAACCACACGCTCAAATCAACATCCGCTCCGCGAGAATCACATTTACGCCACCTACCGGTGGACACATTGCGACATAAAGGTTATGCACCTTGGGATAATTTGGAATGGCCGTTAATTTGCTAACAACATGAATTGAAAAAACGTGATGAAATGTTTATCTACAACTGGTTACACATTACTCTGGTTGAAATGGAAAATACATCTACACAGATGCCTCTCAAAAGTTTAATCATACAGTAATGGCGACTTACAGGACGTACAATTACCATATACACTCTGGCACGCCACTGAAAAGGCTGTCTGCTACAAGCCTATTCCGACTGTTTGGAATAGCCTGTTAATATCACAACATCGGCGAATTGCCAACCCTTGCACACTTGCCACCAAACGACACCGATAATGTAAATGGCATACTTGAGAGTGCCTCTGGTGGCGTGACAATGTAAGGGGAGGTAACTTATCGAGTAACATTCGGGAAGAGAAACATGGCTTCAAAACTTGAAATTCTTAAACTACACACATTATCTTTACAGACTTCAAAACATTTGTCTTCAAGTCCGAATTCTATAAAACATTATAAACACTAAATTCTACAGTATCAATATAAGCAGATTGGGATCAGCTGTAGCCTCGATCTGGCGCGAGTAAGGTCAAGGTCGAGATTGCCGTGCAGACGTGTACTGGCTCGAAGTTTGAAGAAACAGGAATTGTTGTTGGACAAGGTATGACGGGAGAGAAGCGGACATTGTTAGTCAATTCTAGTACAAAGCGATCTGACTTTTGTTCCAAACAGGCTTTGCAAAAGCGAAGTGGTAGAGAAAAGTAGTTGAAAATGGTGAAGTAGGTTCATCGTCATAGTTCTTTGTGAGAGCATTAGAGGGAGCTGTTGGTTGGCAATTTACAAACAGTTGATTCGAAGAGGAAATATGAAAACATTTCTCAAAGACTGCATACAGTCGAAAAAAGTTGGTTGTAGCGAAGAATATCTATCGATCCTGTGAATACCGTGGGCATCTTTGTCCACAGTAACACAAGTAAAACAGTCACTCTGTGACGCCACTTGAACATTCACCAAAACGTGAAATAACAGATTACACAAGCAGAAGATAGATTGTATAAAATTACTAGCAACTCTTTCAACGAGTCACTATAGCTTTCATGATATTGCCTGCCCAGCCGCTAACAGCCGAACAGACCTACATCCAACCTACCAACTATACCTAGAGACGCAATAGTACCTATGCTATAATACTGTGCACGTAATGACAAATAGTATTGGGAACATATATTCACTTCTGACAGAAAAATCCTCTTGACATCTCAATGAAATAACAGATTCACAGCCAATCTAATAAATACTCATTTGGTATCATGTGCGTTTTATAAGAGTACTTAAACATGTTCGAAAACCCAGAACCTTTTCTGATAGGGTATACACGGCTATTGACTGAATTTCAGAAACGTGTCCATATGTAGACTCATGAATCACGGCTTTGCTATTATACAAGTACAGTGGATTACCCAGTCATGTTCGGATATTGAGAGGGAGCTGATACCAGAGAGATTATAAGTTCAACATTAACGCTAGACACGGCAACATGGTTACTTGAACAGATCGGATGGGAAGATCGAAGTTATGTATTCAGTTTGTACCAAGGCACTGGTAAAACTGTTTTACGGGATTTCACACCACATAATGTTAATATCGCGATAATTACAAGCCATACACGCGTAAGCCAGGTTTAAAGTCTAACGGTGCTTCTAATGCCGAGGCGATTGTTTCGTGTCTGTGCACTCAACGGCGTGCAGGATTATGAAAATCTACAAGCGTTAATGGAGAAGGCTAGAGACCTGGAAGAACTACCACTGACTAGCGATCAAATAACCACAGAGCTGTGTAACACACTTCTGTTACAATCACTGCACGTGTTGAATGCACGTTATTTCTGGAAGCAGAATGTCCTCGTTTGCCAATTATAAGTCAAGGATGTATTAATTGAAACTACTATCTAAACATGATCGGATTTCGTATGTGTAGTGCATTACATACAACCCCGATGTCTCAACATTTAGTGTGAGTAAAAAATACTACTGTTTGTGTAAATGTTTAAAAAGAAGTTTGATAAGATTGGTAGGTCAATGTTTTTGTCAGTAGGTAAAGCCACCGTTGGGGTCCGTTCAGGGGTATGGGAAGACATCTGCGATGATGGGCGAGATGTTTCCATAAAACCAGGTTCAGGAACTGGCAGCGCGGTAAGGGATCCGGTCTATGTTCAGAGCGTCAGGTAGACGATGTCCAACGATTGGCCAATCTCAGAAGTAGCAAAAGGCATATGATAATCACTGACCGACGTGGCGCAATACCCCATGTACATGCGTTCATAAGCTAGCTGGTTTTGTATTGGTTTTCTAAAGCCGGTCTACGAGTGATATTTAACTTAGAAGCTGGTTTACACAGCCGAAGAACTACTTTAACTCGGCAATATAGATTGAATGTTCTAAGTCACCCACAGATGACTTAAAAGCATAGACCGGCGTCACTAAAACTGGGTTTTCATACACTGCCATCTACGAAACATTAAGACTTTCAGGCGTTTGCAAATTCCACTGTTTAAGTAAGCAGATGCACAATGAATCAGGTGTTCGGGAACGATTTGTTCCACTGTGAAACCTTCCTTGGTTTGTAATTTGAAAGGACAAATAATGATTATCAACAGAAACATGAACAAACAGCATAGTTCAAGACTCAAACGTAACAAGCGTGACGTAACATTAATAACGTTGGTGGCGACTGTCGTGACGAGGTAGCCCGCCCATCACGCCGTCGACACGTTGACATCAGGGGATTCGTTGATGATGGATGCTCCGTCGGTGGCTCCGACACGAAAAGCGACATAGCAACTGCGCTTAAGTTACTTGTTGCACTCAGCTCCGGATATAAGGAACCATCGGCTATTACGAACCTTGTTATTACATTCAAGGAGAGATAATACATGTTATTGTTCATGTTCATGTTCAAATAACGAACTTAACTATCACCCTTGGCGTTCGTGACATCCGGTGTTGACTGTTGTACAAAGACTGAAAACTAAGTGGCTTACTGCTGATAAATCTAGATGAAATAATTACGAGAAACGTTGTATTTAAACACTGGATTCGTACACTCATGGTATGAAAATTTAATTTAAGACTGAAGTAGATTGAAATCTATACTGCGAAGACTGTGTGAACTCTTATGCGAGATTGGTCGTGTGACGGGGTTTACAGACCAATGTTAAAGGAGCTCTTTCAGTAATGATAAAACACTGACTATCTAGGTTGTATCTGTTGGTTTATAGTTTTTTATACCTTATTCATATTTCAAGGGCTCATCGAATTTCACCTCTGTCCCCAATACATTTAATATCCTTGACATATATAAACGATTTAACAGTACAATGTCATGATACAAACGTAGAGAGCCCCTTTAAGATTCTGTAGTTACGGGGCGAGTTGTAATGGGAGAAGAGGGATCCGAAAAGTGACATATTTGTTGACGTTAATGGCTTCTCAACAAAGAGCCAATCGTAATGAAACACATTTAAATAGGGACTAGGTTTAGGCAATTGTCAGTCCGAATTAAGTAATACAAAAACCACTCTGTTTCTAAAAATCCAATTTTGTATATCGAAGTTACTGATTATCCTAAGCATACAGAGACAATGTCCTCGTTTCAAACATGACATTTAACGGCTTCTTGATCTAGACTAAACACACCGTAAGCATAGTCCCTTTTTGTGTAAGACGTTGACACATCACCATTCAACCCGGGGATTGCAGATTCAGACTAGAACGTCTATCATTAAATGTAAGGACAAACTCACTGATTTCATTCCGAGAGCTAGCAAAATATTCACCTCTAAAGCAATATCATATTGTTGGATATATTATTTGTCAGTGATGTGGACGAAGTATTGGTGACAGAATTTTGATGGAATTAAAATGGATATGCAGGGATTGCCTTTGGAAAAGACACGTGGTACCAGAATCTGTTTGGGAAAAAGATGTCAGAGATTACCCAATGGGCTGGTGCTTCGGCACTACGGGTGAACTTGGAGATAAGAGTCACCGTGATAGGGATTCTGGGTCTGGGCGTGAGCGTGGAGAGGATGTGGATGGGGTGGGGTCGGTTCGGGTGAGGTTTGGGGTAGGAGATGTAAGGAACCGAGGCCGGTTATGAAGTCTAGCATGATACTACCTTCTACTACATCTGATGGCAACGAGACATGCTGTGTGTGACAGAGTACAGTCACTATAAGCCTGGCGAAGCCCACGCACTCAAATACGGAGCTTATGGTCCCAGTAAAAAAAAATATGTGTGCATGACAAACATTACAAAATTCGCAAAAATTCAAAACTTGCATACTTGAAATAGCAAATGGAAAGACATTACAATGAAAGTTTCATTAATATCACTGAAAACCTTTCGACTAAATTGCCCGTTCGCCTGCTACCCGCCGTTTGGATTGAGTATCCGGGGTGCGCGCGCATGTGGGCGACGGACCATGATACACTGCTGCCTGGGTTCCTTCCGCTTAACTGCTATAGCTCTAGTACCACCACAACCACTGGCCAATCAACACGCGAGCACGTGACCGCACGGATGTGATTGGTCAGCATTAGTATCATCCTGATTGGCTTGAATACCCGGTTCTATCCCTTGTGACTTTTTATTAGGTTTGCTCACTTTGTCACGCCACGATATCACTGTCAGCATGGAGCTCCACTGTTTTTTGCTGTTCTGTCGTATCACTAGCATGACTAGAGGTGGTCTCAACCACTACAGTCTCGGCATCTCCGTTGTCTACGCAATCTTCGTCAATGTCATTCTCCTCGTCGTCGTCCTCGCTTCCATGTTTCTTCCTCCGGAATGTACGGTATGCCTTTTGAATTATTTTAGCTGCATAATGCTCTTTTTGTCTTTTTAATGTACTGCTAACTACCACATATTCCGTTTCCGCTTCCTGTTGCGTCGGCATATCCGGCGTTTCTGTCGTCCCGAGGAAGTTCTTCGTTAACGCATCTAATATGTCTCGACAGAAACACATATCGCCGTCGCATATTGGAATATCCAACTTAACTAGCATAAAGTGATTCGGCTTCTGCAACTGTAACGGTTCCTCCAGGAAATCCACGAAGTCTGAAAGCATATCCAGTTGGATGTATTGAGTAGCATCGGGGTCGTACTTCTCCCATTTCTCATAATACATGTCAAAGTCATCCGGCGTGAGACCCTGCTGTACGTCTTCAGTGGCCTGGCTAAAGTTCTCCAATATGACCGCGATGTACATGTTGACCACGACCAAGAAACTAATCACTAGATATGTCACTAGGTACATTGTAGCTATCGTGTACTGTGTGCAGGGTTCATTTGGCTTACATTTGGCGATCAAGCCATTCAGGACACCGTCCCATCCGGCAGAAGTGCACATTTGAAACAATAAAATGAAACTCCGGAAAAAGGTCTTGAAATTGAAGGCATCGTCCAAGCCGTATTCCTCCTCCGCCTTCATGAAGAAGTTCATGCCCATTATGGCATAGATAAACATGACAAGCGCTAACAGCAGACCGATGTTGAACAACGCCGGAAGTGACACGGCGAGGGAGAATAGAAGAGTTCGGATGCCCTTGGCGGACTTAACCAACCGTAGTACTCGACCCACTCTGAACACCCGGATAACTCGAAGTAACGTTGGGGACACGAAGAAGTTCTCAAAGAAGCCCGCTAACGACAAAGCTGCAACAAAGTGAACCAGTTTTAATATTATGTGTCTTATATATTTGTAGCATGTCATCCACATCATCTTTATAAACATAAGTGCAAGCGATTTAATAATTAGTGGGTCGACAGTAAAACGAATATTGGCCTTGTTTTTTTAGTAATAATCTTGCAACGCCATCCTGTCCGAACGTCTTTATAAATATATGTGCAAGCGTTATGAAATAAATGGGCCGCCTGTAAAAGGAAACATTTATATTACTCAAGAGAAGTTAAGGACCACCCGATTCTTACTACAGATAATAGGTCATACCTCGCTGTGCCATGATTAATTAACTATAATAATACATTTAATATCCTTGACATATATAAACGATTTAACAGTACAATGTCATGATACAAACGTAGAGAGCCCCTTTAAGATTCTGTAGTTACGGGGCGAGTTGTAATGGGAGAAGAGGGATCCGTAAAGTGACATATTTGTTGACGTTAATGGCTTCTCAACAAAGAGCCAATCGTAATGAAACACATTTAAATAGGGACTAGGTTTAGGCAATTGTCAGTCCGAATTAAGTAATACAAAAACCACTATGTTTCTAAAAATCCAATTTTGTATATCGAAGTTACTGATTATCCTAAGCATACAGAGACAATGTCCTCGTTTCAAACATGACATTTAACGGCTTCTTGATCTAGACTAAACACACCGTAAGCATAGTCCCTTTTTGTGTAAGACGTTGGCACATCACCATTCAACCCGGGGATTGTAGATTCAGACTAGAACGTCTATCATTAAATGTAAGGACAAACTCACTGATTTCATTCCGTGAGCTAGCAAAATATTCACCTCTAAAGCAATATCATATTGTTGGATATATTATTTGTCAGTGATTCTTACTACAGATAATAGGGCAAACCTCGCTGTGCCATGATTAATTAACTATAATAATATAAAAGAATCGAGTGGTCCTTAACGTTTTTTGAGTAGTATATATGTACTATGTTAGCTGTTATCTACGGTTGAGTCAGTCCTCTAAGGGATCCACCATTTGATATTTTTTTCGGAGGGGCTGGGATATTTTGCCTGGAGATCAGATAATTTTTCATCTACAGCTTCAAAACCAGATATGTTTTAACTAAAGCCATGAGCCTGAATATTTATTTGAGAAAAACACCTTGCAACAATGTAATTTGTGTTGCATATAAGTTTTTTTTCAATATTCTGATGCAGAATTATTTTTTTAAAGACGTTCCTGGGACAATTAATACTTTCGATATAATTCAATACCAAATGGTCGGTCCCCAAGGCGCGCAATTCGCTATGCAGAGTTACGTCCCTTGGCGCAACTGAAACCTATGGTCATGGGTTCGAATCCCGGTTCGCCCTGACGATATTGCTAGGTTTGTCAGCACCATGCCCTTGTTCACGAGTTTCACGAAAGTGATACACGTCTGAGGCCTGCATTACTTCGGGCTTTCCTTCACCTCACTCACTCACTCACTCACTCACTCACTAACCCACCCACTCACTCACTCACTCACTCACTCACTACATATATGACTAAAGCACTTACCTAAAATTGATAAAATCACAACAACAAAGTCAAATACATTCCACGGGATCTTAAAGTAGAACTGACGCAGTCCTATAATTTTCAGCACGCACTCCAATGTAAATATTGCAATAAACACGATGTTGATGTATTTTAGCGCCTCGTCGATCTCATGAGTCATTCCTTCATGCTCAATCATCATCGTTATCATGTTCAGCAAGATGACCACCATGATACCGATGTCAAACATCTGGTTTGTGGTGACGTCAAAGATAATACCGGCAATCCACAGCTGAAACGAAATATGAATGAATAACATGTGAAAAAACCCTCACTTTTTGTGCTTTCCTGAGAATAAATAATTAAAAAAATATATGTATACTGAAAATAAGTTTGTAAGTCAGTGTTCGAATTTTTTTAAATACCACAGGTCCATAGACCGCCATGAAAAAATTGGTAGTCCTTCAGTGGTTTGGAGACTTTTGTTGATTTGTTTGTTTGTAATTTATACGCCACACTATTACTGCTAAACTGCCGAGCGTAAGAAAGCATGCACTTGAAAATTGATTTTGACCAAAATATTTCAAACTTTATCAAAACGTTACTAGGCTGAAAACAGTCGACGAAACACTGCAAACTTTAGGTCCAAAACACAACTATGATACCCGTATTAAATACATCATCATCGAATATATTTCTTGTTTGTTTCATTTTTAGCCTCTATTGGTACACCTTCTTTTTCTCGGCCGGCAGTTTACATTATGGTGGCGTGTAAATTATCGAGTATGGACAAGGAGTGACTGATATAATATTTTCCCCCAAAACAATTTTTATATTGTTTCTCACATCATTTTCAGAATATCCAGGTTGTCTACAGACCGATTTTTAAAGAATATTTTTTTTAAAAGATTTGTTTTTCAATGAGAAATTGTGAGCTCTATTAGTCTAAATTGAAGTTTTTTTCTGAGATTCACCCAACCGATACCTCAATTCAGTACTGAATATTACAATTGTCGTTTAACGCTGCACTCAGTGTGCGACGGTGTTCTGTCAACAATAGAGTCTGGACCAGACAATCCTGTGATTGGCATCATGTCTTTGGGTAAGATGGCATCCAATCCCGTTAGTCGCCTCTTACTACAAATATGGGTTCTAACCTATTCTAACTCGTAACTGAGGCTTTGCTTCTTGATCAGTGACATACCTTTGGTTTTGGTATGGACTTTTGCGGTGACTTTGACTGCATGCGCTTCATTGCCATGTAGTACTTCTTTTGATCATCTGTCATGAACATTTCCAACGAACCACCCTGTTGTACATAATGTAAATTAAGTGTAATAAGTAGCTCAATAACACCATTGCCCAAAAAACATAATTGCTGTTCGGGTATTTTCCACAAACGAAACTATTCATATCTTTCTCCAGTGCCAACAAACTATTAATTTTGTTTGGCATATTTCTGTTGTTTTACACTCAACAAATATTCCAGCTAATGACGGCGGTCTGTATTTGAGTCTGGACCAGACAATCCAGTGATTGATATCATGAGCATCGATCCACGCAAATGGGATACGATGACATGCATCAAGCAAGTCAGCGAGCCTGACCACCCGAACCTGTTAGTCGCCTCTTAAGACAAGCACAAGCATAGTCGCCTCTTGCAACTCAAGCGTGGGTGTCTTGAGACCAATAATTCTACCCCGGATTTTCACGGGTACACTCATTTATTGTAGGTGTGATGATTATGTTCTCTTTTGCATATTTTTCCTTTACCTTTTTCTTCTGCTGGTTAAAGTTGTCGATGATGACACCAATGAAGAGGTTGAGGGTGAAGAAGGAGCCGAAGATGATGAAGAGAACGAAGTACATGTACATGTATCTATTGTCTTCGTACAGCGGCTGATAGTTGGGCTGAAATTAAACATGGTTATTATTAATTGATTGTTTGCTGTTAAACGCCGCACTCAGCAATATTCCGGCTATATGACGGCGGTCTGTAAATAATCGAATCTGGAACAGATACGATGACATGCATCCACTAAATCAACAAGCCTGACCACCCGATCCTTTTAGGGGCCTTTCGCAACAAGCATGGATTGCTGGAGACCAATTCTAACCCGGATCTTCGTTCGTTCGTAAGAGTCAAAGAACACTAGGTTAAAAGTGAGTGAGTGACCTCGGCTTTACAACGCCTTTTGAAGAATATTTCAGATATATAAGAACATGTCACATTGATGGGAGGGAAGCCCGAAGTAAGACGTGTACCACTTTGGTGAAACAAACGAGCACAGGGGTGGTTTTGTTTGTTAGTTTGTTTGTTGTTTAACGCCGCACTCAGCAATATTCCAGCTTTATGACGACGGTCTGTAAATAATCGAGTCTGGACCAGACAATCCAGTGATTGACATCATGAGCATCGATCCACGCAATTGGGACCGATGACATGCATCAACCAAGTCAGCGAGCCTGACCACCCGATCCCGTTAGTCGCCTTTTACGACAAGCATAGTCGCCTTTTACGGCAAGCATGGGTTGCTGAAGACCTATTCTACCCCGGAATCTTCACGGGTCGGGGTGGTTTCGACAAGCCTAGAGACATAATAAGTACGAAACCGGGATTCGAACCTCCTCCTAACTGTGCACAACTTATTCCCGCGCCTTATTCGTCTGGGCACCCCTGCCACCAACAACTAGAAACTATGCAAAAAGTAATATAAGTGAACTACACTTAACGGGGAAAGCGCCATGAGACACTGTGTGGAGGCAACAATCCAACCATGAATCTACGTATGTATGTGCGTGCTTGCGTGCATGTATGCATGCTTTATATACTTTAGTGTGAAAGACTGAGATTTCCGAAGTTGAGAAAAGTGATATTTTCATAACACTTGATATTTCACCTCAGTGAACATGACACTATTGTTATACAAGAGTTACCCCTCCTTAAATTGTCTCCCTTTGTCGTATGTGACGAGCCCGTACACAAACTGTTGACGTTCTTTTTACGTTAGGTAAGGCAAAATAACGACAGACGGTCGTTCGTGAAGTTTATATCACTTCTTGCCGTTTGTTATTCTCTCGAAAATGTTGCCTTATAAACTGTAAATTTCTCATTTAACTCGTCAATGGAGACTGTTCGTTTCGCAAAGCGGCAGTTTTGTTACTTGTATTCTTTCGCTTCTAACAGGGGTCTCATAGGTTTCAAGAATATTTTTTGTTAAAGTTGATGTTGTATATAATCATATCTTAATGTATGATAAAGAATTGTCGTGGGCCTAAATGTTTTTTTTATACTTTTGTTTATATTTATTAAGATTTTGCAAACATGAAACTACTTTTTGAGTCGCAAATACAAGGTGTGGTGAACTATCCCCGAGTGTTATGTAGGGAGAATTTAGGTTTCAAGGTTTTACATTTGTAATGAAATAATCTAATTTTCTGGTAGACAACAACACAAAAAGTACATAATAAATAAGATATTACCTGTGTCGAGTGAAATATCATGTTTCGCTCATCTTGTGACGGGGGGAAAGGAGAAATATCTCCTTTCCCCCTGTCACTCGATGAGAGAAACATGATATTTCACTCGACACATGAAATAACCTCTATGTAATATCTTTTAAACAATACAATTCCCGTCATCACTGTAAATTCCTATATCTCACCTGTCTGCTGTCTATGGCATCATTCATGATGTCGGTCCAACCTTTGTAGGTAGCCTGTGTCGGAAGAAAAATCGTTATATATTTCAATATGTTTCAAAACGGATGTTAATTTTATAGTAAGGTTAACATTGTATATGCCTTTTAAAGGATATCACGAAGTCAAAGCATTAGTTTACATTACAAGTTGGTTTACCTTTTGATATACAAGTTTAAATGTGTCGAAATCGAAGAGTTTGACAATCCGTTATTATGACATTTTTAACAACACTAAAATACTTTTATGAGTGACCTGAGCTGGCATATGAAGACAGTTTGTACTAGGTCGACCATGTCATATTATGGGGGTAGGTGAGATGGGGTCTTTATTTAAACAAATAATCTGATATTATTCCGTAAATGCGTGACAGAAATAATTTATTTGTTCTCGGACTTTCTAAACGCATCGTCCCCTGGACATGCTAGATGGTCTGACAAATATGTTGTGGGTCAAAACTTGGTATTTTATGGCTTCTCCTTTCCCAGAAAAGAATTGTATGGTATGTTTAAGCACTAACTGAAATAATATTTGATCTCAAACGTAAACAGCTGCCCCAACCTCCCAACCCATTCCCCAATACTATGAAATGGTCAGTCCCTATCAACGTTGACAAATGTACTTACAATTTGGAAAAGGGCAAGATAGGCGTTCATTACATTGTCAAAATTAATCTTTGAGTTGGTCCAAGTATAATTCTGAGTCTCGCACTGGTTCCGGTGATCTACGACGCTGATATTAAGTCTCGTGCCATCTGCATCCACACACTTATGAAATCTGCCCGCAAACAGCTGAACGCCCATGATACCAAAGATCAGCCAAAATACCAGGCACACCAGTAGCACGTTGAAGATCGAGGGTATAGCTTTAATCAAAGCGTTTACCACAACCTGCAAAATTCAACATTTAGATATGGATGTGTGTTGATATCTCGACATGTAACACAAACTGGTTGTTTTTTGTGCAAATAATATATCCACCATATAATCCACCAGTTATGGCTTAATCAGGTAATATGTTACTTATAACCAAGCATATTGGCAGAACTAACAGACAAGAATCTTTATGGGTGCAAGCGTCTTTCAGGGCTCTTTCTTGCCTTTTCATTAGGTGAATAGTCTGTATTTTGGGGGGGCTAGGATAAGACCTTGTCATTAGAGGCCTGTGTCAATACGAGGCCTTGTCTTTCTACCATGATTTCAAAGAGCGTAATACGACTCTTGCTCAAAATTTGTTCACTGGCTGCGTTTACTTTGTCATCGATATGGGGGCCCATGCTCAAAATAGCTTCAAAATTATGACCAATGAAATTGCAGAGCGCATTTGCCTCGACATCTGTGGAAGGGAACTTCCGGTACAATAAATTGATATGCGCTCCAAATGAATTGACTTGTCCGTGTCAGCAGTAAATGATACACTGCTCAAGGACAAATGGAGTACCCACCCTCATACCCTCCCACCGAGAGACTGCACGGAGGGGACGTAGGGCCCTCAGAGTTCGGAGTGCCTTGATAGACCCCAAGTCTCCTAGGTTGAAGGACTCTGCCGCAAGCAGCACGATCGACAGCTGAAACACAGGCAACATTATTGAAAGTAGCCCAAGATGTGCATATCACACGCGGTTGAAACACCCCCTGATAAGAACCATAGCAGGAAGAGTGTTTCGTTGTTTTGACCCTTGAATGGTATCTGGTGTTCTCAAGCACATATATGTAATAGTGAGTGAGTGAGTATGGTTTTACGCCGCTTTTAGCAATATTCCAGCAACATCACGGCGGGGGACACCAGAAATGAGCTTCACACATTGTACCCATGTCGGGAATCGAACCCGGGTCTTAGGCGTGACGAGCGAACGCTTTAACCACTAGGCTACCCGACCGCCCCACATATATGTAATAATAATAATAAAAAGAAGAAGAAGAAGAAGAAGAAGAAGAAGAAAGTGAATGAGTATAGTTTTACGCCGCATTTTGCAATGTTCCAGCAATATCAAGGCGGAGAACGCCAGAAATGGGCTTCACACATTGTAACTCTTTAACCACTAGGCTACCGCATCGCCCAATAATAATAATAATAATAAAAGGTATGTGCCAGTCACAGATCAGTGTGCGTTCCAATTGCACTCTCAGCTTCCTGAGTATATAATTACTATAACCAACATGTTAAACTATTACAATAACTAGTACCCTTGTTATGAAACAAATGATCATTTAATTGACTACCCACCGATACGATGATGAAGTCCAGCCAGCACCAAGCATCCGTGAAGTAGGTTTTGAAGCCGAAGGCCACCCACTTAACCAACATCTCCAGGATGAAGATTGCAGTGAAGCATTTGTCCAAGTACATAAGGATGGCCTTCAAAATTGGCCTTTCGCCAAGGTATTCGTCCTCCAGGGCCTATGTAGAGCATGCTCGAAAACATCAACAATCGCCATATCTCGATTCAAAGTCATCATCATCAACATTGTCAAAATTAAATTTGATAACTGATATACAGCGCAGGTATAACAATATAAAAAATAAGATGGATGCAGCCTTTGCCTTATTGTATAATTGTATAATTCATTTTGGTGTAAAAAGATTAATGAACAGAGTAAAGAAAATACCCTCCAGTGTTTTCCTTTTTTTAATATTTTGAGGAGCATAATGTTTTTCATTGCTTACTTGTTAATAGACAATTTCATTAAGTTCAAATATAAGAATTTGTAAGATGAGATATGATTTGTCTTTGCCATCAATCTTCTTATCGTGTAGAAACAACAAATGAATGTGACCTTAGTTATCAAAGAAAACCTCCGTGGTTTGTCAGCCACAAGTACTCACCAAGGCGGAGCTACTGGCTAGAATCATTGTGATGATGAAGGTTTCAAAGTACTTGTGCTCAGTCACTCTAAACATGAAGCATCGGAATTTCCACCATATCTGTCCTGTCTTGCTTTCCTCAATGGTCGCCAGACATTTAAACTTCCGTGTGCACACCTTACACAAACAGTCGTCTGGTTCCTTCACATACACGATGTCAACTTCGTTAATTTCCGGCTCTCCGTCGGCTTCGACCTTGATATCCTTCTCGCTTTCGGAGAGTGAGCTTGAGCTAGAACTGGCCTCGGAACCTAACATACTCTTCGAGTCTTTGTTCACAGAACCCTCGCTACACCTGCGCGGAAGCTGAAAGCAATCACGTGATGCTTACAGTATTTCTGGGAATGTTTGCATACAAAGAATGACACACAAATATATCTACAAATGTTACTAAATCATCTATATTACATTTATATTTATGAAGTTTAATGGCGAATTATGTGAAAGTGTTTGAGGAGCGTCAATTGAGATTCTAGTGAGTGAGTTTGGTTTTACACCGCTTTTAGCAATATTCCAGCTATATCACGGCGGGGGACACCAGAAATGGGCTTCACACATTGTACCCATGTCGGGAATCGAACCCGGGTCTTCGGCGTTACGAGCGAACGCTTTAACCACTAGGCTACCCGACCGCCCCCAAGAGATTATAGTTAAACAGCTCAATGGTTTACACAAGAGACAGCGGATATCAATAATTTGACAGCACATTTGAATATAATTATGTTTTGAAACTTCATAATCTGTCTATCAATCTATCAGTCAACATGAAACGTTTATAGGATGTGAAAGATCTACTCTATAAACTCCACGTTACAATGCCAAGAACGAAATGAAATTGTTCGAACAAAACAGATGGGGAAAATTGCAACATAGATAAACAATGAGTGGATATGTGATGATAGATGTAAGTGGTGCGAGTTCCAGTTTAATGAAACTGTGTAATTACCAAGTGTTAAGCATATTCCTTCATGTACAGTTTAATGTCCATGATCACTTACTTGTGATGGTGACCTGCACACTAGTATTTCGCCAGAAGACATACTCATCTATAATTGATCACAGGCTGACACTATCAGGTTCGAATTACAGGTCCGTAGCTGTACAATGCTTGTAACCCGTGAAAATTGGGTCTTCAGCAATCCATGCCTGCCGTAAGAGGCGACTAACGGGAACGAGTGGTCAGGCTCGCTGATTTGGTTGATGCATGTCATCGTATCCCAACTGCGTAGGTCGATGCTCGTGATGTCAATCGCTGGATTGTCTGGTCCAGACTCGATTATTTACAGACCGCCGTCACATAGATGGAACGTTGCTGAGTGCGGCGTTTAACAACAAACAAAGAAATACAATGCTTGTTTCAGCAACTACTTGCACGCTTGGTCAGGTGGTTAGGCTGTGACATTGCTAATAGAATGTCATCGGGTAATGATAACGTGCTTATGTTTTCAGTCATTGGTTAGCCGAGTAATTTACTCTCTGTCATAGCTGGAATAATGCTAAATGCGGAATTACACATCATTCACTCACTCAGTGTTTCATACTCAAAACTTTTACATTTTCTCCTAAACATATCAAACTGAAAATAAGAACCAAAACACTACAGTTTCAGACCCGTGAAGATCCGGGGTAGAATAGGTCTTCAGCAACCCATGCTTGCTGTAAAAGGCGACTATGCTTGTCGTAAAAGGCGACTAACGGGATCGGGTGGTCAGGCTCGCTGACTTGGTTGATGCACTGTCATCGATCCCAATTGCGTGGATCGATGCTCATGATAACAATCACTGGATTGTCTGGTCCAGACTCGATTATTTACAGACCTCCGTCATATAGCTGGAATATTGCTGAGTGCGGCCTTAAACAACCAACCAACCAACCACTACAGTTTCATAGGAGTACAAGGAGTAGTGTGTAGGTGTATGTAGTCGTGGAATATGTAACATGTGCAAGAAGGTGTATGCCGTGAGTGACATATCGAAATCAATAGTCATGAATGTACCTATGAATTGCTCTACACTACCAAAAACACGCTTGGCAGCAGGGTACAAGTTGGAATCCAGCAATTAATGCTGTTTTAGGTTCAGGATTTTTCAATTTCGTTTCAGAAGAAGGATTATTATCTAAATGCTTGTTAGCATCCGTATACTCACTATGTCAGATCTCATCGTCTAGATAGGAAACGGTAGAATATTGCTAACAAATTGAAATGTGAAAAAATATAAATGAAAAACCAGAAATAATTTAATATTTTTTACAAAAAAAGAAAAAAATGCTTCCGCTTCATCAAGATATCATAAAAGATTATTTAAAAAAAATACTTTCATTAAAAACTGTTGAATATTTATCTCAAAACTCCCGCCCCCATATATTTTGTCCCTACCTACATAACATTTTGGGGAAATAAAACAATATGTTTGAAATTGGATTCCGGCCTACCGACCTGAAATTTTGGACCAAAAATCCGTAAAACCCCAAACTGTCTGGCCTTAGGGTTACTTCATAAAACATATTTATATTTTGCTGACAATTCTCATTCACATAATGTGAAAATTCAAAATATGGACTCCGCCAAGTTGACTGACTGCACTGTAAGAAATGAACTTCATTCGCAAGGCCACAGTGATCATTTCAAAACACCTCAATTATACTTTAAGACTTTCTTTGACATGGCTAGATCACCTGTTGATCCTCAGATGCTCAGACTATTGGCCACTGCTAAGCCAATTTGAAGATCTTTTTAGCTTTAGTACGTAGGCAGCCGCGAAAGCGGTGACATATTGCCCTCGAGAACATCGTCTACTCCTCCCTTACTGTCCACAAGATCTTTCAGTTTCACGAACAGACATGAACCGGTGGTTGCTGCCAAGGTTGTATTGCTGAACCAAGGGGAGGTAACTATGTGAACCAAAGACGACTACAGGATTATCTACGTGCTGAATACTGTAATTAATACAAGCTTACCAACGCAGTTGTCTCACCTACCTTCTCGCCGTCAGGTAGGTCGAGACCCTTTTCAGCATCTGGGAAGTAGAAGAAGAAACTGTCAGATCAAAGTGCATTGTTATTGACAAAATATTGGCAAAACTACAAGGGGCCATGTTGTACTCGGATGCTTAATGTGAAGAACTGATCTTTCATATTGATCTCATGATCAAAGTTCAAATACAGTAAACTACGTTTATAACGAACACGCTTATAACGAACTGACGGATATAACGAACTTATTTTTTAGTCCCGGCCATTTGATGTATATATGCTGTATATATGCTTTCAACGAACTACGGTTATTACGAACTAAAATTAGTAGTCCCTTTGAGTTCGTTATAACCGTAGTTTACTGTACCAACGTGACCACCCAGAGGAAGCGAAGAATCCATTACACATTCTAATTATAATATAGCAATGTCCTTGAAAGCATCACGGATGGTAATGTCATAGACATAAGTATGGGAGCACCAAGCCTGATGTGGTAACCACCGGATATGTCGATGTGAAATAGACCTTGAAAAGCAGTTTTATCCGAAATTACTGTTTTAACTGAACAATAACGTTGTCGTCCAATGCAAGGAATATAAAATTTTCATCATAACCGATAGTTCGGTTTATTCGAATTCGTAATATCTAAAGTGTTCTTGACAAATGTATGATCAGTAGTCCATATCGTCCAGAGTACACCGAGGCCACAGTCCTACAGTATAATTTATACACAAATGATATATCGATTTATGCACACTAGCCTTTATTTTTAAGAGCTTATAATAATCAATGATTACAAATATAGATATACAGATAGGAACACCATAGTATATTGTCCCGGACTGACGTTAGCAGTGAACTCGACAAGAATGTTATCTATTACTACTTACATGCTTTACTCTTCATCATTAACACCGATAACAGCATTGTATAAGACCCACTTAACACACGGGACAAGAGGAAATACTCACAAAATAAACTGATGACGATATATAGTTGGGAGTAAACAGACATAAATATAGCTTCAATAAATGTAAAATGTATTTAAATAAACACCATAATACTCGAATGCATCTTGTAGAAAGGAAACGTTTTGAATAGGGAAAGACAGAGCACCAACTCCAAAGGGCACGGTGTATATTAGGCACTATTTCACGCAGAGAGACATGTCGAAAAACAGCCAAGAATTGCATGTAAAATAGAGGAAACAGAAAATTGAATTTCTAGCCTGGATTAAATTTCATAGATGAGATGGCAATGGTCACAACATTTTGTAGTGATAGAAACAGAGGAATACTGAAAGCGTGTGACGTAGTGCACAGAAACTGATGACGTCATTAGGACGCTTGCTTCTCATTAGTGGGGAATGACCAGGGATGACGGTAGCCATTTTGATGAAAGTACATCTACGTAGCCATAGGGATTTACAAACTGTTACTCGGTTAACTGTTACACAGGACGTGTATATTATTTGTTGACTGCTGATACACTCTCTTTATCTGACCTATATCATGAATGGAATGGCATAAAATATCCAGTGTATGGGTGTAAAAGAGAACAATGTCAAAATAGCTAATCTGTGTTTGTAAATAATTTTACAACAACGAATACATTGCAATGTGAAATGGGTGCCCCAGGCGGATATGGGTGGGTGGGGTGGATGAGGGGTGGGTGGGTGGGGTGGATGAGGGGTGGGTGGGTTGGAAGGGAGGGTCAGTGGACACTGGTCAAGCAGAGAACAGTGGATGACGGCTTAGTAGAAAGCGATAGAACATGGCGGCCATATAAGCAGCAAGGCGTCTGGTGGTGAATGACGGGCTTTTAATTAAAACCTGTTTTGTTAGGAGAAAGGCTTTCGGTGTCTTGAGTTTGATGAAGTTCATAGGCTTTGCCATTACCAACTACAGTCTGGCCATCTGCCAAAGCTTCCTTGCCATTAAGCTCGGGTCGGGAGGAACTCGGCGACAGTGCGATCACGGGACGTTTCGTCTTTCGCCGGAGTTTCACTTTGAGGCAGACGATGATCTTGACCTTCACCCAGGCCCCAAATCGCTTGAATCTGTCAACAGCCTCGGCCAGTTTGTTTGGCTCGTCATCTGCTTCTGATCTCTGAAGACTTTCGGCGCCAAAGGAGCTCAGCAACAGAGCAAGAAACAGGTTCAACACCTAGTCAAGGAAAAGAGACGTATGTTACAATCGTAACGACGACCTACAGTAATGAGAATAGGCGATGCATTCTGATGGCATTTTAAAAGTAGGCATTTCTTTTGTTATAACTATTAATGAACTGACTGAAATATGGAAATGTTCAATTCATTATCAACACAAATATGTATTTTTGGTACATAATTCCTCCCCTCTTCTCTCAAATGCTAACGCGATTTTGTAGCAGACGTAAGTCAAATTCATGTGATATCCACGCAGTATCTTATTTGTAAGCGACCAAAAAATATTTGACAACGATTCACACGTCAAGATAGAGTTTCAAAACACTAAGCTGTTGGACAACATATCGATGAGACTAGGGACCGATTCTATTTCTCGCCATCAGTTTGTCTGCCCAAAGTAGTTTGGAAACTGTTTTCGCAATGCTCTCACAAACTTAAGTTTGTAAACATGAATAGACAAACTTAAGTTTGTCGTGTGAAGCCTACGTCATCTTCAAGATAATACCACTGCTGAGGTTTTCAACCTAAACGTATCTGCAGATAAATGTTTTAAAAAAAACCTGTTATGTTTTACGTGTTCATTCCAAATTTATTTGGTTGATGCACTGACTATATCCTGTTATTCTCTGGAATCAATTCAAAAGATCACAACAACAAAATGTCTCAATGGCGTCATGTGTCACCTCATCTTACAGTAGGCATAAAATATGGAACATCTCTTTGTGAAAATGAAATTCCCTAAGTGGACAAGCGGTTGTTTCTAATATCCTTCAAATATTTTAGCCTGCCACTTGGCAAAGCATGTCCATAATTGTTTAAAAGGACTGGAGTTTATTAGATATTTTTGTTGTCATCTCGCTGAAAATTCCCATTTCAGCATAACCGAGAATGTATACTGACCACAAGGTTCCCGATGACCATTGTAAGAAGGAAGAAGGGGACACACGGGTAGCCAGCGACTCTCATACAGCCCCACATGGACTCGATCCACTCTCCACACAACACACGGAATATTATCATGAAGGAATGAAGGAAGTCATCGAAGTTCCATCTGGGCATGCCACCACCAATGTCCGAGTCGTTTATGTATCGCTGGTACGAATCCCTGAACAGTTGCTGCCCCATGACGGCGAAGATGAAGACGACGATGCCGAGGACGATGGTCAAGTTACCCAGAGCTCCCATAGTCCGGCCCACGATAGCGATCAGCATGTTCAGCGTCGGCCAGGATTTGGCAAGCTTGAAAACTCGGAGCTGAAGAAGAAGAGTTTATTTTTTTTATGGAAAGTATGATATTTTCCCCGAGAAACAAATAAGAAAATGAATCATAATTTTCATTGTTAAGGATGTTTGTATCTTATCAAGTCCGCATCGTACGAAGTATCTTCAAACATACCTTACAGCCTAAAAAAGCACCCCATACAGAAATATCTGATATGATATACCAACGACTAAGAATTATGCCAAACAGCAGCAGCATTGCCCTTACCAATCTGAAGGCTCGGAGAACAGACAACCCTGGGAGTTCCTCCAGCATAAGCTCCATTAAACTGAGGAACACAATGAAACTGTCGAACACATTCCAGTTGTCCTTGAAGTAATTAATAGGACTTAGAGCAAGAATCTTTAGGAACGCCTCAGCCGCAAATATACCCGTGAACAGCTGAAAAAATAAATTAAAATAAAAAATGTAGAGTAAGCATGGTACGATACAGAGAGAGCATTGGTCTTACTGTTCGGAGTACATCCCTTAGGGACCAATTCATATTCTGGGTAGCCAGGGATCTTTGAAGGATAAGATTTATTCAGCATTTAAGAACGCGGCTTTTTTTCTTTGAAAGGATCCCAACAATTTCGTTAAAACACACAATACATTATTTCGCAGACCATCCAGAATGACCAGAGAACGATTCGTTTTGTAAAACATGAGGGCACATTCTTTTTCCAGCATTCAGGGAACAAATTTGTTTTTCACAAATATTTCCCAGCCCCCCACCACCGACACCACGAAGGCCTCGTTTCTCAAAGAAGCATTCATAGCGAGTTTATATTGAAGTATTTGAGTGACACATGCTAAAATAGCTTTTTGTGAAAGAAACCCTGCATTTTGTATGACGATTAGTAAAAAATTATGAAAGCACTTTGACTTACTGTGTTGGCAAATTCTGACACACTCTTCAAGTCTTCGTTCATGTCCCAGTGGTCCAGCGCCATGAAGCCAGTGTTGACTACGATACACAGTGTAATGAACAGATCGACGAAGGCGTCCATGATGAACAGACTCACAAAATACTGCAGTTTTTTGAAGTTTGGCGAGCAGTTCCATAGACACAAATAGTTCATCAGCTTGTCGCGGACAGCTTCCGGTTGGACGCTAACAACACTCATGAAACCTGAACAGAAGGAAGGAGGATGAAAAGACCATCACATTCAGTTCGTCAATCACACAATACAGTTGATGCTGCTTTACCTTTAACTATTCATATACATTAAAATAAAAAGAATATAACTGTCTAAATTATTGATCGGGGAAAGCATTTTGGATAAGTGATGTGAAGTATTTACTCAAGTGGTTAATTGTATCAGCAATACGGTTGGCATTGTAAGCGTGTTTTGTACACAAACTTAATATAAAATATCAAAAGACCTAAACTGTTACAGGCGCACGTGTACGGTCGCTATTCATTGTTGCTTATATCTTTGTTGACCCGTGAGGATCCGGGATAGAATAGGCCTTCAGCAACCCATGCTTGCCGTAAAAGGCGACTCTGCTTGTTACAAGAGACGACTAATGGGATGGGGCAGTCAGGCTCGCTGACTTGGTTGATGCATGTCATCGTATCCTGTTTGCGTGGATCGATGGTCATGATGTCATGATGTCTGGTCCAGACTCGATTATTTACAGACTGCCGTCATATAACTGGAATATTGCTTAGTGCGGCGTTAAACAAAAAACGGACAAATTATATCTTTGTTTAAAACGGATCATCGTTACATGTTTTGTATTCAGTTTTTCGTCAGTATTTTTTTTAGTAATTTACTCCTTCATCTCAAACAGGCTTCCTTCATCGTGCTCACAGAAAATAATAAAACGGCCGGTTTGGAGAAGCAAGGGTCATAACATCGCCTCGCTTTCATCCTGCTATCTGTCTTCGCATTGTTCTTGGGTAAGAGTAAACAAGGGACACAACTCCACGATGTATGATCGGCTAAACCTTATCGACCAAAGTCAAAGTCAAATAGCCCAAACATCCTATCTTATTACTGTTAGATCCTGCTTAGACCAGATTAGCGTGTTTACTTCTTTTACATACAACCCTCATATCACAAGGAAAGATCCCAGGGACATGTACAACAAAACGTCTCAAACTCCTTTATATCAAAATGCAGCAATATGATATATATAATTGAACAGTTTAAGGATTGGTGTAAGCGATCTTACTTTGTCGTGTATCTATGAACTGTCAAGGCCTGGTTATTATAATCGCACGTGGTATAAATATAATCCAAAGGGATGTACATGCATTCAGATTTGCAATAAGGGAGGCAACTCACTTCTCCTGTGGCCAGAAGCATGGTCAATGAGATCTTTGAGAACCATCACATCTGAAAGACAGAAATATAATGTAAGGAAGAGAATTTATGGATGTCATAAAGGTCTAAATGCTTTCCAAAGACTAGAAATACAACAGTTGTATAACAATTGTAAGAGTGACCAGTCATTATGTATTACAGCAATATCACGATACCGTTTTAAATACCCTGGGCTAATCGGTAGCATAGGATTGATCTGGACAGTGTAAAGATGACGCATGCAATCAAATCACATATTGTAACAAGGGATCCCCAATTAAGTCGCCCTTTAGCTCAGAAATTCCCACAGGAAGACAACTAAGAGGTACTTTGGAAGTGGTCCACCTTGGAATTCCCCCAGGTAGACAAGTACGAGGTACGTGGGGCCTAGTCTTCCTTGGAATTCGACCATGACATATACCTGTATTTGGACTTTGTCCTTGACAATGGAACTTGTATCTTTAAACTGTGACTAAACAAAAACCTAAAACACAGTTTCTCTTGGTACATATTACTTTTAATTGCATTTTAAAATACAAGGTGTGAGAAAAACGTGTTTTGATGGCAAAGTCGCTTCTTAGATTCTTTATTCTAGAAAGTTTTTTAAAATATTTTATTCGGCTCCCGATAAAAATGTTAAAAAGAAGATAATTTTATTTTCATTTTCTTAGTATTTGGGTCTGCGGATCCGTAAACTAACCCAAAAAGAGCCTACAGTGACGATGTCGTAAACCTTGAACAGTTCAATGAAACCTACGTACACGGGTATGGTAAGGAGAGAGCAAGAATCATAATCAGGTGATCAGGGACACACGACCAGCGGATACAGTTACGGTAAAGGGAAGCAACTTTGCACAGCTACCCATGGTGCCTTACACTTTTATGATAAGAAACGGTGCGAACGGGTACCTTTGATATCTACATTGGCAGCTGTTGGTGACGGACACAGAAATGTGTTAGTGGGAGACATCTTCTGCTTTTCACCCACGCACTCCGATCCCAGGCTACTGACGGAATCCTGCAACAGAGTCACTTGCTAATAGCACCAACATATACAACGCTGTAACAACCGAAACGAACAAATAATAAAAAGACATCTATTAATGTTGAGGTGTTACGTCCACGAGTGTAGAAACATTATTTGTCCTTTTAGACAAATCATAATCCCAGCGTTCCGTCTCACTGAAAATTAAAGGTATATTTACTCCTTTGGGATATGAAGACAATGACTTATGTTCCTTCAGAGATTGAAAGCCTAACACATTTCTTTTCTGAATGCGAAAGGCATATAGGGAAACAACTGTTTAATTAGATCGAAATAAAACCTGGATTATATACTAAACAAAAAATGTTAGGGTTAATGAAGTATCCTTATATTCCGTACATATTTAAAGAAACTATCTCTACTTCAAAATACTATCCCCAAATCATACATGACTAACTATTTGTTGTTCGGTATATATTGTAGTCAACACTAAAGAAGTGTTGTTTGGATATTCGGAAAAAAAGATCTTCTGGTAATCTTCTGATAACAATTGAAAAACACAACCTTTCCAAAATAAAAACGTTTACATATGGTCCTAAATGTGAATTGTTACAAAAGTAAGTTTTTAATGCATATAATATACATAAATTCAATGCTTTTTCTACTTGTAAAAACACCACGTTCGTGAAACTCTGGTTGTTATGTCATCTTCTGTTTCAATATCTATTTTTTATTTCTGTTATCCGTGTTGCAAAGGTAAATGTTACGCGTTTTCTGCTGTAAGCCATACAAGTAGCCACTGTATACATCCACTGCCTCACATCTACAAGTGTACTTTGTCGACATGTTGTAACATGTCTCTATTGTACTAACTTCGATATGAACCTAGTCTTAATATTAATCCATTGTAAAATGTGCATGTAGACCTGGAAGAAAATAACAATAAAAAATAGAAATGAAAAAATAATATTTTGTAAAGGCGCTTCCGGGTTGTCTGTGTCATGTGACGCGCTCTCCCTCTTCAGCTTATTATAGATACTGTGAATCTCACCCGAGTCTTTTAAACGTACACCCACGAGTGTTGATATATTTGTCACGAGGGTCAGATTCTATTATAATCCAAAATCATTCTTCCGTCTTTCAAAGTTTGTAAATAGTATTAAGCAGTGTCTTGAGTGTCAAAAATACAGCTTGCCAGTTTCAGTGGCAAAAAGATTAGTGATGTCAAGATATAACAATTGCCTGCAAAGCACAGTGATGCAATTTCATTGCAGCGATATCTCAAAAGTGATATCGCTTAATGATGAACAAGCGATATCCCATGTATAAGCCAGTTTTGGGTGATAAATAGTCTCTATCATATGTACGAGTATCTGAAGCTTCTCCATTTATCTTCTTATATACCACCACCCCCACACCAAGCCCCACCCCCACCCCCACCCCTAGGAATGTGAATTTCTAGATGTAACACAAACGTGTGCGCGTGTACAGTACGGTAGGCTGCTGGCGATGGCGACATTACCGTTCCTTCCATAGACTGGCATTTAGTCCCAGAAATATAGTTATCGTATTGAAAAGAAATCTAGACTTGCCAAATCATCCTAGACTTGAGCTGGATTCATTTTCTAAATCATACTCTAGGTTCTGGGTGACAGACTAGGACTCCCGCTGAATATGATTCTGACGGCCTACCCAGTTTAACCTTACAATGCCGGATAGGGATATTAGAACGACCCCCTCCCCCCTCCCAATTCTCTTCTTTTCCAAAAGAATTTTCTATGGTGAAACTTCATGAGCACGACTTTCTTCAGTTCCATATGTCCAAAACTGTGGAACGTTATTGTTATATAACAGTCGAACATCGTTGTGTCGAACTTGGATCTGTCGAGTTCCTGGTTGTCTCGAATTCCCCTTTCGGTCCCTGTATAGGCACTGAAATTTACGTCTGCCTTGAAATCTAGTGTTGCGTCCGGATCTGGTAATAATTTCCAATTGCAGGATGTTCGTTTTAAAAACAAATCGCATTGATAGTTGTTTCGAATCCCGGGAACTTTTATCCAGGTCCCCACGAGTTCGACACGGCGAGGTTTGACTGTATTCTTTTACAACTGATGTATTTCGATTTTATCAATCGAGGTAACGATTTTAATTGCACACTATTCCCTATTCGCAGTGGATATTGGGCTAATGACACCGCTACAACCCCCACCCCACCCACCCCAAGAACTGATAACAGTGCCCTGCTTGACAAATATGATTATCATAAATAATATTAATATCATTATTATTGTCTTAAATTAACATAAAGAGATTTCTGTGTGCTTATCGCTGCCGTTCTTACGTTGTTGATTGAATTATGTTAGGCCGCAATTAGTTCGGAAACTTCACATCCCTTTGAGAAGAAAATACGATCATTTTGTAGAAAAAGAGCTGAGAAATGAATACTCATTATGTTGTGGCCTACGAGAACTACATTTCGACTTCACGTTAGATCTGCTCATACAAAATCACCATCAAAATACGTTACACTAAGTCTACAATAACGCCAGACTTGTCATACCGCCATGGTATCCAAAGAAGAAATGGAATTATAAAGAGGTTATACTGTGTAAATTAGTGTAAAAAGGAAGATGGCAGTTAGTGAGTGTGGCATACATCAGGCGGACTGATCTGCATGCAAAGCGGCTTCATGTTAACCAGCAGGGCACAGGAGCTTCAGCAGAGTGCAATGTGTGTTACTCGTAACCACTCGTATTTTTCCGGGAGAGATTACGGAAAGTGACGAGTGGTGACGAATTTGTGTGAGTGTGACCAGATGGGAACGGAGTGTAAACCTTTCACCACGTAAATCTGAGTGAAAGGAGGGGTAAGTAGTGAAACAGATACGGAGGTAAGAACAAAGGGGCTCAACGGTCTCAAGTCCATCCTTTTTCACTTTGGACTTACATTATCTCGGTCCAGTCGTGGCTTGTCCACCACCACATCAGGGACACGTTGACTCCCTTTGCGGGTAAAGTTAAACAAAGTATCCATTTTGCTCTCTTTTTTTAAAGGGTCCAGAGGGGAATGCACGGAGTATCTACTAGTACGGGAGTTCCGACTAACGTTGGAAGCAAAACTGCTTCTTCTTGATGGAGGTCTGGCGTCCGGCCAATGCCTCCGTGTTTGGGAAGCGAAACTATATCGCCTGCCATTTGGAGCATTCTTGTGAAAAGGAAAATTGCATAGATCTTCTGACGATGGCGTCACTGCCGCGGAATCATCAGCAAAAGGAAGGGGAAGACTTTCCAATGTCTGGTAAACAAGGGGTTGCCGGTCGGTTGCCCGGCCGCTGGGTTTTTTCTTCCAACTGAACTGACTCCCCCTACTGCTTCGACGATACGCAAACGGCGAGCCGGGGAGGCTTACACTGCCCTGAAACATTGAACACAAGCGTCAGTGGGGCGCCACACGACACACGGACACACGGACAGACAGCAGACGACATGCCGCACAACAGCGCCAGGGGGCGCTTTTACGACACGTGACAAGAGTACAACAAGGGTACAACAAAAACTCGGAATCATTCATTCAGTCGGAAATTTGGATTTGAATTTTTCAATCCGAACACGAGAATGATTTCGAGTTGGAAAACAAACATTTGCAACCAGTAAGGGGTGAGGGAGACAGTGCGAAGCAAATTTAGCCATGCAAAGCTTGCTTGAAGGCGAGGACATCAACAAGCAACTGTGGTCATAAGAGTACCGGTCTCCGACGCTCGATCTAGGTGTTCCTACTTCCTATAGCTAAAACACGTGAGACTGTACGGATTGAAACGGCGGATCTGACAAGCTAGAATTAAGATGGAATCATGCATGCCCCATTCAACGTTATAACGCAATTCATCGTTGTCCGGCGATCGTAAGTATCATCCATGCAAACAGTAGAGCATTCCAACACAATTGCGTTTTCGGATCCTGCTGGAATACCCAGTTTAGAGCGGGTTTTTTGGTAAAAGAAATGTCATTCTCAAAGGTTAATAGAAAGTCCAAGATTTGAGGAAAGTGACAGTTGATTGTATGTGTACCTGTATAAAATCATGGTCACAAAAACAATTCGAAAAAAGAGGAGCCAAAATTTCCACTTCTAGGAAAACGGAAACGAATACATCTGACGTTGAAATAAAAATGACGTACTCGTTTCTTGGAGTTCGGATGGAGATGACTGCCGCCTGATTGGTCGGACGTTAAACTGACCCGTTCCTTGTCCTCCGCCTTGTCCGGATTATACTGGTCACTTTTGAAGGACGCATCGGATGGACTCTTGGTCATCTGGGACAAAATTTCTCGTCTCTCTTCCTCTTCCTATTAATCAATAAAGTTGTATGCAAAGTAAAGTGTTCGTAAATCCAAACAGGCTGTCTACCTTTTTTTTCTTCGACTTGATAAATTCCATAGGCCTAACACTCAATCTTAATAATTTATACCCTCATGTCCCCACCCGTCTTATCTTCTTACACTACATTTTGTAGTCCACCCACCCCTATCCCACCCTTTATGTAAAGGATCCTCTGGCTTTTGTGTTCAGATTCCGATGATCAGTGAAACTGCTGCTGGAGAAAGTGATGGTTAATGTCAACGACCTGCATCACCTGACATCCTATCACACATTAAGCTGGCGTGTTCAAACTATTAAATATTACTTAAAGAACACTTTGATCTTTTCAAATGACTACAGTTAATTTGTCATGGCACTAATTTAGGACAGCATCTCCGTTTTTTGCATTCCAGCTACTTTCTTCCTACTAATAGCATTTCGTCGATCTCTCCCCTCGCCCCTCCGTACCATTCTCTCGGCAGCCTCATCAGCGGCGTCGGCGGCGTCCTGCTTCTGTTGTTCATCGTACGACATGGCAACGATGGCGAGGATGAGGTTGACCAGGTAGAAGGACCCCAGCAATATAACGAGAACAAAGTACATCGCATGAGCAGAACCTTCCGCTCTCAGAACCTGGAAACGAGGGGTAACAATAATGGTTAAAAAGAACGTCTTGTATATCTGTACTTAACGTCATTAGTATCATATGAATGATGTTGTTTGTTTATTTGTTGTTTAAGGTCCCACTCAGCAATATTCCAGCTTTATGACGGCGGTCCGTAAATAATCGAGCCTGGACCAGACAATCCAGTGATTGACATCATTAGCATCGGTCCACGCAGTTGGGATACGATGTCATGTATCAACCAAATTAGGGAGCCTGACCACCCGATCCCGTTAGTCGCTTTTTACGACAAGCATAGTTGCCTTTTACGGCAAGTATGAATCATGTAACATAAGAAGTCAGAAGAAACTAATAATATAATCATATTCACAATGAAAATGGTTATTTCCGTAATAATTAATATAATCATTGTCATCACGACCTTATTATTAACATGATCCAAATTACCGTTATCACCGTCATCAACATTATCGCCATTGTTATTTTGAATATCACTCACTCACTCACTCACTATTTATCGTGAGTACAATCACCATCGTCATTTTATTAAATTATTAAATCATTTTTATCAACATCATTACATCATTCATCGTCATTCAAATCATCATCATCATCATCATCATCATCATCATCATCATCATCATCGTGTACTGACCAGCTTGTACAGACTCTCCCAGTAGTCCTGTGTCATGAGGCGGAAGGCACACAACAACGCCCAGCCAAAGTTGTCGAAGCTGGTGTAGCCAAAATTCGGATTGTCGCCCAGGTCGGGTAAGCACGTGTAGTTCTCCTTACATCCACTATGGACAGAGTGGGTGTGTGAATGATTTATATTGTTTAATGCCCCAGTCAGATATTAGAACAGAGTCAGGGTCAGACATACACGTGACTGAAAACACTAGCAACGATACAGGATGAGATGCACATTCCTTGCTAACATAACGAGTGAGTGAGTATGGTTTTACGCCGCTTTTAGTAATATTTCAGCAATATCACGGCGGGGGACCCCAGAAATGGGCTTCAAACATTTTACCCATGTGGGGAATCGAACCCAGGTCTTCGGCGGGACGAGCGAACGCCTTAACCACTCAGCTACCCACCGCCCCTGCTACCATAACTGAGGAGCAAAAGAAATTCTACCTCTCTGTTGATTATAGTATATGTTTGATTTTCAATTGAAACCATGTTAAGTTAGCGATATCATATCCACAAACAGAATTGTACCGGCGCTTAGTCAGCAGTCAAAGAATATTTCTATATGATTTTACTTTTTAAAATGTAAATCTATTTAAAACGTTTGAAAATTAAAAATATCTTTTTCGCATGATACACAACTGCTGATGGGTATTTTAGACATCTTATAAATCATTTGAAAAACAATGAATTTGATTTTTTCAGCACAAATTAAAAACACTTCAAAGTCAGGGGTCATGTGGTTGCACATTCATTTTTTACTCCAGTCTTCACTGAACCGATTTATTTTTGCACAGATTAACCCGACCACAGAACACTTTTTACAAACAATTGCAGGAACGAGTGATGGTCAGATGGCATAATCAAATTTAATTAAAGCTGCTTCAATTTTCAATTGTTTCAATTGCATTTAAAAAACTCGGTATACTTTATTTTGCCCCTTAGAAATTTACAATACAATCTACACTTTTGTATTTGCAAATCCGTACAGCAAATATTAATAAACAGTAAACATTAGTTCTTTAAGGTAAAAAGATACAGAACCTTCTTGTACAATGTTGAGCAATTTTCTATTATTTTCTTTCTAAGTTTTGAAGATAACACACGTGCTTACCCGGCTCCACTGCCATTTCCGCATACGATATAATCGTCACCCACCTTCCACCAGTTGTCTGAACATCAAACAAAAAGAACAGTTTTATGAGTGAAACGATTATCAGTCAAACAGTGGAAGTGTGGTCATTATAAGGCTCCAGAGGGATATTGCTGACGACGTTCATCGGAATTATTTTATACACTGTTGTGAATATTTTGGTTCATATAAACAGTTTGAAGACACATTTAAGTTATCAACTGGCAAATGACATGTTGGAAACAAACTCCCAACAATCGTGTCTCCTCGTGATATCTGGCTAGGCAGTAACGACTGGAGAAACGGCAGCACAAACTCCACACAGCGACAACTCGTTCCTGTACTATACCGGAAGTGAAGTTGTCAAACGCAGGATTGGAGCTGAGTGTCACCTCACAAACAACAAACAGTGCCAGGGCCCGCTTGCACAAAGCGATCATAGAGCTAAGACTATCGTAAGCCTATGTTAAAGTATGGAAGTTTCGATAATGTCAGCGCTAAGATCTCTTTGTGCAAGTGGGCCTAGGAGCATACAGTTATGGTACATTTAGGCGAACACCAATGTTGCACTATAAATTTCCATCCCTTAGTGAATTACGACAGCTGCCAGATACGTACTTGAATCATTGACAAATGACAACCATTCTATGTCCGATATATTGGGTCCAAGCTCGATGGTCCAATTCTGCACACACTTCTGTCTCAGTCCACCCGAATAGAGCTGCATGCCGACAAGGGCGAATATCGACAAGACGAACACCGTCAATATCATGACATCTCGCAAACGCCGGACCGCTTCCAATAAGGCACCCACAATGGTTTTTAATCCTGCGGGAATAGGACGTCATTGTTTTAACAGGTTGTTAAATCGTGAAAGAAGTTTGTAGCAAGCTGTAGATTTGTCAACAAAATAATTCTTTGGCAATTTTGCCCTGGATATTGCAAAACAATGTACTATTGCTGTCTCAAAGGCAAAAAAGAACATTGTGAATGGAAACAAGAATGGTTTTCAGCCATGTTGCAGTCCGAATTAATGCTTTTGCAACCAGGGTATCTCCTTTCTTAAGTACCGCGTAAAGATCCTGGTTAGAATACGTCTTCAGCAATACTCTGACTTGGTTGATGCATGTCATCGTATCCCAGTTGCCTAGATCGAAGCTCATAATGTCCATCACCAACATTTCAGAAGTGCAAACCTATATTTCAATCAAATCCATCGGCCCCAACTCAAAATTCCAAACCCCATACAGTACTCCCCAAATTAACTCAAGAAGGAGCCTGTTGCATTACTTATTGTCAAATGGTGCAAGGAGGATTCAATTGTCCTTGTTAAGATGAGAAGAAACTGTACCTGGTATAACTGCTACTGTTTTTAGAGCTCGAAGTACCCTAAAGGTTCTCAAGGCCGATAGATTGCCCAAACTTTTTATCCACATGGTCAAATATCTGAAAGAAATGTAAAAATATACATTGCGAGTTTACATTATGGTAAGTTCATATTGTCGATATAGGAAATGCAAAGCATAGCAATTACATTGTGAGAAACCCCTCTAACTCGAAGCCCCCGGGAACATCAAACATAATATTATAGTTCGAGACTTCGGGAAAGTCGATATTAGACCATTCGACAGCGATTCTACCGGCACCATGACGTTTTATGGTCCGAGAAGCGTGGGTAGCCAAGTGATCTATCGCTCGGAATTCGCTGCGTAGGGCTGGTTCCTATTCGTGATCCGAGTCGTATGATCGTGGGTAATCTCTGATTGCGACTCATGGCTTGTCATCCCGACGCCCGTGTTCGGGGATTTCACTACACTTACGTCTAGTCTCTGAAATGAACTATTTTACACCAAAAACAGTTGTTCGCTTATAGTTATAAACTATAATAAAAAAGAGCCCAGAGACTTTGTTAAATATTATAGACTTGCATGGGCTGTATTGGATATATTTGTTTCAGGGTCTGTATGGTAGACCAGGAGTTCACCAAGTGGCAATCATTTACGACCGGTGCCAGTTTGATATTTCCTCTCACAGTATACTGACACCGCCATATAACACTATCTAAAACGGCGTTAGGTTATGTTTCTATGTGGGTTAGAAATTTTACTAAATATTTGATATACGAGTAACATGCTCAAATGTGAATTATAACGTATGTTCCAGATGGTCTGTTAATGCTGCCACAGTCCTAAAATCACTATAATTAACCCATAATTATAGTGGTCATATTTCAAATTATGTTTTGTATTTTTCTCAATATTTTATCTTACAACTAGCTAAACCTAAATATATCTGTAGATAATGTTAGTCGGTTGCCGTGCACGTAACTGACCGTCACAAACCAGTGACTCTGGATTAGCTAACTCAGCCAGGTGGCCAGGCTAGGGTTATGCCCCAGGCTGTAACATGCTGTATATGGCCGGTCGCACCATCGTTTTAGTATCAGATAGGTGGAATATAGAGGATATTACGCGGTCAGTGCGCTTCGTAACTGTCGAATAATTGTAATTAATACACCACGCATGTGGCAGATGTTGATCATAGCTTCACTATTAGGTAACTAACGCATTCAAAGAAGGCCTGAGTCCCTAGATATACCAGTCCAGTGGCAGATACTTCACTCTGTCACGAATAAAGACTTAAAGGGACTCAGCAGCCTTCTCTCTGTTTAAAGGTGATAGCCGAGTAATCAGCTCTATCAAGTTAATTCCCCTACTATCTTGGTCATTGTGACGTAGCAAACGGGACCACGCCCACACAAGGCAAAACGGCCCTAAAGACAAGCTACGTCAATGCTATTGAGGTGATGTACTTACGCTATAGAAATAACAAAAAAGTCTAGCCAGTTCCAGGGATCACGGAGATACGTAAATGGAGTTAAAATGATCCCTCGTGCCAAGATCTTCGTCGAAGCTTCAAACGTATAGATCCCAGTGAAGATTTGTCTGAAAATAATAATAATCATCATCATCATCATCATCATCACTTGCTCTATAGGTCTTCAGCAACCCAGGCTTGCCATAAAAGGCGACTATGCTTGTCGTAAAAGGCGACTAACGGGATAGTCAGGCACGCTGATTTGTTTGATGCATGTCATCAATCCCAATTGCGTCGCCCAATGCTCATGATGTCATTCACTGGATTGTCTGGTCCAGACTCGATTAATTTCAGACCGCCGGTGCGCTTAGTGCGGCGTTAAACAACAAACAAACAAACAAACTTTATTCGTTCCTAGCATAGGTCTGACGTGGGGTTTCTGGTCTTAATAAGTTATCAGCAACTTTCTGGTCGAGAAATGTTTGGATTAGGTGATCGGGCTGGGTTAACTGATTTGTCATCGTACCCCGACGTAGATCGTTACGCATAATATATTTCACTGGATTGCCAGTTCCAGACTCAAATATTACTGGCCGTCGTCAAATATATGGAATATTGCTGAGTTGGGAGTTAATTTCGTGAGGGTAGATTCAGATCACACATATCAATGAGTGGACTGTCTGGTCCCGCCGACATGTAGCAGGAATATTGCTGAGTGTGGCGCGAAACAAAAACAAAACGGCGTCAAACCGAACTTACGCAATTACTGCTTATAAACATAACTTACTCCACATATTCTTCAGGGCCTTCTGTCATCGTCATGAATACACAGTTGACTATAATTGTCAACATCACCACGACGCTAAATAGAGTGCATGGATTAAGGAAATATAGGTTAGTAATGATGCTGACAATAATGCACTGGACAGTAATGTGGCATATTTTGCGAAGGGAGCATCCATTTGATTTGTAGGCAGAGCGGGGGTGTTTTGAGGACAATCTATTTTCTTTCTTTATTTAATGATTTCCATCTAACATTCTATTCATTTTCACAATTGACGTATTTTCCATAAAAGCAAACTATTAAGTCTTTTTCACCACTGCAAACAAACTATTCATTTGGGGAGTATTTCTGAACAAACTATTTTTTTAGCCTCAACCCCTACTCCAGCCATAGAAATCGAATGGATGCCCCTTAACTACACAAAGGATGAGGCCAGTTTAATAACTATTGCCTTGGCACTGTAACAAAAGCTTTAGAACACTCATTTACATTTCTGTTTTTTTCATATAATATTTTAATTTTGATCAGAAAAGTAATACACGATACATTTGTTTTTCAAATATATACTTATACGCTACTGCAAATGCTCATGATGTCAATCACTGGATTGTCTGGTCGATTATTTTACAGACCGCCGTCATATAGCTGGAATATTGCTGAGTGCGGCGTTAAACAACAAACAAACAAACAAACAAACAAACTATATTCCTAACATAGCTCTTGCAAAACTCGACTGTACGATTCCGATCATATCATGTGCATGTGTTTATGAATCACTATCAAATAGTGATGATAGCAGGTGGTCGCGAAAAGGTCAAGACATGGTTATATTTATTACAATAATTTGAAAGGATATGGATGGACGAGAATGTAGAGTGCGACCCTCCTGATTGGGTTGAAGGGGCTGAGGACAAACAACGCATTTGTAGCGTTAAACCGGTAGATTGTCTTGTCCCTCCCGATAACGCAGAACGTCTGAAACACAAAACAACATGTCAAGAGCACCATCAACACATTGTGCGTATACCTTAATGTCTGTGTGACGCTCATGGCTATGGTGGCATAATACAGTTATACAACATTAAAACTCAAAGTGTTCTGCTTATTATGGGAGTAAGTTGGTGTTAACGCCTCTTTGTACAGTATTCAAGTTGTATCATGACGTGTCAAATTAATGTGGGAGAAAGCCCGAAGTGATGCAGGTCTCAGACGTTTACCACTTTGGTAAAACCCACAAGCATGGGTGTTGTACTGATAAACCCAAAAACTTATCAGGGCAACCGGGATTCGAACCAACAATCATAGGTTTCTGGTGTGCCCAAAGGGACGCAACTCTGCACAGCCATTTGGGGCCTTAAACGACTGGGCCACCCGTGGCCCTTTTTATAATGGACATGACATGCGATACATATCCTGATCTTACGGTCACGATATGATGTACAGGAAGATACAGACAAGTCAACACTCAGGAACATCCTCGACAATCTAGTGTATTATATTTCTGTTCTATTTTGACACCTTGGACCTATCCGCTTCAGCTAACTCGGTTTCGATCACGGAGCTCAACAAAGTCGTTAATCTCATGAGCGAGAGAAATCCTGTTTTGTGTAAGAGATAGGAGTGATGAAGGTGTCGACGTCACTTCCGAAATGAAGTTAGGGTGGCAAATGGGTTCATGAGGTGGATGGGCATTTTTCAGAATGGAGATAACATACACTGGATAATCGAAGGTGTCATGAAAGGGATCACTAGAGAACTAACCGAACATAATCAGTAGACCTGAGTCAACTAGAATAACCGTGGCTTGAAATTTCTTGTACATACCGTCAAAATTATTTTGCAATTAACTATTGTTCTTGTTTACATGTCTTCAACTATATCCTTGTATCGTTTTGTATCGATACATTACCCAACAATACGATATATCGTGGTTCAAGTATCGCGATGCGTCGAACCTCCTTTGCATTCACTCTAAAATGAAAAATAGGCTCAGTCCTAGCAATTCTGATTCAAGTCACCGGCCGCGTCATACCAAAAGACGTTAAAAGTTGGCTAGGTACTTGTTGTTACCCTGCCTGGTGCTCGCCTTAAGGGGCTAAAACAAGGACTGGTCGGCTTGGACTCGGTATACTGTGTCTGAGTGGGGTATTCATGTTAAACTACGGCATGGTATCTTAGTGGACAGTCTATAAGCACTATAAAATCGGCATTAGTCCAGACTAATACAAACATGCACGTCGGTCTGTGGGTTCTATAATCTTGGACGCGACGTGAATCCAATTTCACCCTACCTCACATGTAAACACAAAATGTGGAATGTTTTTTATCTTGTATTTGATGAATACACGAAGAATACCTCCTTTCGACACAAATCACTCATTACAATGGGTCATTGATCATTGTTCCCCTTTAAGTCGCTTTTTTCGACATAATAGATAACTGGGAACTCATTGTAACCCGCTCGGAGACTGCTTGCACACATATGTGTCGTCTCTGTGACAAGCCGTATCATGACGTAATTATTTTATTGGGCATCGGCGTGGAGGATATCTGTCCAAGCGCTGCTTAATACTAAAAAAAGGCTTACATCGTCGTGTTATTTTAGCGTCACCGGTTTTTTTCTACACATACCAGGGTGCCGTTGTATAAAGGAATCTCAGAATTTTCGGGGACAATTTATTTTTACGACCTACCTTCTGGTTATGGTAATACTCGTCCAGATCCTCAATAGGTCGCCCCACAAACCGGCCAGACCCCTCCTCCAGGGACGGAGGAAGCTTTCGCCCAGCCTCGAGCTTGGAGTTTGGCTTGGGGTCTGGTTCATGGTGACTTGGTTCTTCAATCTCATCCTCAGAGTCATCCGAGTCACCAGCCTCCTTGAGTTTGTGAGCCTCCTTCGCTGCCTGTTCCTCCGCTATCCGCCTCTCGATATTGAAGAGGGAGTCCCGGGTGAAGGGGCGGAAGTTCCGGTATTCCTCGACGCCCTCTTCATCCATGACGTCACCTCATCCAACACTACCGGAAGCCCGCTAAGACACGAGTTAGTACCTTTGGCAGGGTCTGAAATTACAAGAGGCTGAGTGAAGAAACAGTTTGTACCTTTGGCAGGGTCTGAAAATACAAGAGGCTGAGTGAAGAAACAGTTTGTACCTTGGGATGGGTCTGCAAATACAAGAGGCTGAGTGAAGAAACAGTTTGTACCTTGGGATGGGTCTGAAAATACAAGAGGCTGGGATAAGAAACAGTTTGTACCTTGGGATGGGTCTGACATTACACGAGTGACTAAGAGAAGAGTAACTGTCTGAAACTAGAAGAGTGGGACTGAACCATAAGTTAATTCCTTCGGGGGTCTGAAACAACTAAAGAGCGACTGAAACACTTGTTAGGACCCTTACGAGTGTCTGAAACATTATTTACTTAGACCGACAGGGTATTCAGCAAAAGCCGTATGTGGTGGTTCATTATACATGAACGGGATCCACCACAGCATCAGGATGTCATCTTCCCAAGGCAAGGGCGTTTACGGACTATAAAAGTTCAGCTTCCACCCTTGCCGAACTAGGCTGCAATTTCCAGGCTCGATCGTAGCGCTACCAGTGGTTATTGCAAGTTATGTCCCTTCTATGTTCCTCCTATTGACCAATCAGATTCCATCTCTCATATCATTTGCTTCAAACAAAATGGCGGCGCCCAGTCAAGACGATTTGCTCGATAATCAAGATCTATATTGTAATAAAACGGGTTTCACCCCGCATAGTGCATCAAATCACGCGAGCACATTGATTAAAAACATGAGAGATTTTGCAAAATGTCTATCGACGCCCAGTTGGTGGTACACATGATTTGCAAATCCTGCAGTCTACCGAAATCTGCACGTTAAAACCCCTAAAACTCCATAATTGCAGGCTTGTACGGTAAGGGTGGAAACTGGACTTTTATAGTCAGTTAACTCCCTTGCCTCGGGGAGATGCAGGATGTAGCAGCTTTATCGTAGTGACAAGCGTTGGGTAGCACACATTTAGCTGGCTATTACGGGGTGAAAACGGGCATGTGAATTGGATGTTCGTTGGGATATTGTCACCAGTATTTCGCAGCTATCCGTGGCGAATTAGCGGGTTTTGCAGGCCGGAAATGTGTTGGGAATAAATAAAAATATACAAAACCGATAACGGCTTCTCGCAAATAATCGGTCATCCAAATTCATCTGAATCATTTATCTCAATGGATGGTATTTATGTAGGAAACGTGATACAGCAACAGTCTTGAACCTAAAACTACAAATGCATTATCCATTGGAAGCAAACACGTGACGATGGTGAAAGCTTCGTATTGTCAAAAAGACTAATCTCAACAAATCGTATGAATTCAAGTGTAAAAAAAAGTGCTCGATTTCTTTGTTCTTCAATTCTCAAATAAATATTACATTATTTCAAGTAAGTAAGTGAATGTTGTTTAACGCTGTAGTCAGCTATATTCAGACTATATCACGACAGCAGATTCACATGCCTGGGTCAGCTAAACTAGTGACTGAAGGCATGAAACACGATCCTCGCCACGATGACACCAAAACACCAAAGTCACAGAACCTGACCATTCGATCCACAATTTAGTTTTTACGGGAAGTATGAGGTGCAGGCGACCTATTCTGACCCGGACAGGGACAATCGTACAATATGGTTTAAGTAGAGATTTCTTAATTATGGAAATGGTTTTGGGCGCTTTTATTTCAAATACCAGGAGTCGTCACATTTTGTGCAAAAGTAGGTAATGTTGATTGTCTTGTTTGGATCTGGTGTGATAACACCTTACCCAGTCTCATGATCAAGTCTCAATCCTATCTAGAACGCCTCATATTGCTGGAATATTGCTGACTGCAGCGTTAAACAACATACAAAGAAACCTTTCATAATATACCTCAGTGGAAAAGACTGAATATCCAGCATATGAGTATGATTTTACGCCGCCTATAGCAACATTCCAGAAATGCCCATTGAGGGAACCCGGATCTGACGTAAGACGAGCAAACGCGTCAATCGCTAGACTACCATATCGGTGCCTATTCCAATATAACACAAAATTTGGAGCTCGATAGTCACATGTTGTCGTTGTACGTAGGCATTGAAAACTGTTCATTTTCATGTCACATAAGGCCACAAGGTCGCGCAGAACTCAGTATCTCCCGGCAGCAATCACGGCTCTGCATCTCCTCGGCACTGACTGGATAAGTGTACGAATTCTGTCCTGCGGAATTCTGCGCCATTCTGCTTGTAACGCGTTGGCCAGTTGTCGGAGTGTCTGCGGCGTGTTCTGACGTTGACGTACACGTCCATCGATTGGGATCCTGTGCAGAGGTGGTCACTCGTGGTCGGTCGGTTCTCGGCCGGTCTGCAGTGCAATTGAACTGTGTGTATATGTCACAAAGGCGGCAAATGGTGCTGTTGTGAACGTTGAAGTGGCGTGCAACAGAAGACTGCGATTCCCTTCTTTGGATACGTCCTATGGCGATGTTCCGATCGGCATTTTGAAAAGTGTTGACAATTGAATGGCAAATTTATGGCTTATGCTTGCCTTTTTATAGCCACTACCACGAGTTACGAATGCCAAAACTTGCACGTGCATTTTGCTTTACTTTTTTGCCCCATGACATTTTTGAACAAGTGTGAAAACAATGCCGTTTAAGACATTGTAAATCGACAATGGCTGCGTTTTGACGCACCGTTTGTCGAATATCAGGCCATCAACATGTTCCAATAACATATATCCAATTTATATACCGGATTTTTTGTGTAGACCGGTTCAATGAACGACATACTACCTGTGCGTTTCTTGTTTTGAAGAGTGTATCTGTCCAGTTTAAGTGCCGCAGCCGGGAGTCCAGCTGTCGCGCAGGATATGCTATCAACAAGATCCGTGTGTAATATGAGCAGAAATGACTCCTTTTTTGCATTCATCCATAATGCAATGAATAACGGCTTGTATACACCAGGCCCCTCAGGACATGGCATAATTCCATTACCGAGTATGTAAGGTCCGCTATATGCCATGTCCGGTGGGACACGACATACGTCCTTCACCGAGTATCTAATGTCCTGTATATACCATGTCCGAGGGGACATGAGATAATTCATTTACCGAGTATGTAAGGCCCTGTATATACCAGGTCCAAGGGGTCATAATATAAGTCCATTGTCGGATATGTAAGGTCCTAACCAGGTCCGACGGGACATGAGGTAAGTCAATTGCTGGATATGTAAGGTCCTGTAAATACAAGGTCCGACGGGACATGAAGTAAGTCAATTGCTGGATATGTAAGGTCCTGTAAATACAAGGTCCGACGGGACATGAGGTAATTCAATTGCTGGAAATGTTAGGTCCTGTGTATACCAAGTCCAACGGAACGTGTGATACATCCATTGACGCACATGTGAGGCCCTGCATATTCCAGGTCCTTGTTTTCGCCCCTTAATGCAGAGCGCCAAGCAGGGTAACAACACGTACCATCGTTTAACGTATTTTGGTATGGCGCGGCCGGGGATCGAACCCCGGACCTTCCGCTCTCCGGGCGGACCTAGGAAATAAGAGTGAGTGAGTTTGGTTTTACGTCGTTTTTAGCAATATTCCAGCAATATCAAGTCGGGGGGACACCAGAAATGGGTTTCTCACAATGTACCCATGTCGGGAATCGAACCCGGGTCTTCCCCGTGACGAGCGAACGCTTTAGCCACTAGGCTACCCGACCTCCCCTGGGAACTAAGAACGTATTTGGCCACTGTGCCACCTGTGCCGTCGGGATACGAGGTCACGCAAACAATCAAGCACCGAACTTGACCATCCGATCTATTTGGTCGCCTCTTACGAGTTGAGGCTAGATATTCAAATTATTCTGAGGCAACTAAATTGGATCGGGTAAGCAGGCTCTGTCACTTGGCTTAATGCTTGTCATCTTCATCTTGACTGTCTAATGTTGCTTAATCTTTCAGTGGTAGGTTTGCCTGGTCCAGACTCGATTATTCCCAGGCCGCCATGATATAACCGCACAACAAACATATTGCGCGTTGGGCAAATTATCCAATCACAGAAACCTCCCATCCTCAAATTGACTAAATTCTCTTCTCCTCATCCCCATCTCGTGGTTGATTGGCGTGTAACATCATCGCTGATTACGCATCTTATGTTAGCCCTGACGTAATCCCTCTAGCTCCAGACACTCAGTCCAATCACACGCCAACATAAAGCTAATGTTAGCTTCATAAAGGTGGTATTTAGACAATACGCTTTTAATATAGATGAACACATACATGGCACTGACGGACAACAAGGGAACGCGAGGCGCAAATCGATACCAGCATGTATGATGACTAATCGTCTCTTCCAGCGGGCACTAGGGTTTTAGCAGACGCTAACATCTTGTCCAGGAAAACAGCTTTGGATGCTAGGCCGCCTTCCATGCTGTTGTTGGTCTATGAGGATAACTCAACCCCTCACACCGCATGTTTAAGTAGACAAACGTTGAATATTGCTCTGGCACCAAATGACGTAGGTAGGCTTATTTTGGCGCTGTTGGCTACTAGATCAATATTTTGCTGTCTACAGAGCTTGCTTCTCAATCTCTGAGTATAGGCTCTATGGCAATCGAATCGAGGGTACGGTGATTGGAGAGTGAGTGAGTTTACGTAGTTTGAAACAGATGTAGATATGTCACGACCTTTCATGTGACCCAAACGTTGACTGTGGGTGAAACCACTTAGGTGAAACCACTTTGGTGAAACCACTTTGTGAAACCTGTGAGCACGGGCATGGTTGTAAAATGAAGAACCGTTATCAAGACAAACAGACATGGTCAGCGAATGCTGGCAACTATACCGGAATTTACGTTCCGAAATTCCACTAAGCCAACGTGTCGGAGGGTGATTGGAGTCACATGACAGATGCGGTTAGGACAACAAAGCAGCAAAACCTTTTCCATAATCATAAAAAAGCGCTGCTAAAATCCATTGACCTGTAATATATGCATAATATATGCGACAAAGTGAGCGTATCGTGCCCCACCGGTGCCACCGTCACAAACACCCGCAAAGACATGTCAAGTGTTCGCTTTCAAAAGACATATGGCACAAGTCAAATTAGAGTATTGCATCGGAGTATATGTCCTCCACATTTGCTCCATAATACGTTTTCAAAGCTTTACTGGGGACTCGAGCGTTGTATTTGTGACAAACAACGTTTAAGCAAGATTCATATGATGCTTTTTGAAATCTTCGTAGAGAATGCATACTCGTTTGCACCTTAAAAGTTGTGAAACGCAGACACCAATGACTGGAACTGGTGGAATATTGCTCAACATATAAAGCAAGTTGTCAATTGGAAAGTTGAAGTCATTCCTCATCCTAGATGACTGTTTATAAGGATATTGTCAAGGCAATAGTGTCAAACCACAAGAAATATATGAGTGAATGACTATTAAATGAACTAGGTAAAATGCCGCCTTGAAGGTGTTTCACTTATATCACGGGTATCAGTGTGTGTGTGTGTGTGTGTGTGTGTGTGTGTGTGTGTGTGTGTGTGTGTGTGTGTGTGTATGTGTATGTGTGTGTGTGTGTGTGTGTGTGTGTGTGTGTGTGTGTGTGTGTGTACGAACCGGCCAGTCCTTGTTTCATTCCCTCAATGCCCCGCGCCAGGCACGGTACCAACAAGTACCTTCTCTTCACGTTATTTGGTAAGACGCGACCGGGGATCAAATTCCCGGGCTCCCGCTCTTGGGACAGATATTCTATCCACTAGACCAGTGGGAGGAAAGACAGCAGCGAAGCAGATAATACGATTATCTCCGGTGAAACAAACAAACAAACAGACGCAGGTGAAATGTTCATAAAACCAAGACTTAAGTGTGAATCTGGAATGTGAACCGATATAGGATTCTGGCACGCCAAAGGGGCGCAACTCGGCACTGGGACGACCTGTTCACCTGTGCGTCAAGCCACCAGTGGCTGTATTATGATATACTGAACAAAATGAGTTATGGAGCATGCATATTTTTGGGATAGTTTTTGGAGAGAAGACTGAACACACAATTTCATTAACATATCTCTAAAGATATTCATGATTTTCTTGGTTCAGTATATACAGAGTCCTAATACACACATTATAATGTAACACCTACCAACACGTTTCCAAGCGTGTCCGGGTTTTCAGGGTTCCGGAATAACGTGGTCTGGCAATCTAAATCCTACGTCATATGAAACGTCATCAGTTTATTGAGGATCATGTGGACCCAAGATCATATAACTGTCATGTACAACAACTTTGGGGACATTTGTTTCCGGTTAACAAATACATTTAAAACTTACAAGACGTGAGCCATTGGAGAGTGAGTGAGTTGAGTTTAACGCCGCTTTTAACATTATTCCAGTTATATCACGGCGTGTCAGCCTAATGTGGGAGGAAAGCCCGAAGTGATGCAGGTCTCAGACGTTTACCACTTCGGTGAAACCCACGAGCACGGGTATGGTGCTGACAGACCTAGAAACATAATCGGGGCGAACCGGGATTCGAACCCACAATCATAGGTTTCTGGCGTGCCCAAGGGCCTTAGGCGACTGGGCCACCTGTGCCCCCAGAGCCAGTGGAGAGGCTATGTATATATATATATATCTCACATCAAAAGCCACAAGAAACCTCCGTTACTCAGTAAATAAGGACGTGTACATTTTCGGCCTCATATGACACGAGAGTGGTCCATTAGCTGACCATAAGAAAGTGTATATAAATGACGGCCCAGTAAATAAACACACGACGGAGGGTATGAAGGACGTCCCTACGGTGGTAAATAAAACCCAGAGAGCATGATAGAAGTCCATTACCGAGTAAGTAAGGCCTCTACATAACATATAACATAGAGATACCTCCCTTAGCCAGTAAAGAAGACCCTGCATATATCGTGACAGCGGGGGCGTGAGAGACGTCAGTGACACAGTGAAGCCCTGTAAATGCCAAACGTCCATAAACAAGTGAATAGGTAGAAGCCGCAGGAAACGTTAGTTACCCAGTATGTAAGGCTTTGTAAATGCCAGATCCCTAGAAGCCGCAGGAAACGTTAGTTACCTAGTATGTAAGGCTTTGTAAATACCAGATCCCTAGAAGCCGCAGGAAACGTTAGTTACCTAGTATGTAAGGCTTTGTAAATACCAGATCCCTAGAAGCCGCAGGAAACGTTAGTTACCCAGTATGTAAGGCTTTGTAAATACCAGATCCCTAGAAGCCGCAGGAAACGTTAGTTACCTAGTATGTAAGGCCTTGTAAATACCAGATCCCTAGAAGCCGCAGGAAACGTTAGTTACCCAGTATGTAAGGCTTTGTAAATACCAGATCCCTAGAAGCCGCAGGAAACGTTAGTTACCTAGTATGTAAGGCCTTGTAAATACCAGATCCCTAGAAGCCGCAGGAAACGTTAGTTACCCAGTATGTAAGGCCTTGTAAATACCAGATCCCTAGAAGCCGCAGGAAACGTTAGTTACCCAGTATGTAAGGCTTTGTAAATACCAGATCCCTAGAAGCCGCAGGAAACGTTAGTTACCTAGTATGTAAGGCCTTGTAAATACCAGATCCCTAGAAGCCGCAGGAAACGTTAGTTACCCAGTATGTAAGGCTTTGTAAATACCAGATCCCTAGAAGCCGCAGGAAACGTTAGTTACCTAGTATGTAAGGCCTTGTAAATACCAGATCCCTAGAAGCCGCAGGAAACGTTAGTTACCCAGTATGTAAGGCCTTGTAAATACCAGATCCCTAGAAGCCGCAGGAAACGTTAGTTACCCAGTATGTAAGGTCTTGTAAATACCAGATCCCTAGAAGCCGCAGGAAACGTTAGTTACCCAGTATTTAAGACCTTGTAAATACCAGATCCCGAGAAGCCACAGGAAGGGTTAGTTACCCAGTATGTAAGACCTTGTAAATACCCAATCCCTAAAAGGCACATGAGACGTCAGTTACCCAGTTTATAAGATCTTGTAAATACTAAATCCCTGGAATGCAAGGAGGCGTCAGTTAACCAGTAAATGAGGTCCTGTAAATACGAGATCCAAAGAATGTACGGTGGACGTCAGTTAACCGGTAAATAAGGCCCTATCTTCATCAGATCCCTAGAAGACGCTGGGGGCGTCAGACGTCAGACCCAGTAGGGTCCTGTCAATGCCAGAACCCTAGGAGGCACTGCAGACGGCCATTATTCAGATCATATGTCCTGTAAAACAGAACACCGAGACTTAGTTAAGTGAGAACTCGTATATCAAGGAGACATGAAATTCATCAGCGATGTCCATAATCCAAGCCTGCGATCCTGTATAAGCTGCGAGGCGTGTAAGGAGTTCAGTCACTCAGAGAAATGGAATCTGGGAGATCTGGCATGAAAATCGAAACCTTCCTTTGGAGCCTTTGGAGCCTCTAGAGCCTTTCGGTGCTATTCGCAGAACCACCCGCGCAGAGTGAGAGAGAAATCACTACTTGTGATGAAAAGGGCTCGTTTTTCAGATTTTATGGAAAACCCTGTGTTAAAATTACAGTCGTAACGCCGATTACAGACGCACGACTGAGAAAATACTTACGAGAAGAATGCTAAATCAATTGCCCACTGACACAAGCGTTCAATTTGCCCGAGCGGGCGCCATTGGCCTTCAGTGTTCAACCAATATCCGGGTCTCCCCTCCGCGGCTACTGGCATTATAAGCAGTCATGGTCATGTAACGAATTAGTGGAATTCGACCACTACTGGTCTCGGTGTAAGCGGTATCGGCCTCGGTAATTATTCCACAATACCCAGACAATCCAATAAGGACGCATCTCCTAGCCAAAGGGGTCTACAAGTTGCCGATGGACAGTGGACCGAATAGGTCAAGATTTGATTGAAGCACTGCTCACCCACGCCTCTTTGTTTGCCCTCCTCGTCATGAACGTCCGAGGCATCAGCCGATTTTCAGTCAACACATATCAAGTTCCCTGTCACTGCGGCAATATATCCTGGTAAGGGGGGATTGATGAAGTTAGGAGGCAAAAGTGCCTCGGTGTTTAACATTTAACAGTGAGTTCACTGGCTTGTTGAAAACCGGTCTCTGATGTGGCAAAATACTGTCTAAGCCGGAAGTGGGGTAGGTGACGTCACTTCCGGAAGTGGGGTAGGTGACGTCACTTCCGGAATGAAAGGTGTTTTGTGAAGTGAGGATGAGTTAAGCGTGATTAAGCTGCGTTTTTTTTCCGGGGAATGATGATGAGTGATTAAATTATATTTTTAATGATAAATGTTAAGTTTGACACACGTGTAGACATGAAATCATGCACGATTCTGAGGTACATCCATAGTACACCCATACAGATACCCCAGGCACCCAACAATGCTATGGTCTCCACAATCACGCCTCACATTGCTCTTTATGCACGTGACCGCCTCCGTGGTCTAGTGGTAGAGGGTCTGCCCGGAGAGTGGAAGGTTTGGGGTTCGATCCCCTGCCGCGTCATACCAAAAGACGTTACAAGATGGTACTTGTTGTTACCCTGCCTGGTGCTCGGCTTTCAGAGGGTAAAACAAGGACTGGCCGGTATACCGTGTGAGGTTTTCATGTCGTCAGGTGGTGAGGCTCGCTGACTTGGTTGATGTATGTCATCGATTCCAATTGCGTGGATCGATGCTCATGATGTCAATCACTGGATTGTCGTGTCCAGATTCGATTATTTACAGACCGCCGCCATATACCTGGAATATTGCTTAGTGCGGCGTTAAACAACAAACAAACAAACAAACAAACAATACTATGGCTGTAATGGTGACGATGGTGTTAACCCATTCACTCTCACACTTGTAACACGTGATCACATATGGAGCCAGCGCATGCGCACTTACGTGTTCGGACCTCATGACCCCACCCGGAAATGATCCCTTGCATTCAGACCCAGGATCCTAGAGCCATGGATCTGGAAAAAAGAACAACTACATTACTGAAACAATCAGACAAAGTGCTGTGCAACGAAAATGTGATTCTCTATATAATACTCAAAAGATTCTTTCGATATTACTGTGGTTAATTTTTCATGCCATGAGCCACACATTTAAGGCCCTGCATATGCCAGGTCCGAGGGGACAGATTTACTACAGTAATATGAAAGTATCGAGTGGTCCTTAGCTTCTTTTGTGTAGTATATATAAATTGTAGTTTATATACGAATTTAGATTGCATGATAATATGGTACCGAGATATAGTAGATAATTTTACATGGGGATTAACATGATACATATAAGTAAAAATAATTAAATAAAACAGTATTGTAAGATACATATTATATACACATAGATGCTCTATTGATTCCGCACAGTTTGCAACAAAAGCACCGGAATGATTACACATAAGCCTGTTTATTCCTTAAACACTTTGAGGGAGAAAACATAAATCTTAATTTCATACAACCAAACATCTGCGGGTAAATAATACTAAAAGTTTTCTTTCATACATGAACTTATGGAATCCTAGAAGGGACATTGTCGCATTGTCGCGTTGTCGCGCATTTTAGCGCCTTTTTCACACATTTTTTATGATGCGACAACGCGCGTATTTTGACCTTGAAAAATTTCTCGTTGTCGAAAAAAAGATTATTCAAAGCGACAATGCGACAACGCGACAAATGGCCAAAATGTCGCGTTGTCGCTTTGTCGCGCTTTGGTTAGTTGTTTGGGACACTTTTTTGCTTGTTCGTGTAATAAGGGCGACAACGCGACAACGCGACATGTCCTGTCTTGGATTCCATAAAACTGTATGATTACCCTTTCGTCATAATGGTTACACACGCAGTGAACTATTTTACCTGAGTATGCGCGAAAAAAGGGACAGTCTTGCAATTAACCATCATGATTAAGAATTGCACTTCCCAAGCCTCCAAGTAATATCACTTTGACCCGTGTTGTCAGGCCCTGTGCGCAGTCGTATCGACTTGCGGTTACATCAAGAGCTATCGCAAGGTTATTTGGTGCTTGTCAGATCTCGGCATTCTTTCAGGAGAGTCTGTGATTCATTGATTCACCTTTCCTAAGATAGACAATCATAACAATATATTGATATTTCGACAAAAGGTCTGTTTAAGGACCTGCGCTTAAACGCTCAGTGTAGGTGGGTTGGTTTGCGGCGATATCACGCCAACCCATCCTTTTGCGCAATGGCGGATGCGTACATAGAAATTACAAATTGCCTGTCAATCACGTTTCGGAGTTCGAAACCCAACACCCCCGTGTTGCTTTTCCATTTAATAAACGGTTCTATGATTGCTGAGTATATTTATTAATCAGGGCACTAGGTGCGTCGTTTCAGTTATATGACAGCGAATAAATATTGGCAGATAATTAAACATGTTCCCGTTACCCGCCATGATTAAACAGGAGTACAATGACTGATATAAGTTTGTGATTGTGGCTGTCAAGACCGACTCAATATCGCAGATGTCCGGCAGCTATAACACGTTGTTGCCCGTCGTGTCTGTTGTGGAGGTCAACTTCGTGATCTCATTTATCCGACCTCGAAGTCAGCAAGGAATTATATTGTGCAGTTCAGTAATCCATGGGCACTACGGGGTAGGGAGGTATGCTGAGGATTAATAAGTCATTCATTACAGCAGAAAGACGTTACAACAGTAACTTTGAACATCGCTATTTCATTTGACATCATTGTTATAGTCACCATTTAGACTTACCCGAAGTTCTTAATATAAGTGACATATTTAATTTAAAAACATAAGTGAGTTAGATAACCCCAAACAATAAAGCAATATAACGCGAAGGACACCAACAAACGACTTAATTCTTGCATTGTGCCAATGTTGGAAACAGAACCCGGTTTTCGACGTGACGACAAACCTCTTTAAGCTATCCACAACGCGAAAGATACATCACATATATGGGAACCATAATATGAAAGTCTCAAATTTAAACTCGATTTGATTCATGATATTTAACTTTGAGGTCATTATGAGTGACCACTGTTAAGAAATTATAGACAATATCTTGTTTCAGAAAACAACATATAAACGAAACGTAAATTATTATGTATCCCTTCCCCATACTAACATGTGATGCAAGAGGGCGTGGTGTTTGATTGTACATTCTTTCTGTTAGCGATACTATCATTGTGCGTTCTGTATAACTTTATAAACGTCGTCATAAATAGTATTGTATAAACATCGGCATATATTACTGTATAAACGTCGTTATAAATACTATTGTATAAACACCGGCATATATTACTGTATAAACGTCGTCATAGATAGTATTGCATAATCATCATCATATATTACTGTATAAACGTCGTCATAATTAGTATTGTATAATCATCGGCATATATAACTGTATAAACGTCGTCATAAATAGAATTGTATAACCATCGGCATATATTACAGTACTGTATAAACGTCGTCATAAATAGTATTGTATTATCATCGGCATATATAACTGTATAAACGTCGTCATAAATAGTATTGTATAATCATCGGCATATATTACTGTATAAACGTCGTCATAAATAGTATTGTATAATCATCAGCATATATTACTGTATAAACGTCGTCATAAATAGTATTGTATAATCATCAGCATATAGCTGTAATATGCTGAGTGCAGCGTTAGACAACAAACAGACAAACAAACCTTGTTCAGTTCATGTGACTGAAATGGAGTTTAACCGGGTTCATGATTATTGTGACGTGTAAGCACGCCGGTGTACTAGTCCGGACTAAAGCCGGTTTTATGGTGCTAGACAACTGAAATACCATGCCTTTGTTTTAACGCGAATATCCCACTGAGACACGGTATACTGACTCCAATTGTATCGCCTTGTCTAGCAGGATAACTTCCATCTGTTAACGTCTGTTTGAATGACTCGGCCGTGGATCGATCCAAAGACATTCCGACCAAACGCTGTATCCAGTGGACCACGGAGGCGGTCTAATTCAACATCACCATGGCCTGTGTATATTCAAAAGCGCCAAAACCCTTTCCATATTCATAAGAATCTCTGCCAAAAGCATAGTCGATTGTACGATCCCGACTTTTTCGTGAGCATGTGCTTATGAATCACTAGCAAGTGATGGTACTAGGTCTTCGCGAAGGGCCAACAATCCATTGATTTTAAGCACTGGTCACATCCGTTTGATTTGTTTACTATGATGAACAATCAGCCTGGTTACTTATTGTGATCACCCGACCTTCATCAGCCGAATAACTACTTATTCCAACATAGATAACACGGACATCGCTGACCTAGACCACGGATGTTTAATGCCTCCATGTCAAACAGAGCCATACATAAATGGTCCGGTGTTCAACAAGTGGTGTACATATCCATGCAAGGCGTCGCTCTGTTCTGCTCATGCAGATCGGTGTATATGTGGCCTGATCGATAATCGATAACCTCACTGAATAAATAATCACCCATAATGAACCTCTCACGTAATTCTTTGATCCAGATCCAAGACAGACTCTGGACAATGGTCAGCCTCAGACCTCTTTCCGAATACTATAATCCGTTCTCCGGCCAGGCGATGCTGACCACTCTTAAATGTCCGAGTACTGATTACCAAGACCAAAGTCCTGACCACAAGAGGAGGTAATCCCACGGATACCATCAATCGATGCTAGATGCAGAAGCTGTGTAAGGGTAAAGCTCGATACCTCTTTGACTAGGCGACCGTCTAGTTTCAGCCTGTAAATTCTGCGACGAATCGGATGCGTAGCGTCCAGGTAAATATTGATTGTTCTCGTCATTTCCACCGATGTCGCCGTTGTGTTACGAAACACGGCTTAACGTTCTGTGATCATTGAGTTCAAGGTGTGTGTTTGCCTATGTGGGTCGGTGTTTGATGTTGGTATCGACTGCAGTGTCGGCGATGTGGTAACGGGATAGGCTAGTTGGAGATGGAGCGTGGTTGGGGTTGATGATGCTAAATTGCAATCAGTGAGAGAGGTAGTGGACAGGTCGATGTTTGCATTGAGTAATAACATTCATTCATAGAAATCCATGCACTGCCACATTCCTCGACGCTATGCGTTCGTTCGATTGTATGCCATTGATTTTTTCCTATGGCGTCATAGTCTGGTCTAACGAACTGTTTTGAACCTGATGACTAGGTACGTAACATCATTAGTGAATAAATAATCACGATAAAAATATAATGACAAAACTGTGTAAATATTTTTTGCTGTTTGTCCGGGTGGTATGTAATAAAACATTATTCGTGTAGTTTACCGCTCGTCGCTAATGGTTGATCCAAGACGTTAGGCGTCATTTCAGTAATTACGTCATGATAAGGCTTGTCACGGGGACGGAACGTAGCTGTAGAAACAACCACCCAACAGGCCAGAATGAGTTCTCAGTTATCTATTCTTGTCGTAGGTGGCGAGTTTAAGGGCGACTATGATCCTTGACCTGGATTCAGTTGTAATAAGTGATTTGTGTGAAACCGCGTGAGTGATTTATTTGGGTTTAACGCCGAATCTTGGATCTGGCTGGTTTAAAGTGACATGGTATGCTTAAGGTACAACTATGATGTATCTGAGATAAAACCTTGATATACCTGAGGTAATATATATGGTCTGTCTTAGTAACAACCACGATGTTTTAATAAATAAATAATCATTGTATATATGTTCCAGTCAAAGTGTAAAATTTTCACCTAGGCAATTTACAAAACGCCACGATATATACGACTTTAAATTAATTTTTCATTTATTTTATTATGATAACGAATTCAAAAACATGTTTATGCTTCATTTCATTATCCAGTGACTGAAAATGATAGGATTAATAGAAAAGCGATATATATCTTTTGGATTCTAATCCTAGCATAATTAGTCTATTGTGATATTCTTAAGCCCTTTAAACCTCCCATGTAACTTTTAGTCACTATGTTAATCTGTCAATCAAAATATTCATTAA